CGGGAAGAAGTCCCCTTTCTTGATTGGAATAAGGCCTTGAGCCTTATGGAGATGGTTAGTGAGCTCGTTAGAGTAGGCTTGAGAGAGTGGCTTGAACAGCACTACATCTAGCGGCTGGAGCGTATGGGTCGAATGGGGAGGAAGGATCATGAGGAGGATCCTATGGCGATCGCAGTACTTAATAAACTCCATCGTGAGGTGAGATCCATGGCCATCAAGGATGAGCAATCTCCATCTACCTGATCGTTGCTTTGTAGAGCGATCAAACACCTGCTCCAGCCAAGCTAGGCCTACGTTATCATTTGACCAGCCTGTTGGAGATGATGAGACAAAGACCTCATGTTCTCCTGCCTTGATATCTTCTACCCAACTCGATCGTATAGCTCCATTTTTAGCTGCGTAGATAAGGGCTGGAGGCAGCGAGCTCCCATCAGCGCAGCAGCAGGCCAGGACTGTCAGAAACTCGCGTGATCCATCCTGGAGAGATGCTCGAACCTCCTTCTTCTCCCATTGACGCCTGCTGAATATCCTCTTACTTCTGCCTATCAAGCCAATTAAGAAGCCCTTCTCATCCATATTGTATATATCTCGAGCCTCTAGGTGATATTCGGTGATCTTTCGATGCAGCAGCTCGAAGTAGAGTCTATACTTTGACTCAGAATCAGCCAGGTGGCGCGTACGATCCATGGCGCTGGTCCACTTTGAGATGAGATGGATCTCGTGTCGGTTGATGAAGCGAGTAACCCAGCTCTCGCTGAGCTGCTGATGGGCTACTTCTGATGAGAAATTCCTGATCATCTCTCGTGTAGGAGGAATGCCTCGCTTTGTGAGCTTTTCGATATATCTCACAAGCTCTAGCTCTTGTTGTGGGTTGAGTTTCTGCTGGTTGAAGTTCTTGTCTCTTTCTGAGCTTGTCTGGCCCTGGTGCCTTCGGGTCAACGTAGATCTCACAACACCATGCTTAGCAGCAATTTTAGTATACGAGAACTGTTCTCCTGGCTCTAGATTTTCAATATCTTCAATCGCAGCTTGAATTGGGTCCATATTGGTGGAGTTAACGTGTGTTGAAGGTGAAGGGGTTTGACGTGTTTTGGTGTTCCCCGCGCATCACGCGAATCCGCGCATCACGCGCACGGACACGTTACGCGTCGTCTCGTCTAATCAACAACGATAACAACCTAACAATAAGCAACCTGTCTCTTTTGTATTGTCGCGATGCCTCGTCCCCTTAATAAGACTGTTAAGAAGCGCTCTATTAGGCACAACAACGTTAACGCACGCCTAGCTAAACAGCGCAAGCTCACCTCGCAAGGCACCGAAAGCTAGCCCGTAGTCCTTAAGGATACGCAACTAAGCTCCCCGCGTGAAGCCCTAGCGATCGCTACCCAGGCCGACGATTTCGAATCACAACTGCGCGAATCGCGGCCAGAAGCTAAGGTTGTTGCGCCCGTAGAAGCCTTAGAGGCCGCCACCGTAGCGTCTACAGCGCCTAATAAGGCTATAGAGGATAGCTTTAATCAGCGCTTTGTAGATAACTTTAACAGTATCGACTAGAAGCGCTTAAAGGGTTTCATAATGCCACCGCGGACCTAGAAACAACGCAAAAGCTAGGTATACAACTATAGTTACCGCGTTGCGTCGCAGCGTAACCCAGAGCGTCTCTTCTAGGTCTGCCACACCTGCTATCATAAGAAGCTAGAGGGCGCGGTGTTAGAGACGACGACAGCAATGAGCTCGGCGCAGTCTTATCTCCTTAAGAAACACCGCATAGACGCGACGGGCAAGCTCGCGGTTAGGCTGCTAAATAGCTAGGGGACGCTCTCTATGCTGGCGGGCTCTGGTGTAGTAGTTAGCTAAGCTGTTACTAATAAGATAGGCCACTTTAACGTATGGGCATTTCGGATAGTAGCTGTCGAGTGGCTTGTCGATTGCAATATACCGCTAAGGCTGTTCGAGGAGCCCTCGTTTTAACGGATAATAGAATTCGTAAACCTAGAAGCTGTGAGGGCGTTATAGAGCAGTTATAACAGCGTTAATCGGTACGTAATACGGCTGTACGAGTTTTTGCTACCGCAGGTTGTTGCTAAGCTTAAGGCAGCCGCTAGCAAGATCTATATAAGCTTTAACGGGTGGACAACTAAAAGCGGTAAGCGTGGCTTCTTTAGAGTAGTTGCGCACTACGCAACTGCTTAGGGCTTTGTTAAGGACCTCGCGATCGACTTACCGCAGCTCTTAGGCGTCCACTTAGGTGAGAGGATAGCTAGTTGTATCGAAAGCACGCTGCGAAAGTTCGGGATAACTGCGTTAAAACTAGGTTACTTCGTGCTCGACAACGCCTACAACAACGACGCCGCAATCAAGACGCTTAGCAGCAAATACGGCTTTATTGCTAGCCACCGTCGCCTGCGCTATAGCGCTTATATAATTAACCTCGTTAGCTAGGCGGTGCTATTTAGCTTAAACAAGGACGCCTTTAACAACGACGCGGTTAACCTCTAGGTAGGCTTCTTAGCTGTCTCTCTCTTAGAGTTGCTAACTAGGTAATATAAGAAGAGGAGCGCTTCCTCTAGGATTAGCGTAAACGAGGTCCGCTAGGTACGCTGCTAGACGTTATTAATTATATTAAGACGCCTTAGCAATACGAGGTTTTCCAAAACTTTTAAGACCTAGCTAACTGCGAGCTGCCTACTAAGAATTAGAAAGTACTTAAGGTTGTAAAGCCTTGCGTTACGCGCTAGAATTCGTATTACTTTGCCTTTGAGCGGGCGGTCGAGTTGCAGCCAGCTTTTAACTTGTATATCGCGTACTATGTTGACAACCAGGACACCGCGGACAGTCACGTAAGGACCCGCGGAAACAAGATACCTAAAGCACCTCTGTGGATGAGATCGAGCGGGCTATTAGCTAACGACTAGGCCGTTGTAAAGGACTATATTAAGGTTTTGCAACCCTTAAAGTTAGCTACAAAACAATTAGAGGGCCGCGGTAAAAGCGGGCGCTTTAGAGCGATATACGAGGTGTTGCTAGTCTTTAAGTACTTACTTAGTGAGTTCGAACAGCGCTACAAGCCGTACGAGCTCGTTAATTACGAGGCAACTAGCGCGCCTGAGGATCACCTCGCGATCAACCTAAAGGCTGTCTAGGGGAAGCTCAACGATTACTACAACCGGCTCGACGAGTCGGCTGTATACTACGCCGCCACGACTCTCTACCTATACTACAAGTCCTATTGCGATCGCGCGTGGCGCGACAAGCCAAGTTGGCTTAAGAAATCGAGAGAAGCTTTCCAGCAACTTTGGAGTACTTACTAAGTGTCGCGGAGCCTAAGAGAGCGCTAAAGAGAGCGCAACTTAAGCGCTATTAACGACGCTATCGCGGCTGTTATGGAGGACCCACACTCTAACGACGAGGAGGGTTATGACGAGTACTTACGGTGGCGCAACTTTGAACTAAAATGGTCTAAGACAGTCTTCGAAAGCTCTAGCAGCAACCTAATAGCTTACTAGGTTAAGCTACGACCTAAATACCCTACGCTTGCGCGCTTTGCGATCGATATACTAATAGTCCTAGCTACTAGCTGCGAGTGTGAGCGCATGTTTAGCGAGCTTGGTGATCTCCTCGCTCCTCGTCGACGCAATATCGGGTCGCAACTACTCGCCGCGCTTCAGTGTATACGATCCTGGATGAGAGACGGCAAGCGCTTGCCAGCGAGGGCAACGGCGCTCAGCGACGACGACCTTAAGCGGTTGTACGACCTCGCGTCGTGGGATAAGCCCGAGGAGACGGGTTAGTACTTAGAGCCTAGGTTTGCACAACTTAGCTAACTCCGACCTAATCAGGTAATTGTAACTGCAATCAACTAATCAATCTGCAATCAAATACGTTCTTTTAGGCTCTTACTGCAATCAAATCAATCATGACTCCACGATAACTGCAATCAAATCAATCACGAGCTTCATGATTGATTGACTTGATTGTTGACAAGTCTGCTAATCACCAAAACAACTTACTCGTATCAAACTGAGCAATGGCAAAAGATAAGAAGTCTATCGACGGATCAAGTCCTAGCGACGCTATGAAAAATCAAGGAGCATTACCCACGGAGCGATGATTAAAGGTCTAGAATCAACCTTCGGGAGTCGAAGTTCGAAATCCGGTGACGAGCACAAAATCGAAACCTACCCAAGTGAGAAAAACAAATACCTGCGCATAGATCTAGAGACCGAGTTCGAGAAGTGGCAGAGGAAACGAAGCGTGGAGGAAGAAAGTGATATCTCCAGGCCTGTGAAGATGGTAAAGGTGGGAAAATCAAGTAAATCGACTCAGATCCCCGATCAGATACCCATCGCTCTACAGGCATCAGCAGTACCCCGGAGTCTCCGTTCCGAAGGCCTTGCGTGGATCCGTGGCCTAGAACTTGCCGAAGCCGATACAATGCCGCCGTAAAAGCACAACGTGTCATTTTCAGCACAGCAAACGAGCCGATGGATCAGAATGAGTGGGATGTGGCGTTGGTGTGGGTTCAAAAGTCAAGGCAAAGGGTGCAAGAATGCAAGGGAGTGATTAATAAATTGATAGGTAGGGTTTAGGGGGAGATGAGGAGGGAGAGGGAGATTGGGGTGGGGTTATGTAGGTACCAAGGTGGGGTGTTGATGTGTCCTGTGAGACTGGCCGATAAGAAGCTCAGGTCAGCTATCATGAATAGAGGAGAGAAGAAGTTGTGACCCATGCATTTCATTCCTGTGTACAAGACATGCTTGGACGTTATTGCAGACCAAGGAAAACCTTGTTGCTTGCAGAAGCGATGCTAACAGCCAGAAGGGCCTAGTATCAACTATTCGTCTCGCGTATCGTTTTGTTTCATCTCCTGTAGCTTCACCATGCCCGCAATGCTGCTCCTACACAACCAACCTCCATTAAAAACCCATACACAGCTGAGCTACAGCTCGCTGACGTGAAGGGACCGCCCTGTATCGTGCTCAAGACGCAAACCAAGGTGCTTAACGGTGTGGAAGAGAAGACTCACGAACACCGTCCATGCCTTCATGCAGCGGAGTAGGCATACCGGCGAACGCAGCACCAGAAGCGTAACTTGCACGAGAACCAGTACTAGCCGCTGAAGACGGGTTACTGTCGTAATGTTTGTGTTGTAACTCTCGGAGAATCTTCTTGCCCTTGAGGAGTGACTGCTGTTGTCCGACGAGCTCTTTGCGCTGGTTGTATCGTGCTGGCTCTTCGGCAAGAAGACGGACCGCGTTGCGATGACCTGGGAAAGTGTTAGTGTTGCACTGGGCTGCCAATCGCGTAGACGTACCTTCGTCTCCATCATTGAGACCCAATCCGTTTTCCATTTCGTCTCGGAGCTGGGTGCGAAGCTGCTTGTAGAACTTTGACTCGATCCTCATGCAAACAGCATCGTGGAAGCGACGTACGGCTAGCATGTAGTATGTGGTGACTTGAGCGACGACTCCAATCTCCACAAGGTACGGCTCTCGATTCAGCACAGTCATGGCCTTCTCGTCTTTCCTCAATCTATCTTCGTCTGTGGTCGTCATGACCTTCCCTGTTCGCCTCTCTCTCGTCTTTTTGTAGATGTTCAAACGGGCCCTGAGACGAGCCTGGTTGTAATTGTCGAGAGTATTAGCTTTCTCAGCATCGAAGATGTCTTGATGGAAGATGTACGGTCCTTCTCTCTCGTCGTTCAGGTTCTCATCAGCCATTGTAGTTCTTTGCTGGTGGAAGTTCATATTCAGCATCTGCTCAACGATTTCCCATGCCCTGACTTGAAAGGTAGACTTCGCCCATTTGCTAAAGTGTTTGTCGAACAAGGACTTGATTTGGTCATGGATCTGACCCTCAAGCGTGTTGAAAAACAGACCAAGGGGTTTGCCCCAGTCTTTCAGCGTGTCTAGCATCATAGCGTCCACGACACGAGGCTCGATTTGACCGCGAATTCTCGACTGAGAATTTTCTGCTAGATGTTGTTTGACCTCGTCGAGAAAGAACTTCTTTCTCAGGTTGCTAAAGTCGGGACTCGCGGCTCTAGTCTCTGAAGTGTTTGCGACACCGCGCCGGGTTGGTGTCTTGATTGGGGACGGCCCAGGTGTACCTTCGAGCTTGCGTTTCTTAGTGGGGGTCTCGAGCACTCGCTCTTCTTCGGTATCTTCCTCGTCCTCGTCCTCCTCATCGTCATCATCGAGAGAGATTGCCTTGGTAGCAGAACTACCTGGCTGGGAGGCTAGTACTTCTGAAAATATCCCTTTGTCTAGACTTCCAGTCGTTGCCATAGTAGGCTTCATGCTCACTAGCGCATCGAAGAACGCCTGCTGGAGTGCCTTCCAATGGTTGCGCCAGATCTTACACGGAAACTCAGCGGCAAGTTCCTTGCGTACCTCCTGCGAAAAGTCTAGGATGACGTCTGATATGATCCTCGACGCATTGTGGGTAGGCGACTCGGGAAACTGCAGTAGGGCAGTCTCAACCTCATGAAGTCTAATTGTGATCTCCTGGTCGATGATAGGCAATTTCTTGGTGATCTGCTCGGCAAGCTTCCCAGATAAAAAGCCCTGGAGATTTAAAGTTCCGAAACGATGCTCGTATTTCTTGAACTCAGTCGCCCAAGGCTCTTCCTGATTGAAAAACTGCTGCTCTTGGTGTCGCGCTTGTTGATGTGTAAGACCTTGGTCGATCTGGTCTTGTCCCAAGTTTTTGACAACGGAATAGCCGTGGCCCAGAGCGAAGCGTTTCTGTTCGAAGATAGCTTTGAGTTTGTCATGTCTAGAGCCAGGCGGGAGACGATCGGGCTTCGTGAGCACACCTGCACAAAAGTCAATAGATAAATCATTACGTAGGAAAGTCTTACATACCGATACATCTATCAGTCGCGTTCAGGCTACGTGCGATGCCACCCGCTGTTGAGTTGGCAATGTCGTTCTCCAGTGAACATGTCACGAGGATAAGTGCTTCTGGATCTTTGATGTAATCTGTCACAAGGTCCCGAACGAATTTGACTAGAAATTGCGACTCTGCTGACTCTGCTTGGCCGATGATACCCGGTAGATCATAGAAGCTGAGAGCCGGCAAGTCTGGATGCGTGATGGAGATACAGATAATGTTCGGACTGAACTCGCAACGATACTGATCTCCAAGTCCAGCGATTGTGGGACGAAGGAACTCTCGGTAATCCGTCAGGGGACTAATGACGGACAGTTGTGCACGCGCAATGATTCTCTCGAGCTCATTGGGGTCGTCGGTTTCTGCGAAATGAACGATGTTTGGCTGGTCCATTTGGACCCAACCAGGAAATCGACACTCGTAATTGCGGGACATGTTCACATCGAAACTATATTCGCGACGTAGACTGACAGTTGCACTCCAGCCAGCACGCAGATTCTCGGAGGGCTCCAGCTTGATAAACAGCGGGCAGCGAGTACAGGTATCGGTCGACCTGGGGGTCTTGATTCCAGAGATGGCTTCTATGACGGAGGACTTGCCGGTGGACTGTTCGCCTTTGCAGCTGTTAGCACTTGAGAAAGACATCTTTTGGATGAATGGCACATACCGAGAACTATGCACTTTGGTAGAGGGATCTTCAAACGTTGCAAGCCGAGTCCTTCGAGCTGGTTGATCGTCGCTATGGCTTCTTTGACATGCAGTCCAAGCGGGTCAATCTCACCGGCTACTGCCGCTCTTGTAACGGGATTTGGATCTGGATAACGTGCGTTAGAATTCCCTCGATAATCTGTGGGTATACGCGCACGAAACTTACCGTCCTGCCCCACCAGATGTATCGGGTCGATGGCTTCACCGAAGCGGGACGCTGCTTCAAACGCCGTATCTTGCATCGCGCCGTCGTCGCTGGGGGTGATTGGGGTATTCTCCCTTGTCATCTTGGCACGGCTGCGGGTACCGCTCACTATTTTGATGACGGTTTGCGATGTCTTCTTGTGTATCGAGCGGCAAGCAAATGGGCTGCGTGGATTCAAGTGTTAATCATAGCGACGCCAAGACTTTGCGTTTGCAGGTGCTGGTGACACAGCTATGAAAAGCGGGGCAAGTAGCATGTTGCGGGTGAAGACGAGTAGCGAAACGCCATATTTGCGTTAGGCAGCAATGCTTTTAGGCGATGATGCCTATTTGGGTGTAGTTATTTGCCTCGAGGAAGATGAGAGTGAGAGTGTGTGTGTGAATGAGAGACAGAAGCGACGCTAAAAGTAAATGAAGATGTCGCGAATGCAAGAGAAGAGAGTGAAACCGAGTGGGGTCTTGAGATAGCACCTGGGTGTCAAAAGATACTTGACGTACTGGTTTACAAAGGCCTCTGTAGTCGCCAGACACGCCTATTAGGTGCTTACCCATAATATCAAGTATTTTATGACTCCCAGGTGAGGACGAATACAACATGGTAAAGAGAATGATACTGCGGGAGGAGAGTGACGAAAACACTTATCCGATCAAACCATACTTTTCACGAGTGAAGATTCCTGGCGAGATGTGCAGACTCAATATCCTATAACTAGCATGATTACATAAGATGTTAGCAGCCGCTGTGGTGATGCTCGCCTTCTGGCGACGTCTTATGTTGCACATGATGGGCGTCATTTCTAGCATCAGTTGGTAGATGGCTATCCTGTATGAGACATACAAGATAAAACCATGGCTGATACAGTATATAGCACGATGCAGGACGTAAAGGACGTGAATATGATGATGTTGATGATGAAAGGAGGAAGCACAGCAGCCGGGCGGAAGAGGTGGCTCACGGTGATTCCGAGATTCCGCCGCTAGCGCGATTTCAGCAAGGGTCCTCAAGAAAAACGTCGAAGCACATCGTCACCGGTGGCTACCGTCCGACCACCAGCTCATCTACTTACACCCTCTCGTCGCCCACAGAATCGCTCGACTTCCCTCTTTCACTTCTAATACATAATGGATCATTCGCGCGATCCCTGCCCATGGGTCATTCTCAATGACTTTGGTGGTGCCTTTGCTATGGGTGTATGTCACCCCAGACGAGCGATTTTTGGTAAATACTAACAATTAGGTAGGCTGTCGGAGGAGCAGTATGGCACGGTGTTAAAGGAGTAAGTTTTGTCCTTGCCAATTCAAAATTTGCGCTCACAATCCCCCCAGTTCCGCAACTCACCCTACGGAGAGCGACGCATCGGCGCCATCACAGCGATCAAAGCCCGCGCACCCGTTCTCGGCGGCAACTTTGGAGTCTGGGGAGGACTTTTCAACACATATGACTGCGCAGTCAAGGGAATACGGAAGAAGGAGGACCCATGGAATGCCATCATCGCAGGCTTCTTTACTGGTGGATCACTCGCGGTACGAGGAGGCTACAAGTCGATGCGAAACGGCGCAATATCATGCGCCATTCTGTTGGCAGTCATCGAGGGTGTCTCAATTGGTTTCAACCGCATGATGGCCGACAACACAAGGCTGGAAGCCCCTCCTCCACCGAGCGATGTCGGCGCATCATCTGGCGGCGGCGGCATGGCTGTAGCTGCATAAACGATTTGGGTTCACGCTTCATGTTTGTGATGGACGCTTCGCTTGGCACAAAAAGAGGGCAGCATCATGTCTAGGCAAGCGATGTTTTTTTGGGAAGTTTTGGCATATACCGCAGGCGGATTCGGCAGCGGGCGGCGTTTACACTCTCCTCAGCTTTGTGCTATACCTGTATCATATACGCGACACGACTTGTACAACATCTGGAGGTGCCTCTAGACGGAAGCATGAGTGTGTAAACTTCACAGGACAATCATGGCATTTGTGGCATCTTCCAACCCTCACTAGTCTGCACCGTCAGCCAATTCCGACGGCTCGAGCTTACCGCAATAGACTGAACCGAACACCGAGCTAAGCAGATCGGATGACATCATCAGACCCACCGAAAGGTAAATAAGACACTGTGTGACCCCGGACGCCGATAATAATCTGCGCGTATGCATAGCTTCGGAGCCTCAGGAGCTGAGGTACAGACGTCGTAAGCGGCGCTGAGAATAGCCCACTGCACGTAGCCGCGCCCGGATACTATCTGAAACGAGTCATAGCCGCGCACCGACCGCTTTTATTTGACTACTTCACGTCTGGCCTTCCCGTTTGCTGTTGTGCACACCACTACAATGGGATCCACCGTAACATGATCATCTCAACACACATCGTCACAAACATCTCCATCATCACTAACCCCACGCGTTCGATCAATCCTTGAAAAACTTAATATAGCTTTAGTTTTTTAATACCAGACCTACAATGGCACCACCCAGGCGGACAAGGTCATCACCTTCCATCACGAGTCTCATCAATACCATCACAAGGAACTGGAAACTCAAATTTGTTCACGAATGTTTACCAAAGGCACTATGGCCCAACAAGCAATCCGAGGCCCGTCAATGGGGCACCGCTATCCTCACGCTCCTGAGCCAAATATCCGCCATACCTTCAGCCACCATAACGGATTTCCGATCAAAAGTCCGAAGCGCAATTAAAACACGACAAGAGAGAAACGGCTCCATAGCCAGCAGCGTGCGATGGGTGAAAGCCCCAGACCTCAAAATGGTCCTATCCCGTTACACAGAAGAGGCCGCCGCCGAACCAGCAGAACCCGTGATCCAGCCAAAAGAAACAACCACCACCACGATCACCAATAAACTCCCAACCCGCACCAGACGCGGCGGCCCCGTCCCCAAAACACCCAAAACCCCCGCCATGGAAACCGGCGACGATGGCGACGACGAAGAAGAAGACGAAGAGGTCCCCTCTTCTCAACCCCTCGCAGGAGGAAAATACCAATACCTAACCCACGTGCGCCCCGTAAAAGTAGACCTCAACCCCTCTGCCTCCGTAGCCCGCAAACCCCTCGTCTCACGACCCGCTCTGCGCGGCAGAAAACGCACCCGCGGTAATGCAGTTGAAGAAAAGGAAAACAGCATCATGATTCCAGAGATAGTAACAATGAAAATCCCACAACCGGAACTCGTTCATTGCGACCCGGACCCCAGGTTACCAGATGACACGGGTTTCCTGTCTGATCTCGACGCGGCTAGTACAGCGCTGGCGACGCGCAAGAAGAAGCGCGCCAAGAGGCTGAGCAGGTTGCAGGTTCAGCGGGTGAGGGTGCCACATTGGCAGAGGGATCCGGTGCCTACGCCGCTTGAAGCGGCTACTTCGGCGATAATGGAGGAGGGCGTCAATCGTGTAGATGTGCCGCATGAGTGTTTGGATTTGGCGGGTTTGCCAGAGATACCCGAGGGGGCGACGGTGACGGAGAGGATGATGATGGAGGAGTTGAGGCTGAGGATGGAGAAGAGGGTTTGGAGGATTAGGGTGTTGAGGATGAGGGAGAGGGAGGGCAGGGGCGATGAGGTTGTGGGGAGGGGGGAGATTGAAGCTGAGGTGGATGAAGAGGCGGATGGGGAGATTGATGTTGATGGGCAGGTTGAAGAGGTTGAAGATGATGTTGATGTAGACGCAGATGGGGATGTGGTGATGCAGGGACGTGTTCTGAGGACGAGAAAGGGAAGATAGGGGAGCAGGATGTATATGTCAGCGGCGTGATTTCAAGCTGCTTCAACTGTACAGATGTGTGCCAAGACACACAAGGGCACTTGATATGTTATACAATATTCATCATCAATTCATTCATACTTTCGACTCATAAGGCAAACCAGATGTATTTGTAAGGTTTGCTGACTAAGATACCCTGCAGAGAAGCCATATATATGACCTTGTGTGGTCCATGTTCAAGTCAATCACGTGACAATTCCCTCCCACCACCAACACTACCATCACCATATCCTATCTACTCAATTCCTCTATCAGGTCCTGATACCCCACTCACTCATTCCCCTTCCCCAAATCACCCTTCCGATTACCCACCTCCAAAACAAACATCTCCCTCCTAATCTCAGCCTTCCTCGCCGCACACACCCTCCCCTTGCTATTCTCAATGTACGCCTTAGCCATCTCCAAATGAGCATGTCCCCTATGCTCCACAGCCTCGAATTCAAGCTTGTAAGCCGTGATGCGATCTTGCACTGATGCGTTGGCTGGTAGTGCTGTGCGCGAGATTGGGGCAAGGGCTGGGAGGGCGGAGATGGGCTGGTTCAAGAGGAAAATGGAGGGGGCGGTGGGAGCGGCTGGTGTATGGGATGTTGAGTGGGTGTCGGGATGGTGCTGTTTGCCGGTTTGTTTCTTCGTTGGCTCTGGCTCTGGTGGCTTTGATCCGGCTGGTTGTGAGGATGTCTGTGATGTCTGTGGTGGTGGTAGCGATGGCGGAACAGTTTCGCATTCGCCTGTCACCGATGGGGCCTTCGTATACTTTTGAATCGTGACAGATACTGTCTGCTGTCCTTTCCGAGCGCGTTTTATGGTGTTTGGATTCCCACCCGTTGCAATCTCTGTTGAGTAGCTGCGCTTAGCTCGAGGAGGCATCGTTTTCTGTAGAGCTGTATCGAAATCGGCAATCGCTGCAAGGCAATTCGCTCTGCCTTTTCCTTTGTCCGGTTTGCAGTTATCTAGTGATGTAATCGAATCGGCAGCTGATGTAAGAGCATTTGCTCTGCCTTTGCCTTTGTCAAGTTTCCGAATAGCTGGTGCTCGACCTGCAGTGTATGGTGTTCGAGGAGGAAGAGAGACCCCGCGAGATTCCGACCCTTCCGCCCGGTCAGCCTGTCCAAGCCCCCGTTCTTGTACAAATTCTCGATAGGCTTTTTCTTCAGCTTCGATATCAACCCAAAAACCATCATCGTCCGAGCCGGGCATGTGTCCCAATACTGCCCCACTCCTTGCTGCTTCCCATTCATCCAGTTTCCTCTCACTTTCACGGGTCGTCAGACGTGACTTTTCATCGTGCTCTTCCACTAGTCGCTTCTCTTTGACCATGTCTGTAGCCATCTTTACATCGTCGATTGTCATAGCAGCAGTGGTATCCGGATGGCCACGTGTGCGCACTAATATAGCAGCCTTAATCTCTTGAAGTGCAAGTTTGGGGTCGCCTGTGGTATAACAAGACAAATTATCCAGTGCTACAAGAAATTCCGGATTCCATTTTTCAATGTTGCGCTCTCCATTAGGTAGAAGATCCGAGCCGAGGGCTTCCAGAAGGGGAAGGCCCCAAGCATTCTCTATTATTCCAGTGTAGAGGTCGAACATTTGCTTATCAAACTCCATCGCGTAGGAACCCATTGCGTAGGGCCAACTAGGGATTACCCGAGCAGCGGAGGTGCGACGCTGCCGTCGAGCTAAACGTATGTATGGGAGGCTGGATGCGGAGGTTCTTTATGGCTTTCGTGGCGTCGGTCAATCAGAGTGTATCAGGTTGGTGTAAGGGGAAGCGTGGTTACAAAGAGCGCGAGGGAACAAAGGCCCAAGCTTAAATAATTAGCGCAATTAAAATCGCCACTCGACCAGTTTGAGTGAAACTTCAGAACATCTAATGCAGGTTTGACCTTCGGTTCATTATGTCAGCATATCAGCACCCGGGCACGCCAAAAATCATCAAACGACCATTTGGAGGCAGGGAGATACCGGGTGAACCGCTGACGAAGCGGATATGCACAGACCAACACATCGAGAAAAGGGCAGAGGCACATGACCCAAAGGACTCACCACCTTTGAATCTTCTACACTTCTCGCAGGTCATGTCAGGTTTGCCACCGACGACTTCGAAGAAAGGGAAGGAAAGGGCGCGAAACCCAGTAGCACCTGGTTCTGTGGTAGACCCACACGATCTTGACACAGAGACACTAAAGCGCTGCTTCGAGAGGGACATGAAAAGATACCGAGCGAAGATCAAAGCAGATCAAGTCCTAGTAACTCCTCTCAGAGCTGTCTCTAAGCTGCTAATTGAACGGCCATCATTTGGACAAACAAGGCCCTTCATCGACGAATCTTCGAAATATGAGACCAAACAAAGCTACAAGCGGAGAAGGACAAGTAGGAAAGAGCGAGAAAAGAAATCTGATGATGTATTGTCTCGTAGACAGCGACCCATCGCCTTGAAGGCTGATATTATGGCGGCGATTGACCTCAAAGTCAAGCAGAATCGCGAACATCAGGTAGTATGCGGGAGCTGCGATAATTGTCCTATAGCTATACCATCTGAGCAACATAATCCGCACATCTCTGACATGAATAAAAGAGATGTTGATTCTCGGGAGGATTTTGCAGGCCGCTTGGGTAGTCCTATCGATCTGTCAATTTGCTCCGACTTATTGAAGCGTACTATACCAGATGAAAAACGATATCAGGATGACTTGTTGGAATCTTCACCTCGATGAGAGCGTATGATGTCACCGCCACCGGAAGGAACTTCTACAAAACAACAAAACGACCATGGCGCCGCTTCTATGGCAAAGATCGCGCGTCGCTCGGCTGGTCGCAGCGATGAGGGCTCAAAATCCAACGCTGCGAAAGGAAAAATAAAAAGCTCTTCGTCGCCACACGAAGGGGGTTGCCACGAAGGAAATAAGAAAAATCGTACGAATTCGGCTGAAGAAGATGGGCTGCGACAGCGGCTCCCGAGGCAAATAACCCCAAAAAAACAGCAGGGTCCCGAGCATCCTGTATCCTCGGGGCACCCTGTGACTTCTCTACCAAATTTCCCAGATTTCCAACAATTCACACTTGAACAGAGTGTTGTGTTGTATGATCTTACCATCAGATTGTACGAGCATAGAGAACGGCTTGCGAAACTGGCACTTGATAGGGCCAGGCTGCAGTTCGAGCTTGACAATAAAAAGGCGAAAAATGATGCACATGTTCCATGTGGTTAGGTGGTTTTGAAGGAATAATCACAAAAGTACTATGGTGTTCGTCTGATGAAATTGTCGCGTGTCGTCACTGTTAGACGTGCTGCGCTGGCCCATTTTGGGGCTGGAAATCTCTCGTACGTGGCGTTACAAGTACTGGAAGACAGTGCGGTCAGTAAAAACAAACGGGAGCAGCATCAGGTGTCAAGCTGATGATTTGGCCTTGTCATGGAAGAGGAGAGTTGAGCGGTGGCTGGCTTCAGAAGTACGAAGGGGAAGGTGGGGCCGCGCTAATCCATTTTGGAACAAACGGACCAGCTTTAAAGTTGTCTCCAACATGACAACGCTCCTATCTCTTCATCACATTTTAAAGAACATACTAGAACCCTTCAACAAGCTCCGTCACTACTTACCAACTCCAAGTCATGTCTCACACCCCCAGAATCGATTCACACCAGATGCCGGCACCCTGACATCGCACATGAGACAGCTTTCACTCAAGACTATAAGATTGAAACTTCAGTGACGTTTCTCAATAGCAAGATTCACTGTATAATTCCGTTCACTATGCAAATATCTATATACTCACACAATGTTCCATCGCCATCCGCTGCAGCAGATGTTGTTCACTCATAAGGCATACCGTATATCACTTCGTTCATCAACGCTACTGTCTCATGCGCACTGTTTATATACTACCATCGCCAGAATTGCGAATATAAAAATCTTCCATATTATCCGGTAGTAGCAGACCAGCATTCGCTTCACACTCATCCACTACACTACCTTTTCACACACAGACAGCATGTTCTTCGACTACGTTTCTCGTGGACGTTCTTCCTCTCGCACTCAGGGGTCAGGCGCAGGCGCCAACTTCATGAACGCGACTCGCAGCGGCTCTGATTACGCTCCTACGTACCAGTCTGGTTACGCCGCTCCCGACTATGGCTGCTCAGGCTCACAGTCATACGGTTACGATTCTCTTTCTCGTCCTCCGGGTCGCTCGAACACTTCTGCTAGCGATCGTAGCGTATACGGCCATGGGCTGAATGCGCGCGATCTATCGCCTATGCGTGAGAGCACCCGACCCCGTCGCGGTCCCATCGTCTGGCAGGAGCGTCCTGTTTCGCCTTTGGGTTCCTCTCGTTTTGAGCGTCCATCTGAGTACGCCGGCCGCCAGGCGCGTCCGTCTACTTCTGGTAGGTTGTCATCTCATTCATACGGTTCTAGCTCTTCTAGTTCGTACGGACGTCAGTCAATATCATCTGGATCATCTGGTCGCTCTTACCAGATCGATCATGGATACGACGGTGCCTTTGCAGTCAACCGCGGCTACGATGGGATGAGCAATGGATTCCCAGAGGGTCCAGGCTTGTCCCGTCGCAACGCCGTCCGTCGCCCTACTGAGCGCTCATCTTCACACGGTGGATATGAGCCGCGTCCGCCCATGGGCGCCAACTTTCGTTTTGGTGGGTACGGCGACTGGCAGAACTACTAGGCTCAGTCGAGCTTGGTAGTTGTTGTCTTCCTTCTGGTTGCGTTGTTGCTCTGCTGACCATTTCATTAGATGTCGTGTTCGTCTCCCTTTTGCTCGCTTTGCTTGTTTGACTTTGCTTGGCAGGTATATTCGGCTTGCACTGCATCGCTTTCTGCATCGTTTTGGATCATTTATGCACTAGCTAAAAAACACAAAAACATCTTAAAATCTCATATTCACATCCTTCCAATATCTCTAAAAGTGACTCTTCTTCGAATCTATATGTACAAAACCTTGGAACTTCATATATAAACACTAACCCCCAGCGAGAATCTACTGGGTGAGCGCTCTCATCATCTTTCTGCCTCTCGCAAACTTCGGCTCTGCTCCCACCGGCCTCGCCTCTGCAACCGACGTCACATCTTCATCTTCCTTATCCCTGTACTTCTCTTGCTCGTCGTCTCCACCCACTATATCAGATGGAAGATTGATCGCGCGATCAAGAGCATAAGGCAGACCCCTGTGCCTACCACGCAGCATCATAAAGCAAATAACAACCTTTCCAAAAACATTAAAGTGACCAGACAGCGACGTCGCATTCGTCGGGTAACCCAGCGAAAGTCCAACATTTCCGTACGCCGACACGACTTCGAAGAAGACAGCGAAGACGGAGAAAGCCTAATTGCCCGATTAGCAACCACACCCTCATCAGATATCAACTTTCCGACTTACCGGATCCGCATTATTCATAATCCTCTTACTCTCCCCAATACAAATACAAAACACACCCAGGAAAATATACCAAAGATCAAAACTAAGCTGATTCCGCATATGGTTAATCAGATAAGTCTTGCTCCCTTTATCCTCATCTAGACTCTCCTCTGCGGCGTACAGTCCCACGGGCTTCTCCTCGTAGCTCTCGCTCATACGGATGGAAATGGCAATCGGATACACGGAGATGTACATCATAACCAGCAGACTAAACTGCACAGCGGGGTTAACGTTGGCAAGATTAAACGTCGACGTACCCGTGTGTCTGCTGGACGCGGACTGGAAGATGGCAGCGAGGATGCGGTGGCCGACGGCGAGGACGTTGACTTCGGAGTTATCGAGATCGAGCACGATGATGAGGAGGGTGTCGATGAAGTTTAGGATGATGAGAATGGTGGCGAGGATCCACGTGGCGGTGCTGGGGAAGAGGAGTGTGTAGCAGCGTCGGGGGTGGTCGAGGAGGAAGCGGGTGGATTCTTGGAGCGAGGACCCGGAGGGGGAGAGCTTGTTGATGGTCCAGATGAGGAGGCGCAGGAAACACGGGTAGAATGTGTTGCCGGCGAAGGCGAGGAACGACATTACTATCATGGGCCAGACTGTGTCACGGAAGGATATCATGCTGTCTGGGGTGAGGGTGAGGCCGAGATTGTTGACCATGGTTTGCGCCGAGTAGAACGCCCTGCATTTTTTGTTAGTGATGAAGCTTGGGGGCGGGAAAGGCGGGTTAGACGCGTACCACCATGTCTTGTCTACACCATGTGAAGCGAGGAGGTCCTGGTATTTGGAAGGTGCGAGATGGATCCATGGGAGTAGACAAATGACACCGAAGATGTGCAGGCCGAAAAAGTACCCTAGGTGTCTGATTAGCTTCTGAGATGGAGCTTTGCATGAACTCAGACGTACCAATGGTGATTTTAAGCAGGACACGTAGCGCGCGGTACTCCACACCTCCCAGTTCCTCTGGAGTCAGGGATGACAAGTCAAGGGGCTCTCTTCGGGGCTTGCTCTCGCTGCGAGTGGCGCTTGAAGTGCTTCCTAGGACAAACATGGAGGATACAACGCGATCTACAGAGGTGGCTTTGCTCATGCTTCGCGTACTACGCATACTTCGCGTGTTTGACTTGGTACGGCGCATGGCGTAGCTTGAATCTGCGATGGGCTTGATTTGGTCTTCATCTTCATCTATCAGAAGTGGATTAGCTTATGAATGTCACAAGCTGTTCGTGTGAACTTACCATCGGAGGTCATGGTAATAGGCTCGCCTGTCATCATGTTAGTACTTCAACAATCGTAAGTCTCTGAGAGTGTTTACCATTATCGCGTTCCCGCGGCCCAGGAATATACAGCGCACCCTTCTCATTGGCACGAAGCCTAGGATCAGGAGCGAACTTGATGTGCGGTAAGTTGGCTTCATCTTTCGACTCATCTTTTGCTCCTTCTTGGGAGCTCTCAGTCTGGACTACCGGCCTCTTCTCAGAAACCGTTTCGCCAGTAAGGCCGCCCTCAATATCGCGCGTCTCGGAAATATTAGCTGCAATCTGACCCTGCTGCTCGCTAGTCTCGTTACGGCTCACTGGTCTCCGGTGTGCTGCCGCTGTATACGATTAGTCCTGCATGAAGCCGTCTCCCCGAGGCTGCAACTTACTGATACCCTTGAGCTTCTGGCTGAACCATCGTAACCTTACAACCACGACCAGGATGTTGATGAAACCCAAATTCGTGATGATAGGCACGATATACAGGAAGATCTGTTGATACGTCTTAAGCGCCTTCAAATCAACACTGCGCAGCACCAACAGCAGACTCCGCAACAATCAATTAAGTGGGTCCAGAGAGGCCATATTTGATTTGATTGATTACCTATTTAGGCCTAGTAATTACCCGTAGAGGTTTAACCCCTACCTAGATAGGTAAGTGGGTCTTTATAAGAGGCATATTTGATTTGTTTGTTGCGGACTGTGACCAACAGTCAGTCCAACACGCTCCAACAACCTGTCCCAAGCGCAAATCAACTCACGGATTCAACCCAGACTCAGTCGAGCAGCTGACGCCAAAATAGTACGTATCTATAGCCGAAAGATTGCCATACGGGTACATGATAGCCATGGCCAGAACACCGAAACTGAGAATATACGCATCTAATCCACCATTCTGATTAGTCCACTGCACCCGTCAACGAAACCAACCGGCGGATGTAGCCGGCCTATCGTATTTTGCATCTGCATCCAGGAACTCCAAACTTACAATGCAGCGTGATGAAGTTTATTGGTGGCTTCCACATATTTCCGATCCGAAGTTGAGGCAATTATGCGTGTTGAACGAACGGAAAGACGCAGGGTGTGAAGGGAATAAAGTTGTACAACAAAGGGCGCAGGCGTGTATAATACGTTAGGACAGCCGCAACACGCAAGAAATACCGCAGCGGTGGTAACAGCAAGCGAGTAAAAACTGAGGGGGTTGATCACCTTACAGTAAGCAAGGCAAGCAAGGACCAAGGGGTTGCGAGGGAAAAAACAGATGCAAGAGAGCCGATTGTGTTTACATGAGGTCAACCCCGAATCCGTCCTACGTATGAGGGATTTATCTCACGTGCAAAACGAGAGCGAGTGATCAGCACCATCTACCAACGTGCTGCTCCGCCACCTTTCCAAGCCTTTTGCGTTCCTTCATTACGGCCCTTTTCCTGCTTATCCTTCCTGCCAGTCGGTAGTTTTGCACGTGAGAGTGTGCCCTCGATTTTCTCACGCTGCCTGCGCCAAGGGTGTGAGTGATTAATTCGCGCATTTTCCTGCGGCTGGTTTGATGATGTCTACATCGTTTCTGCATGCGGGCTAGCGTGCTGGTTGTCCCGCGGCGAGCGGCGTTGTTACTGGCTGGGAGGTTTTAGGTATTGCGGTGCTGTGGGGGCATTAGTTCCCCATGATAAGGTCGTGGGTTTTTGCTTGCTTGTTTGCGTGAACGGCGGGTGCAGCAGGTGAGTTTGTGCGCGTGCGCGTAAGCCGCCTAGGTGGTGCGGGCTACCTATACCAGCTTTGTTGAGTGTAGGATAAGCGTGTGTGTGTGTGTGTGTGTATTGTCTGGCCTGCATTTGCACAACTGCCGTTCTTTTGTATCAGACGAATGCATCTCCAAGCACCGAGGAACGACCTTGACTTTGATAACACCCGCTCTCCAGATCGCGAACCTCGGGAAGACAGCAGAGTGCCGCCGCCAAAATTGCACACACCGCGATCTTGCTAGCATACCACGCCATTATTTCAAGCTTGCTTCGTACTCGCTAATCGTCGCACAGTGAGGTTGAGCAAGGAACAGGAAATGCAGGGCGACAGGCATGTGGCAAGTCAACTAGCCTGTATACTTACCTAGGTACCTACCTAGCCCCTCTCTTTGTCCGTCGCGCCGGACACAGCCTTATTCGCGACACGAGGTGCGAACAAGCATTTCAGTCTGCACTTGGGTAATTCTTGTGTAACGGGAATTCTTCCTTGTTTTCGTATCAGTTGCGGTCACGTTATGTGAGATGATGGGAAATCGCACAGTGTACAGTAGGGAATAGTTTGAAGGAAAGTCAACATCGTATTCGCTGTGAATAGGGTTGAGGACCCTAGATAATAGCCATCTTGTTATACGCAAACTTGCTGCATACACACGCAAACCGTGATAGTCATAGAAATCTACCAATTCCCACCATGAACTCCATACACCCTTCACCGTACTCCAAACACGCTAATCGCAATCTTCAGTTCTTCCAAACATCCATCTACAACATCTACCCACATGGCACAAGTTAGCCCTGATGACCTAGCCACACCACCAAAAACGCCGCAGGAAACGTAACCAAGCCCACTGCCAAACCAGCCGCCTGAATCCCATACCCATGAAACAGAGTCTTCGTCTTCTCCGCCACCGACTGCGTCGGCACCTGCTCTGTAACCTGCGTGACTGCAGCAGTCTTCGCCGCCCTCTTCTGTGCCTTCTTGCCGCCCTTTTTGCCGCTCTTCTTGGGCTTGGGCTTGTTCGCTGGGGTGGCGTCGAAGAATTCGGCCTCGTCGTCGGAATCGGCAGCAGAAGGGGCGGGAGAAGGATGGACAGACTGTTCGTGCTCTGTGGTGTCGATGTTGTCAGAAGATTCCTCAATAGGAGGGACAGTGGAGGTAATGGCCTCGTCACCAGGCATGAACGCCTCTGTAGAGCGCATTTCCTGGTCGACAAGCTCGTCGTAGAACAGGTATTCCTGTCGGGCCTTCTTCTCCCGACGTCGCTGGGCCCTGGAGATCTTGGGAAAGGGGGCGGTGGAAGGGGGAGGCGAGGTGTTGCCTGGGGTCAATGGAGGTGTAGGCAGGGCGATGGGGACATGTTCGTGGGCGGGTTCGGGCACAGTAGGAGGGACTGAGGGCGAAGACTCGGTGACGACGGCGACGTCCTCGGTGGAAGGAGCCGGGCCTGAGACATCCATGTCGGAGGCAACAGACATCGCCACATCCTCCTTCTGAATACCTACATGTGCTGTAATCTCCGAGATCTCGTCAGCCGTGTCGAATACGGTAGGCGATGCTGTAGCCGGGATGTCTTCAGACTGCTCTGTGGCCTCGGTAGCAACAGGCGATGGAGCAGCGGGGAGGTTCTCAGGCTTCTCGCCAGCCTCAAAATTGTCGTCTTCGGTAGCAGCAGGCTTCTCCGGTTCGTCTGGGGTTGGAGGCAGAACTGCCTCCTCGACTGGCTTCTCCTCCTGCTTCTTCTTGGTGGCAAGCTCCCTCTCTGCCTCCTCCTCTTCCACCTCAGAAGCCCAGTCCCAAGACTTTCGGGTAGCAGGAGAACTACTAACCAAAGACTCGGTCTTGCTGCTGGAAGAAGCGGGTTCCGCGGGAACAACTGGGACAACTGGGTCGGCAGACTTTGATACGTCTGCGGAGGCAATCTTGGGGGCAGGCTTCGGCAAAGCAGCCTTGTCAGCAGTCTTGCCCACGTGTGAAGTCTTCTTCACAACGCACTGAAGAGGCGACTTAGGGCAGCCAGTCCACAAAGCATCCCACTCAGCTGCCAATTGCGAGATGGGAATTGGCATCTTTCCATCCTTGCCCTTGACTGGCCCAGCAATGATCGACGTCTTGGTGCTGGAGCCAGCTTTGGACTTTGGCCAAACAATCTGGGGAATTGGACAGAAGACGAAGACTCCAGTCTCAGCGACAGAGATCGCATCATCCTTGACGGCGGTGCCCAGCTCAGCCTTGGAGAGGGATGCAACGGGAGACTTGGGAACAACAACCGCGGGCTTGGAGACAGGAACAAGAGTCGCAGCCATCTTCTTCTTTGGCTGAGCTTGTCCCTTACCCTTCTTGCTCTTGACACCAGCGACTTCCCAGCCCTCGTCATCCTTCTTCTGAGCAGCAAGAGACGCCTGGGCGGGAAACGGCTTTCCTGCATCCCATGCCTTGCCGGATTCCAGCTCAGACATATTATCGTCGTTAGGAAAAGGATGGCAACCTGTCTCGTTTTCTTGCTGCATCAACAAGGCCACAATGCGCTTATCGTCGTCGGTTTCAGTGGCCTTGACACAGCGGGCTTTGGCAAGGGCGCGCAGCGATTCCGGATCAAAGCCGCCGTAGTACTGCTGGCTATAATCGAAGGAAGACATAGCTGCGGTTGGATGTGATTTGAAGTTGTGGTGGGGTTGAATGAGTGAGATGGTGGTGGTGGTAGAAAAGGTGTTTCGGTATATCGAGTGCAGCGCTTTTAGTGAGCGATCGATGTGAGCTGCACACTCGGTGCATTGGTCGTATGGGGTTGCGGTGGGAAGGAAAGTAGGTCTTGGGGGAAAGGAGCTTAAGTACCCTTAGGAAGCGTCTGCTGCGTAGAGGTGCGCGCAAGGTATGTCTGTGCGACGTGGATTAATCGTAGGTATAATGTGGTTGCGATAAAATGGAAGGATTTCCTGCCTAGGAGTGTAAAAAGGGTCTACCTGTATGTGCGGTAGCCAAGTGGCGAAAGTCGTTGCACTTTCACTCAACCGTGCCAAGAAGTGGATGATTATGACCACAGGGTTAGTGCCAAAAACAGTCGAGTCGAGATTTACTGAGGGGGAAACTGTATTTGCTAGATCAGATGGTCTGGGGAGAAGTCAGGAGTTCGATGAATTTAAGTACATAGGTGCAAGAGGGGAAGCGACTAGCGGGTTGACCCTGCCCTTGTAGAACCAAGGTTCATATGCTCATTCATTGCATTTTCATACCAACGTACAACAGGGTATCATTAAAATCGATTCAACCAAGGTTATTCGCTGTGAAAGGGACCCATTACTACCGTGTCTCGTGGTACCTTGCAGCTCTAGTGGTGATTTTCCAAACCCTCTAGGGCAACACCGGTATACTTTTCACCCAGTCTGGGATTTGCCACCCATTATTCTGATACAAATTGCACAGCTCTGCTCGGAACCGTGCAGATCTCGCCGTGATATCGGTAACGGTGCAATCGCGTAGAATACCACGGTATGGATGTGACCCAGCATTGGGATTACAGTATTTTTGGAATACATCCTCGAGGACTCGATGCCCTGGTTACAATTAGTACAACTCAGATGGTCAGCAAAATTGATAACGTGGCTTACCTGCACAATGCTCCAGCCCTTCCAGTAGGGCCGCCTCCTCTTCATCAGTCCATTCGTGATTATCTGTGCGTGTTGACCCCGAGTGGTGAGGTGGATGGGAACGCGGCATGAAGACTGGTATTCGCTCAAACTCGAAGCCATTTGCATCCCTTTCTTCAGCAGCTTCGATAGATTCCAGGGGTGTAATGACGAGATTCCTTCTTCTTATAGGGTTTGGCTCGCACCGCATACGAGCTACATGCAGCTCCTGCCAGCGTCTCCACGCTGTTAGCTTTTTCTCTCGTATTTCCATCTGAATTCTCTCTTCTTCTGCTTTCTGCTGCACTCTCCGCTGAAGCTCCTCCAGTTGTTCAAGACGTCGCTGCTCATCTTTGAGTTGACTCAGACGTGTGCGATACACCTTTACCACCTGTCGAAGCGGAGTAATGAGCCCCGAGTCGACGTCTCGGATGAGTCTATCACCCCTGTAGCGTTGAGGTACAGAGACGTTCCATGTGGTAATCATGTCCTTCAACGTCAAAATATGGCCCATGAGTCGTAACAGTATACGCAGCGCTTCCTGCGACTCAGTCACGGTACCACATTTCTCAGACAGCCAATCGTACAGTGCCTCAAGGAATAGCGTCAGATGGTGGAAGACATGACTGTAGGCATCAGCCTTGAATGCTGGTCGGTCTACCTCTTCGAGCTCTGAATGAACAAGTCTAAGCTGCGATTGCACTGTGTCAACACTCTCCATGACTTCGTCCATTGACATGTCGTCCTCTTTTTTGGGAGCGCCTCTATAGCATGTACGCCTGATAACTCTTGCCAGTTTGGTTTGACACTTTCCAGCGCGTTCTTCGATGTCGAGGAACTTGAAAATAGTTTCAATGTCACCAGTGTGCTCAGAAACAATTCTAGGTGCCTTTTCACGTTCTTCTGAATCAGATTCAGCATGTTGCGACGCGTCTTCGACATATGCATCATCTGAGGCCACTTCACCGACGGTATTTGTGGCTTGCACTGACTCTTCCCTATTGCTATCTGCACTTTGCGCTCCGCCTGGGACCTGGTCACTCGACTTGGTACTTCCGCTAGAAGCTTGCTTTCGGGGCTTTCCACGTTTCTTGGCAGGTTCTAGTTCTGATCGCTCTCCTATTTCTGTGTTTGCAGTGTCCTGGACATCTATTGGCTCTTTGTCGGTCCGTTGTTTCTTACTCTTGCGAACCGGGATTTGCACTTGACGTTGGTTTCTTTTTATGGGATCAGAACTGCCCAAGCTCTGCTCCAGATGTCTCCTTGGGTTCTGAGGCATGTCACTGCCAGTCTCTGAGACCAATTTCCTCTTAGACGTGGGTTGCGCACTGGTTGGAGCTTCTTCTTCCTGTACAGGCGACTTTGGCGGTTGTATCGCATGTTGGTTCTCGTGGGTCGGACACCGTGCACCATTGATAGTTTCCACCGTCGCGATTCTATGACATTGCGTAGTGGTGCCTTCTATGACTGTGATGTCTCCACACCTCACGGCAGGATGCTTGTCATGGTGTATACTGCATCGTGTTCCGGTCTCTGTAGCATAGCATCCACCTTTTTTACACTGCTGGTAACGAGGACCCGTACGTTTGTCGTACTTGTAAGCAACTGCGATGCATCGAGGCTTTCCGTCGGCGAGCGTTTCTTCAATTTCTACATCTTCCGGTCGGCCAGTCTCCTCAACTGCCTCATTAACGTGGTCGTCGGTACCAGCAAAGGCAGCTTGGGACGGGGATGGAGGTAAAGGGCGCTCTTCATTATCGTCCCCGACTCCAACCTGAGCCAAGACTTCAACCGACTGCCGTCCACTCGCTTCCAGCACCGGAGCATCTGACGAAGCAATAGGCTCATGGACCTTCTCCTGCTCCACCTTCTTGTTCTTTTTCTTCATAACCTTTAGCTTCTTGTGATTGACCTTTTCCGGCAGCGCATATCGGCCTTTCTCAGGACTCAATTCGATATCATACACATCCCCCCGTCTAGCGAGATTCTGCCTCGGGCCATCAGGAACCATGGTCACCCGCTTGAGCTTGCCTCTTGCTTTGCACGCCATGTCTACCGGCGGACTACTATTTCGGTGCTCTATACGCGCTGCATTGAGGAGGTTTGCTCCGAGGACTGCAGAAGGTGGTGGGACATTTGCGACAGGGGAACGCGATTCGGTTTCGGTGAAGAGTTGCTGGGCGGCAGCTTCCGCGTCTTCGTTAGAGGGGGGAGGGCTGGATGCGCGAGTGGCTGAGGGCGAGGCTTCGTAGCCTATTCCGGTATCGTCAGTTTAAATCGCATGAGATGGAAGCATAGGTTTATTAGGGTAGCAGCTACTATGTCATTGCGACAGCTTCACGCGGGTAGCCGCTACGCCCGTCGGGCAGCAAGGCAACACAGCAAAACACCTACCTATCCTCTTTGGCGGATCGTTAAGACGCGCCATCAGCGAATCTATCGGTCGCTAGTGCAACCCGCGAGAGTGAATGTATCCGCTATGGTGGGGTCGGGTGCCAGAAGCTGGGAAAGCGCGAATAGTGGGTCCACCCCCAAAACACGTTGTCACATGAGCGAACAGATGGCCCGACACCCACTACCCAAGAACAAGACTATCCAACCCTCATCATGGCATCCAACACCCACAACGCCCCCGTCTTGGATGTAATCGATAAAGATGCAGGACACGCCTTCCAACTCCCCGTCAAACGTATCCACGATGGCGATGACGTTACGTTTTTTCTTGCCAGTAGGGCCTACGCCGACATCATGACCTTCATCTTCCAGCTCAACACTTCCATGATACCGCGCAAAGTTAACAGTAAAGAGCAAGGAAAAGATGCATCTTTCAAGGAATGGATCCTAAATGACCCGGACGTGCCCCACCCGCCTATTGTCCAAAGCCTTGCCAAGCTTCTCGAAGCCCTAACATCCATCATCGATGAGGCACCTCCGGACCCTGGACCCCGCCGCTTCGGAAACGTGAGCTTCAGGACCTGGTACGATATTGTGCGGGAAAGGGTTCCGGACTTGCTAGATCAACATCTACCGGCCTCAGTCTTGGCATTCAAATCTACCTCTGATGTGCCCGCCAAAACAGAACTAGAAGCCTATCTTATCGGCAGTTTTGGTAGTTCACAGCGCTTAGACTACGGAACGGGCCATGAACTTTCTTTCCTCGCCTTCCTCGGATGTCTTTGGAAACTCGGTGCTTTCCCTGAATCGCAAGATGGAGATCAAGAGCGTGGCATCGTGCTGGGTGTTATCGAACCCTACCTTGCGCTCATCAGGCGGCTCATCTTGACATACACGTTGGAACCCGCAGGATCACACGGCGTATGGGGTCTGGACGATCATTTCTTCTTGCCATACATATTCGGCAGCGCACAATTCTCCCCGCCCATAACTACACCCGGGGATGTCGCAGCAGAAGGCTCACTACCATCAGCACCGCACCCCGGTGACGTAGCCAAAGCCCCAGCCGTAGAGCGCGAACGACGACGAAACATGTATTTCAGCGCCATCGGCTTCATCTACGACGTGAAAAAAGGTCCGTTCTGGGAACACAGCAACATCCTGTACGACGTCTCTGGTGTAAAAGCCGGGTGGGCAAAGATCAACAAGGTAAGTTCTACTCTCCAAGATCTCAAACTCGATGCTCCATCCTCCCTCAAAACCTGCTTGTCGGAGCAGTAAAATAACTAACAGCAACGACACAGGGAATGATCAAAATGTACAACGCAGAAGTCCTCTCCAAATTCCCAGTCGTCCAACACTTCCCCTTCGGCTCCCTCTTCCCCTTCACCCCCGACCCAGCAGCAAAGGAAATCCAAGCCACTGTCCATACAGCTAGTCAACCGAAATCTTCTTCTCCGTCTTCTGCTACCACTAATGCTGCTGGTTCTGCTTCCCAAGCACCCTTACGAGACGCACTCGCCGATTCCTCTGCGCCTGCGATGACGAGACCGCTGCCTCCGCAGGGTACCGCTGCTGCAGGTACGGCGGCGCCGTGGGCGGGTAATGCTATTCGCCAGGTACCTGCGCAAGGCGGTATGCAGAGTACAACGGCGCCGTGGGCAACAGCTTCTTCTGCGCGTGGTGGGGGTCAAGCACCCGGTGGTGGTATGCCAATGACATCTGCGCCGTGGGCGAGGGGGGCAGCGACCCAGGGCCCACAGGTACCGAGTGGACCGGACCAACCTACTAAAGCGCCGTGGGCGTCGAGGACGCCGGCCCCACCTCCTCCGGGAAGTGGTACAGCGGCGCCATGGGCGAGGGGCGGTGGGGGAGATGCGCAGCAGCAGCAGCCGAGTACCCGGGCGCCTTGGGCGGATAAGAGATGAGAGGGTTTGCTGGGGTGTGTAGGGTGAGTTGGGATTTGTATGAATAGTTGACGATGATGAGCATCATGAATATAGCTTAGACGATAACATCATAGAAAACGCAGTCACAACACACAGAAATAGAAAGAAACATGTATATTCTAAACCTCATCATATCTTCAACAAGCATTTTTTTTCACGCAGACCAGACAAAAACACCGAAGTGTCTCCCCCACAACCCTCCCTACGCCACATTCTCCATCAACCCCGCTCCAACCGTCCTCCCTCTCTCCCTCAACACAACCCTCATCCCCTCTTCAATCGGTAACTCTCTCTCCAATTGCACCACCACTCTTGCAACCTCACCCGGTTTAACAATTCTCGGCCTCTTCTTCACAACTTCGCCCGTAAACTTATTCAGCTTAGCACTCAACGTCCTGATTCCACCGGGCGAGTTAAGCGTGCTGCGGAACACCTCCACAGGCATAGGCAACACGTGTTCAAAGGCCAAGAGCTTAGATGTAAAAGCCTTGACGAGTTTGACGGGGTCTTTGGGGGCGCAGACAATGTCGCCTTGGCGGAGGTGAATGGGGTCGATATCTGCGAGGTGTAGGGTGGGGATCTGGCCTGCAACAGCCCATTCTACGGGCGCATCTTGGACTTCGATGGATTTGATGGTTGCGGTTTCGTTGGCAGGGAGCGCGAGGATTACGTCGCCGATTTGAAGTGTTCCGGCTTCGATGCGGCCGGATATGCTGAGTGGCGAGCGCATGTCTCCGCGGAAGACATCGGCGACGGAGAGACGGAGGGACTTTTGGAGGTTTCGCTTGGGTATTTCGATGCGTTCGAGAGCTTCTAGAAGCGTTTCGCCCGTGTACCAATGTGCGGCGGAGTTTTCAATCTTTTTGACGACGTTTTCGCCGGTAAGACCAGCTAGTGGTATGAAGGTTATCCGCTTTTCCAAAAAGCTTGCGTCTGTGAGGAAAGTTGACATGCGCTTGGTGATTTCGTCGAATCGAGATTTTGACCAGCCAACGGTGTCCATCTTGTTTACAGCTACGATGATATGCTGCATTCCCATGCTTCGTGCGATCAAGATATGCTCCTTTGTTTGACCTTTGAGACCAGACTCAAAGCTGTTCGTACTCGCGTCGATGACTAGGACCGGAAAGTCGGCTTGTGACGCTCCAGAAATCATATTTGGGATGAAGTCCTTATGTCCAGGCGCGTCCAATATTGTAAAGCGCGTCTTTTCTGTCTCGAAGTAGTTGGTTGCGATATCAACAGTAACGCCACGGCTTCGCTCTTCGCTGGTCTCATCCATAACCCAGGCTAGTGCGAACGACGACTTTCCAATAGTCTCTGCCTCTTTTCGCAGTTTGTCTATTGACCGTTGGTCGATGACTTTGAGATCATAGAGCAGACGGCCCATGAGTGTGCTCTTGCCGTGATCAACATGTCCTTTTCACTCTTAGTATTGTAACAACAGCAGGATTATTCGGTATTTTACTCACCCAATACGACAAAATTCGCCATTCGCTTCATATTGCTCTTCTCGAACTCATCTATCACATTGAGGTTCTTGCTCTTAACTCTAGACTCTTCGGAAACGGCGAGCTTCTCGACTGACTCTGCCAAATCACCGTTGGTCTGCTTCTTCTTCTTTTTCGGTGTAGTTCCTGTATGCCTTAGAAATGCGACTTGATAATGTACAAGAGTCTAGTGGCGTCCGCCGCCCGCGCCCTTTGCCTGTGCTGCCCGCACCACATCGTCCGGACTCGGTCCTGCAAAGGCTTCTGTTCCATCAAAAGACTTGTACGCAGCGAATGGCACTGGGAATTCTTCAATCTGGGGTTGTGGATGCTTGGTCGCGTAATCAGACCCGCAAAGAGTGGAAGCAAACATTGAGGCTGTTGCGCGTTGCGCTGGGAAATCAACAACGATGGCTGGCTGTGGCGCGTCAGGCTCCACCGTCTCAGGTTCCTTTGGGGCCTCTGGGGCTGGCGACGGGGAACGTCTTCGGATGGGGTATCTAGACGTTCGAGATGGGCGCTCTGCTTCTACACTGCTGGGTTTCTCTGGATTGTTGACCGAGAGCTTGTCGAGCATGGCGATGGCCGCGTCCGCATTACTTTTTGTTTTTGAGGCTGCAGCTTCGGCATCCTCTCGCTCCTTTCTTCGCTTAGCTGCAAGTGCAGCCAACTTTGAAGAACCTCCCAGCAAACCTCCTCTGTAGTGTGGCGCATCGACGGTTATAACACCTATACGTTCGGGTGGTACGTTGCCCCAGGGGATATCCCAGAAGAAGTCTGTGACAGCAGAGTTGGCGGCAGGCATCGAGATTGGGGGCAGGCAGATGGTGGGCAACGGTGCGACAGGACAGACGGACTCTTGCATGTCGCTAAAGTATATGTGAGTGTGCTTACCTGCAGTTGTGGGCGCATTCTGATGCGCTACGCTGGCAGCCTGATCGAACCGCGACGTTGGTTTGGCCTTTTCCTGCTTGGGTGCTTCTTGCTTTGGTTCCGCAACCCCCAGCTTGTTCTTCAAGTACGACACACTCTTGCCCACGTCGTAGTAGTAATGCCATAAAGCTTCTTGGATTTGCTCATCGCTTGTAAAGTCGCTCACGTCTCCCAGAGCTTCCCTCACTCGTATTGTGCCTGTGCGCATCTGTTCTTTGTCGTCTTCTGTCATGCCGTCTCCTGCATCGGCATCCTCCCCGCCCTCTTCATAATAGTCGTCATCGTCGTAGATATCGTCGTCGTCGTAACCGACGTTACGCGTGCGCGAGATGCCACTCTTAGGAGGCATTGCGTGTGGTTGCCGTCGATGGTCTGGAGGGTGGAAGTACTGGGGTTGCTTGAGCCTGTACAGCCGAGAGGAAATTTATTGTTTCGCGTACTTGGGGGAGAGGTGTCACTGGTTCGATAGTTTGAAAATCGTCGCGTACCTTGGTTGACGTCGACGGTAACTAGTGGGGCAGTCATTGACGTATGGCGCGGCTGCAATTGCCCCGCGCTAAGCAGCTCCAATGGTCAGCATTGCAGTGCAAGTGACCCAATTCAACATCTTGTACAGCATTAGAATGTGGAAAGAAGACGTCAAGAAACTATTGCATTGCTATGAATCAAACTCGCCGAAAGCTCGAATCCGCTCGTCCAAAGACGCAGCAGTGGGGTATAGTATTAGTAGAAAACCGCGAAAAAACAATGCCTGGGAAAGAGACCCTAACTGACACCTTGGCAATTTTCATCTGCGCCTGCCTCGAACACGGTCAACACGATTGCGGATCTTCCGCCATTGTCTTCGGAACCATCTGTACGTATGGGAGTGTCCTCGTGGATATTGCCCTGGTGTAGGCACTGGGGGACGCCCTGATCGAACCTGGTTCTCCCCGCTGTCGACAACCGATGATCCTTTAATGGAATCCTTCTAAGCTTGCACTCTGTCCTTGGGATCGACCGAGGTAGGAGTAGCCGCAGGTGCAGCCGAGATCTCCTCGGTAGGAGCCGCAGGGGCTGGGGCCGGAGCAGGAGCGGCGGGTTGCTCAGCTGCAGCAGCGGGCGCTGATGGAGCGGTAGACTGCTCAGTTTCAGCGGCCGCAGCTGGTGCAGGGGCAGGCTTCTCGTCGTGAAAGTTGGGCTCATCAAACATGGGTCCACTTGTCGCGCTCATGCCAGCGGCAGGCTTGCTGCTTGGCACCTCTGGAACATCTACTGGGGCAGCTGGTGCAGGTGTATCACTTGCCTTAGCCTCAGTTTCCTTCGGGGCCTCAGTAGCCGTGGGCTGAGCTTCAGCAGCAGTTGGGGGCACGGGCGCAACGGCGCCGGCGGGTTCAGGGGCTGAAAGAGAGTCGTTAGTCTATGGGTATCTTTGGTGTAAAAAAAAAAGGAAAATCGTCGAATATCGTAAGAGTGGTAACGTCGCGTGAGATCAACCATGGCCTTCTTAGGCGGGACCGGACCACTGGTTGTCCAAGGTGACTTTCATTCGTCGCCTGGAGCCATCCCAGGCATCTTCATCCTCGTACTCTTGTGGGGTGGAATTGGAGTGGAATGATGACATACTCGCTGTAGCCTTTCTGACCTCAGTCAAAGCAGCAGCTTCGTCTTTCTTGGCCTCATCCTGGGCTGGTGCCGCAGCCGGTGCAGCTGGTGCAGCCGGCGCAGCTACCTCGGCAGGTGCGCCGCTCGTCGCGGGCGCAGGCGTAGTCTCCGTCGTCGCAGGCGCTGGTGCAGGCTGGGGCGCAGTAGCAGGGGCTGGTGCAGCTGGTGTGGTTTCGGTGGGCGCCGCATTTGAGGGGCCAGCCGTTCCAGTGGCCGTTGACTGGTTCTTAGACTTCTTTCTAAACAGACCCTTGAAAGCCTTCTTCATCGTGTCGACGGCGTCGAGTGCTGTAGGAGAAATGTGTCAGATAGCGAAGCTCTGGGAATGATAATGATAGCGATCGCGTGGGATGATATGGTGTGTAATGGGCTGGCGGAAGAATGTGGGCTGTGTTTGTGTTTATATCGTGGTTGGACAAGGCAACCGCCATCGCAGACCTGCAAACAACGAGCACCGATGATTTCCGTGTCGGTGACGTGGAAAGAGTGAGATTGAAGGTGAAGGAACATTGCACTTACGAACTCCCGGCATGGTGATGGTGAGCTCTAGCTAGCTGCAGTGAAAGTACTCAAAGTAGGGTGAACGGTGAGTTTGGCACCGGCGCGTAAGGGTCAACAACAAGAAAGGGAGGTAATCAATAGGTAGCTGAAGGAACGTAGGTGAAGAGAAAGCGAAGAGAGAGAGAGAGGGAGTTCCAAGCTGTTGTACTAGAGTCTGGCCGACTGCACCCTGTCACGCTAAGCCAAGCTGTCTCCACCTCCACACAATGTCATGCACGCCAATTGCACGACGTGCAGCGTGCGTCCCCTAAAATAGCTGGCTCGTGCGTCGCCGTATGCACATTGCACACCTTGAGCCTGTCATGAGTTTCAGGTTATCTGGGGAACCTGCGCCTGCGCTTACCGCCGAGCTATTGCCTATACGGCGGTTGGGCATGAGATTACCAACTCCATTCGAATTACGTTGCCAAAAACGGCATCTTCCCCTCCGCCGACGCCGACGCCGATTCAGGATCGTCAGCGCCCTGCAGATGACATATGGAGATGCCAATGCGCTTACACAGCTCGGCTCAAAGGCACGCAAAACCTGCCAGACCAGATGAATCTAGAGACATGAGAGATGGGTAGTAGACGCCGTAAGGCCAGCCATTGCATAATAGCAGACGTATAAGAAATGCGCCGCGGTAAGTTCAGCTATCTCGATAGCTCGTTGATATTTTCATCTTATCACTTCACCACTTTTGTCACTTGTAAACTTCAAATTGAAACCATGGCTTTCTCAATGGGGATGCCGTTCAATGAAGGCGAAGAGAAGATGCATCGTCTCCTTCGCGTTCCACCCCAGGACAATCCAACCTCAACTATGCTCACACCCCAGGCATCCAACATGTTCCAACGCGCGCCTCTCCTCGCTTTCGGGACTCTAGATGCTCAAGACCGTCCCTGGACCACGTTATGGGGCGGAGAGCCAGGCTTCTTAGAGCCGCTCGGTGGAGGATTCGTTGGCACGCGAACGCTCGTTGACAGCAAGAACGATCCCGTGGTACAAGCACTCGTTGGTGACGCAAAAGACGGGCAAACATCAAAACCCGCGGACGGCGGAAAACCAGTCGCAGGACTAGCCATCGATTTGATGACAAGAAAGAGAGTAAAAACAGCCGGACGCATGATAGCAGGCGCACTCCGAGACACAGACGCCACCACCTCCCCAGCCCAACTACTCCAACTCGTAACCAAAATCGAGCAAAGCCTAGGAAATTGTCCCAAATACCTAAACCAATACGAAATCCATCCTGCGTCCATATCCTCAACTTTGCAATCATGCGGGCCCTCACTAACCCCACAAGCCACATCCCTCCTTTGGAGAGCAGACATGTTCTTCCTCTGCACCAGCACCGCAAACGACATGGACGTGAACCACCGCGGCGGCGCCCCAGGATTCATCCGCCTCATCTCCGACACAGAGATAATCTACCCAGAGTACTCAGGCAACCGGCTCTACCAATCTCTAGGAAACCTGCAAATGCGTCCCCAAATCGGACTCACAGTGCCCGACTACGAAACCGGCGACATTCTCTACATAACAGGCGTTAGTGAGATTCTCTCTGGCGGCGCTGCCGCCATACTCCTCCCTGGCAGTAACTTGGCCGTTAAGATCACAATCAGCGAGGCGCGCTTCGTTCAGTCCGGTCTGCCTTTCCGCGGTACCAAGAAAACACCAAGTCCGTATAACCCGCCCATCCGCACTTTGGCAGCAGAAGGTAATATCAAATCTGCCATCTCTTCGTCAACTATACCCATCACAGCCCACCTAACCAAACTTACCCCCCTCACCCCATCAATCACACGCTTCAAGTTCTCCGTCCCCAGCGGCTTGTCTTACGAACCGAGTCAATGGGTCGCGCTGGATTTTAGTAACGAACTAGATATCGGCTACGAACACATGCGCGACGATGACCCGTTGAGTTTGAATGATGATTTCGTTAGGACGTTTACGATTTCTTCTGCTCCTTCGCGTGAAACTTCGTCGACGGGGGTGGAGGGCAAGGAGAAGGAGTTTGAAATCACAATCAGAAAAGTGGGCGCTGTGACGAGGTTTCTCTGCAAACAAAACGAGCGTTCGGGCTTGGAGGTTTTGGTCAGGGGTGTGGGTGGTGGAATGCAGATTGGGACGGATAGCAGTGCGGTTATAGTGGCGAGTGGGGTGGGTATTACACCACTTTTGGGTCAGATAGGGCGCTTGCGGCTGGAAAAAGAGAGGTTTAAGTTGTTTTGGGCTGTGAGGGGCGGGGATGTGGGGTTAGTAGGGGATACGATTGAGAGATATCCGGGGTTGGATGGGTGTACGACTGTGTTTTTAACGGGGCAGGTAGTGGATGGTGTGAAGGAGCAGTTGGGTAAGGAAGCGAGGGTTGTAGAAAGGAGATTGAGGAAGGATGATGTGGAGGGTGTGGAGGCAGAGACTTGGTATTTGTGTGCGGGCAAGGGGATGAGGAAGGAGGTGTTGAGGTGGTTGGATGGGAAGAAAGTAGTTACAGAGAATTTTGATTATTAGAAGTGATCTAGTAATCCTGTCTTGACATCTTAGTTTCTACTCATCGTTACCGTAAACGTCCGCATACCCATTCTTTCAACGACATATTCTTACCACACACCGTCCACCCCCCAACCAACCCATCTAATCCACCCGCCTCCTAATCCTCGCCGCCACCTTCCCCCTCGGCACCAACGTCCCAAACCCCTTCTCCCTCGGATCCGGGTCCAACCTCCTCGCGCCCTCAACATCGCAAATCTCAACCTCAAACACGCCCATCACCACCGTCAACGTAACAATCCCAATATTACGCGCAAAATGCCGTCCAGGACACTTGTGTTCGCCGCCCCCAAAACTCATCCACGTACTACTCAACCCCGCATCGCTAAAGCGCTCCTTCTTCTCCCCGTCAGACACGAGGAAGCGCTCCGCCCAAAAGGTATGCAGCGGCCGAGCGAGCGCTTCAGTACGCGTTTTCTCCCACCCAGGAGCGAACATGCCAGCCCATTTATTAGGGATGAAAACCGCGGTTCCCTGCGGAATGCTGTATTTCTCATCCAGGGCAAACGAGGGTGTTGTTACTGAGCGGACGGTCAGGTTGGAGCTGTAGAGGCGAGTTGTCTCTGCGTGAAGCGATTGTAATAGCGGACGCGTGGTAAGCTGCGTGAAGCGGTACGATTGCGTCTTAGGATCTGCGTGTTTGTTTATTTCGCCAAGGATGCGCGTGTTGAGGTCGGTGCTACGTAGTGTCTCGTACACGTACCAGAAGGTTATGGGCACGCTGAGACTGGTTCCGCCGTAGAGGAGGCCGAGCGTTTGGGCTGATCGGGCGTATTCGTCGTGGCCGGGTAGCTCGCTGTATAGTTCCTCGCGTTCTTGGGCGAGGCCGGAGCCGGCGACTGGGTCCCAGACTGTGTCTGTCTTGTTTTGTTTGCGGAGTTCCATGGATTTGGTACTCCAGACTCTGAAGTTGCCGAGCAGACGGTCGCGAGCAGCATAGGCTTTGGGGATTGCGATGCGAGGGAGGCCTAAGAAGAATTGATCTGTGGCTTCGATGTGGGTCCAGAGATCAGCTATGAGGTCGGGATAGGTTGATACTAGTTCAGTTCCGAGGATCGTGATAGCGACGGCGTATGTGACGTGATATCTGAGGAATGAAAATAGATCTGGTATCTCAGTCCACTCTCCTGTTGAATCCAACGTCTCCCCGATTGTGCGTTTTAGTGTTTCAAACATCCTTGTATCAAGTAGGCCTAGGTTGGAGCCTGTAGTGTGGTGCCGGATATGTGTTGTCTGGATGTAATCGGTGTTTGATTCTTCAGACTGATAGTAATTGATAGCTGATTGGGGGCTTCCCATCAAGGCACCCATGATTCTCTCGTGGATGAACGGATTGGGATCCATCTCTTTTGCTGAGCGAATGGCGTTTTTGATATGATCCGGGTCCACGATGATGCACATTTTCTGGCCTGCACCATCAAGGATGAAAGGAGTTCCATCGCCATATTTTTTCCTATCAATTGTCAACACATTGATGCAAAAGGGTGTACGTGTAGTGCATTGGGTGGTGATCAGATAAAGGCCCCCCCCGTCATGGGCCGGAACCATCCGGATAGGTGTTTTCACTTACAAACAATTCCCCATGAACGTCTTCGAGTAGAATGCCAGATGAAAGGCATGTTTCAGACCTGGGATCCAGTACGGTACTGTCGGAGGCATAACATTGTGGCCCTTGCTGTTCCTAATTGAATGGAACCAATGCGAGCTTAAAATTCTAGTGCAAACACAAACGACGACAACAGTCACGATAACCCGGGCAAGTAAGCTGTGTTGGACTGCTGCAAGCATCGATGGGCGATCGATGCCCACGGTAGTGGTGTTGACATCCATGCTTGCTGTGTTATGCGATATGCAGTGATGCACTTGGTTGTGGGATGTTTATGTAGTTCTCCTGGGCAGCGAGGTTGGCGATACAGATCAACACTAAATAGGGAGTCGGCCCTACTCTAGGTAACTTAGTCGTGAAACGGAAAGACGAAAATCGACTGGTTGGTGGACGTGGTGTGTCTTGCGCGCACGGACTGTGAACTCTCAATCACGTAGTGTGCATGTATGTTGTTGTCTTTTCGTTGTGCGGGTTACAGTGTTTGGATGTCAGCAAGATGACCAGAAGATAATATTGTGAAGTCGTGAAAGTGGTTCCATGACGTCTACGCGTTGTGTACCGTTCCTCAACTTAGCCAGTCTTCCCCCTCACATTGCTTTTTTTCGAACAACTCACCCTAAACTATCTTTTATGCTCACTGATAATCATCTCCGCCGCCATCTCGGCAATTCCATAAACCAGCGTCTGAATATGCGCACTCGGTAGCAAAGGAATAATGCTCGCGTCTACTACTCTCAATCCCTTGGTACCATACACCTTTAGCTTGGTATCCACCACACCGCCATCTTTCTCTGGAAGCAACGCGGCAGAACCAACGGGATGGTAAATACTTAGCGTATTAGCCAGCGCATACTTCTTCCAGTCCTCATCAGTTTGAACCGAACTACCAGGCTCGTACTCCTCGGTCCAGACATCGCTCATGGGCTTGGACGAAGCAATCTTGCGCAGGAACTTGGCTAGGTTCGTCGCGGCTTGCAGATCGTAAGGGTTTGACAGGTAGTTTGGGTTGATGAGGGGCTTATCGCTGATGTTGCGCGAGGTGATGTGAACGTAGCCTTTGCTGAGGGGATGTTGTACGACGCCGATAAGGGCGAAGGTTCCAATGCCGAATTGGGATGAGTTCGCTGCTGGGTATCCTTTGAGGCCGGTGTAGCCGTCTGAGAAGATGACTTCTAGTTGAGGAACCATGGTGCTGAGGGTTGGGGAGAAGTAGCTCTTCTTCAGCCTGTCCGTGGTGGAAGTCAAGGTCTTGTCGTTCAGAACTAGGTTTTGGAATTTCGAGGACGTGGCGTTGGATACGATGCTCCATGGGAAGTATGCGTAGCCGCTAGCGGTGTAGTCGTAGAGTGATACGCGATCGGCGTTGTAGAGCGCCAACTCAGCAGCTGCGCGTGTAGCGTTTTTGAGGACATCGAAGGAGGGATATTCGGGCTTGAGCTGGTACGAGATTTGGATACGGATATGATCTTGGAGGTTCTCACCAACGGAGGGCAGATGCTTGACGACTGGAATGCCAAGCTTCTCAAGGAGTGTTGCGTTACCGATACCAGAAAGCTCAAGAAGACCAGGCGTCTGGAATGATCCTGCGGAAATTATCACTTCCCGCCGAGCAGTGATGGTTGTACCGTCCTCCAACGTGACTCCAGTAGCAGTCGTTCCCTTGAAGTTGATCTTCGCTACACGCGTTTCTACCTTCAAATCAACATTTTGTAGAGCGAGTTTAAGGTACTCTGGGGCGTAGGAACGCGTGTAGTTGGGGCTGACGTTGCTTGGCTGGGTGGACACTCCAATTAGATTACCATTGAGAGACTCTCGGTTGGTTACCAATCCAAGACTGTTCATGGTTGGGTACCATGTATCCTGGTGCTTAGGAAAGATCCTGTTAATAAGCGTCCGGATAGGTCCTGTCTTGCCAACTCCTTCTGTTCCATACGCGGGCGACGGCAGGAAAGTCTCAACCTTCAACATAGCAGCGTACAGATTCTTCCAGTTCCACCCCTCATTGCCCAGAGTATGTTCCCAGGCATCCAGCTCATATGCTGAGGTCCGGTCCCATGTCATAAGATTGAGTGCTGAGCTGCCTCCAAGGACTTTGCCACGATTCTGGGAGAACACGCGGTTGTTGGCGGCGGGCTGTGCGATGGTGGTAAAATTCCAGTCATACTTTCCACCAAGCGTTGAGCCCTTTCTACCTGGGATGCTGATGCCTGGTTCTTCACGACCGTCGGGCCCGGCCTCAATGACAAGTATGCTTAGATCGGGAATGCCAACGCTGATGCGTGAAGCAACCGCTAGGCCTGCAGTACCACCCCCTACTATGATCTTGTCTTCCTGTTAGAAACTGCTGAACTGGTATTTTATTTCTCAATCCAACTTACAAAATCATATGCCCTAGAGTTGGCCGGTTGGCTTTGCTCACGCCCGACAATTGCTGCACAGGTGTGACCCAACAGCCCAGATGCGGCCCACGTCAATACCAGAAACTTCATCTTCCAGCTGTGCGAATAGAAAAAGATGCTGCAACGAAACAGCACCGCATAAAACTCAGAAGCTCGACGTCGGGCGTACTCGCCTTGTATATATAGATCTGCATACGCCACCACTATCGCAACGGCTGAGATTCATACTAGCGGTATCCAGCATATCGACCGGCATATTTCTAGATTAGCCACTTAAGACAGAGACTCGGGTGGCCTTTTCGTCTTTACCCGGTTCCGGAGTGGACATTGGACGGCATGTTGACAAGCGACTGGGCAAGACATCCACTTTTCGAACACTAGCAATCCAGTTACCAGGAAGCTACCCGTGCGGGAACAGGGATACCGTCAGACTCTGAGGCTCTTTGATGCCGTTGTCTCGTTATTCGTATTGGTAGTCTTGGCCTATGGTATTGTTGCCATTTTAGATCAACATAGAGTTGCTGGAGAAGGAAATCACAGTAAACCTTTTCTTCTGCAAAGGGATCATCGAATTATGTACGCTCCTGCAGGTAGAGAATCAAATTTCCCGGACGATGCGCCACGCTATCGAGCCGAGAGATTTGTGCATGAGATTGGGACGCCTTAAATCGACAGCACATAACCGTCTTGACCGTCCGGACGGTAGCGCATGCAATTCATTCATACAGCGCTGACTCCCCAACATCTTGGACGCGTGCACAATTCTCGTGTTGAATTGATAGACCGTAAGCAAACCAACGTGAAAAAAAAGCTTCAATATAAGCATTCTCGTCACACCTGCAGGAACAGAACGCGCACCAACCGCGCTAAACCTCATCCTTCCAAACCACGAGACACTATTACACATATGCTTTCTATCTTCGAATCATCTCTCCCTAGAATCAGACTTCACCTCTCTCGATCTACATTTCGATCTCTCGCACGAACCATGTCCCGTTCTAAATACAGCTCACTGGCGCTCGATCTGCAATACGAACGCTTGGAACCCGCGCACCCACTCAGCTGAGCTAAACAACCCCTAGCATACGCAACCATCATCAACGCCAATTGAACACGAAGACCAGGCGAAACAACTGTTTCGCATTAATTGTCTTATCCATCTTCTTGCTTTTCATTACCTCGCTCAACTGCTCAAGAAGTAATAGGCGGCACCACCACCACAGGCGCTTCTCATAATGGCGACCCCCCATCGCAACCGCGTAAAGCCCACGGCTTATCCCAGCCTACCCTTCCACAGCATCCGCACCTGCCAATTGCTCTCCGCAACAGTAGTGTCGGGTATACTTTTATATTTCCTGCGCGAATTGGCGCGGGATGAATATCATTTGCCCTGGACGTTTATCTTGGTATGCGACTGACACATATGCCCAATCTACACTCAACCAGCCAACCGACTATACTCAAGTATATGCTAACAAGAGCAAAAGCTCATGACAGTTTCCATCCTAACCATGCTCTCCCTCCTCACAACCATCCTCCTTCACTTCTACCACGGCCTCAACCCGATCCTAAACGTCGTCCTCAACGCCGCGCTCACACTACTCTGGACGTTGGGTTTTTCGCTGCTGGCATGGTGGTGCAGGGGTACGCTGGCGCATGTGTGCAATACCAGTAATTGGGAGTCAGATACGGGGGTTAGTGTGTGCAGGATGTATAAGGCGCTGTTTAGCTTTACTTTACTGGGGTTGGTGATGACGTTGGCGGCGCTGGCGCTGGATGTCAGGGTTATGAAGGGAGTGAGGACGAGGGGCGTGTTTCAGCCGGTGGACTCGCGAGGGGGTGGAGGGAAGGGAGGTGAGGTTTTGGAGGGAGAGAGAGAGATGGAACTTGGTGAGAATCCTATGGCCCCAGCGCGGACGCGTGAGAGGGGTGGGGAGGGGTATGCGGTGCCCGACGAACAGTTTCGATACGACGATTTGGCGTATCAGGGTGCTGCGGGACAGGTTGGACGGAGAAGCATGGAAGGACGAGTATGAAAAGTTTCGGTTTGGGAGGATTGATATATTAAATTGTATTTTTAGTACACGTTCAAAGCCCATTTCAACACGCTTAGTTTTTTTTTTACGCAAACGCCGCCCAATGTTTTGGCAAGAAGCCGGGTATCACGATAAGAAACTAAAAGATGTCGTCCATGTTGACTTCGCCTGTGGTCATGGCTGCTGCAGCTGCATGCTCTGTTCCGACGTCTGCGTCCATGGATGGTATTGAAGGCGCGTCTCTGGCGTTGATCTCGTCTTCGATGAAGACGCCCAAACCGCCAAATGCCTCGCGCAATGCCCGACTGCAGTAATCTTGTAGACTGTGTCCTCCTACCAGATGCGCAGGGTCCTTCTTCATACGTGTATACCAGTCGACGTCGTAGTTGTCCTGCAATACATAGTATTGCGGTGTGATGTTGTACCCGCCCCATGGGTCGAACGGTATCTCTTTCGGGGGCGGAATGCGCTTTTTGAGACCATGGAAGACAATGTCGTTATCGTCCTTGGTTGGTACCGTGTTTGGTTTTCCAGCCTTGGACGCGCCCGCATTTGCTGCCTCGGCTTTCTGGAGCGCATCGAAGCGCGCCAATTTGTTGTTCGTCGCCTCAACGTCAATGTTGAGGATGAGGTTCCATGTGATTTCTTCGACTTGTTCGAGGTAATCGTTGTAGTCTCTGAGCGTCTCAAAGTCGTCTTCCTTCTTGTTCATACTACTATCATGTCAGCTCCATTCAGCGAAGGGCCGCATAGGCTCCACATACATCTTCATGACCTTTTTCCTCAGGTCCACTTCTCTCTCCACCTTTAGATCGTCAAAGGTTGCCCTTCTAAAACCTCTGTAGGTGAGCGTCTTCGCGCATCCCGCCACAGGACAGATGTTGTTTCCCTTGTTGAACAATCGCTCTACGCATGTATCGCACATACGGTGGTAGCATGTCGGGTTGATCTTGAACTGCATGGTAGAGTTGAGATAGCGCGACGATTTGCATACGGGGCAAATGTCTGCGGTCATGTCGTCAGTAAGGAGACTCGATCGAGGCGACTGATGCAAAGACAAATTGTAAAGAGACTTGTAGAGAGGAAACGAACCTCCATCTTCGGCCAGACGCTTCGACGCGCCAGACGTACGTGCTGATTTGGACATGACGGAGGTGATGCAGAGGGAGAGTTGTAGCTCGACAGGACGGTAGAGGTTTAGTTCGTTGCTGACTCAGCGGAAGGATTGCGCCAGTCTATCTAGGTAATTCGGACGAGCATGATCGGAGCCTCGAATGCGTGTGGTTGAATGGTGTATCAAGAAGGGAGGTTCAAGAGACGCCTTTGAGTGTTTGAGAGAGTGACGATCTGAATGCAGCATGGTTCCATAGACTTGTGGGGCTAGCACCGCCAAGAACAGCTACTTGCTGCAGGCAGATTCTTTTTCTCATTCCTTTCTCCCTTCTCTTCCACACCACAAACACGTCGACAACATGGCAGCCTCGACTCAAAGCACACTAGAAGAGATTGAGCGCCGCCGTGTGCAGCTACAGGAAAATGTCGACAAGCTGCGCAAAGCCCTCTCCCATTGGACCACCTGGGAAGCTGAGTATGAGGCGCTCAAAGAAGAGATAGAGGCTGCCGACAACGCTTCGCCCTCACAGATTCGTGAGATAGCGCGCGACCTCGAGCTTACGCTACTCAACGAGAAAGAAGTCGAAGAGCTCATCTCCAAGAATTCGCCATCGGAACGCACTGCTAATCAAGTTGTTGACATGATCTCTAGACGCATTGACTATGTTCGGACGAGTAGTGCTACTATCGAAAAGAACCTCGATGTTGCCGAGAAGAAGCTTGCTGGCGTCGATGTCCTGCTGGAGCCTGGCATGGACAACGAAGATGGCGATCCGATGATGGACATTGAGGAGGAGTTGGACGAGGACGGTAACGAAGTGTCAAGCTCGATCAACCAGACAGGCAAAGCTGCAGCTGAGCTTGTCGAGGTGTTGCGCAAGGCTGGAATCCAAAAGGCGGAGCTGGAGAAGAAGGTGACCCAGTCAGAAGAAAGATCATCGGAAAAGGTGTCTGACACCGCACCGGTTCCAGAGACTGTGAAAGCCTCGGCCCCTGCTTCTTCGTCTTCACAGCCCAAATCTACTCCCTCCTCAAAATCCACATCTACCGTGTCCGACGATCCCGCCCCTCAACCCAGCCCTCCAAAGAAGACTGTATCCTTTGCCGAGGATGTTCAAGTCGAGCCCTCACAGAGCTCAGAAGAGGAGAAACTCGCGACGCTACTATTCCCAAAAGGGGCGAGAGCCGTCGAACTCAAGGGTGACGAGCGTGCAACGCCTTCGTCTCCCATCATACCAAACGATGAGTCTCCAGAAGATGCGGCGTTGCGCAGGCAAATGCTCGAGTATGGACTTTCAGAAGTCGGGCAGGTCGTTGCTGAGCTCAATCTTGACCAGCCTACTGCTGAGTACTCTGATTACGAGACCGACGATGACGACTACGGCGAGTACGACACCGAGGATGAGGAAGACGAAGACGAATATGGCCGCAGCACAAGGCCCGTCATCACTGAGGAGTACCGTAAGCAGATGATGGAGCTGGAGAAGAAGCTGAACGCTCGCATGATGCAGAATGTGGGCCCTGAAGCAGATAAGCCTTCTTTGGAAGAGCACATCGGCGACATTCGCACCATGGTCGTGAAGGAGGACGATGAGTTTGATGGATCGATGGATACATCAAAGTCTGAAACGCCACCTGCAGACTCGAATCAAAGCCCGAACAAGAGAGTGGTTCGCTTTGCCGAGAACTTGGACGTTTCCGAAGCACCCAAGCAAGTACAAGGACCACCAAAAGCAACTCTTGCTCCAGCCAAACCCGCTCCAACCATGTCAGATATTGTTGTCGAACGAGCTCCACCTGGAGTTTCGGCGCCAGTAGAACCACCCAAGCCAGGCAAAGTGTCGCGATTCAAGAGTGCACGGGCTGGTGCGGCTCCTCCACCGCAGATGCTACCAACACCTCCTATCCCAGAAGCGCCCCCTGTTCCAAGTGGCCCTAAAGGGAAAACGATAGCTGATACTGTCACTGAACACGCTCCGTTGCCGTCTGAACCTCAGGCTCCTAACGAGTTTGATCCCCTTCTGGTTAGCCGCGAGATCCAAGCTCACTACAACAAAGCGCGAAACAGGTTCATCTCGCAGCAGGGCGGGTTCAAGGCTACTGAAGAGGACCTGGAGAACCCGATAGTAGAAGAGCGAGACGGGAAGACCAAGAAGGTGAGCCGATTCATGGCAGCCAGACTGAAGGCCGAGGGTATGTAAGCTTTCCGTACAATATCGCCACCTTACCTTGATCAATTCCTGTCGCTCATGTGCTTGGCGGGACACGTCTATCTGCTTTTGCAGTCATGCCAGTGGACATATATGCAACACACGGAACAATTCATGTCCGTGAGGGATACCATTCCATGTATCAAACCTCACATTACATTGATTCCAAGAAGAAACATCGGGGCCACTAGACGCGTTTGGCGACTTATGCCTCTACGCGGTTCATTTTTCCCCGTACATATATATATGTTGTAGATGTATGAATGAATGTTTTGCAATCGTGAGTAAATTTTTATGTCTATGTATGTGAGTGATGTGTGCGAATTGTTGCAGTTGAGGTGAAATATTGCATCTGTTAGGGATCTGTTCGCTAAAGCCCGCATCAGATTAGGTCCAGCGCAGGTAAAAAGACTCGGCTCACATCCATGGATGAAAGCTCCAAGTACGTCAGTTTTCTAAGTTTGCAGAAGCGGGGCATGGATAGTGGGGAAGTCGCGGCCGAGTTGACAATTTTCCAAGCCTACAACCATGACTTCCGACTCGAGCTCCTCCACGCACTCCGATTCGCTCCCGACTACAATTCATCCTTTGTCGCCTTTTGCTGAGACGGAAAAAAGCGCTGCCCATCTGGCTTTTGCACCCATCGCGCTGGCGCAATACCACAACGTCATCGAAAAGCTGGCCTCCCACAACCTCTATCGCATTCTACGCGCACCAGGCCCTATCCGTGTCTGGGTCTATCGCTCGCTGCTCGCCGAAAATCAGCTGTGGAATGACTGGGACCGACGCGCTGTATCGCCAGTGGCCATAGAGCAAGACATGAGGGGCGACATGGGCGAGGGCAGCGTCAATGACACTGAAAGCGTAGCAGACTCGGAGCGGCCCACGAGCTCCAACGGGATACACGCAAGACCATACCTTACACGCCTACGCCTCGCGCTTGCTCCATATACCGTACATTTCCATAACCCCGGCTATGTCAGAGATGACACGCTGCGCATGTTGGAGCGGGATGTGGTCAAGAAGACACTGGAGGAGTCGCGGAAGAGCGTCGAGTTGCGCGAAGAACTCGGTCTCGCATGGGAGTTTTGGGACGATCTTGCCGGTGTGATAAAGGCTGCCATACCCTCTCTTGAACGTCGTTGCTTTGCTGCGCCGGATCCTGCTGCGCCAGAATATGAGGGGCTGTCGGGTCCACTCATTGCAAGCTACTCGCCGAGCCTACTTAGAGATTTGGAACGTCTGAACCAGCTTGTGTGTATAGCTCGGAATGTACAGGTACACGGCGAAAGAGTGCAAAACCTGAGTGCCGATAGGCTATATGATAAGGACATCTTCGCTCTCATCAATGTCTGCGTGCGCGTCACAGCAAGAGGGTACGACGGCGAGGCTGGCACCCAAGACGAAGACAAGTGGCAGGGTGTCATCAATGCCTACAAGAAGCTCCTCATCACTTGCCTACAATTTCTTAACAATCTGATCGCACGGAACGAGCAGCGGAAACTCATGCTTTGGATCGAGCTGTTCGACAGCCATCTCGACAATGAACTACCCAACTTTGCCGACATGAAGTACAAGATGGACGAGTTTCCACAGCAGGATCAAGATCAAGGCCCGCCACCTGAGGAACAAGCCCTACCGACGCATGCAGCACGCAGTTTGGATACATTCAAGATCCCACAGCAACCAGCTTCATCTCCTTTCTTGCTCTATATTGGCGAGACAGGAAACGAAGTCAAGAAGACTCTCATTCAGCACGGTGTCAAAGCTGGCGCAAATGAAATTGCCGCAGAGTGTAGGCGGCGGTGGCAGACAATGGGCGAAGAAGAGAAAAACGTACGTAGTGATGATTGTTTGAGAAAGATGCCCACTAACCAGCACAGAAATGGAATATGTTGTACGCCGATGTGGTTGCTAAATACCGAGACCAAATAACCCAGTCGACCACATACCGCAAGGTAGTTGACCAACATGCGAAAAACGAGGAAAGTGTACAGGCGCTCGCAAAGAGTATAAACCAGCTGCAGGTTGAGGTCGATAGAATGCGCACTTCAATCTCTGTGCTGCCAGGCCATGACGCTAGCCACGACCAAGCATCACCCCAGGCAGCGGAGCAACAGCCCCGGAAACCAGCAATCGATGACTCGTTACTAGATCCCAGCATCAAACGGTCTCCTCCAGCAGGTGAGATCGATTTCCGTGTGACATACCCGCCATCCTTCGGAGCGGAAATTCTCCAAAATGGCAAAGACGATCTACTAAAGCGTCTGGAGCCAGACCCCGACCGTCCATCAGGGCTAATCAGTGACGTAGCCTCTCCGACATCTCCTCCGCCAGAGGATGACGATGATAATGATGACGACTACGACGACATCCCTGGGGATGAAGGTCGAGGTCTGCTCACCGACGTTCCGCTTATTTTGGGTCCTACGGAGATTGAAGTTTTGCCCATGATCATCATGGCGGGAATCGTTGAACCGCAAGAAGGACAGCCCGGTTATTATGCAGATCCGACAATCTTCAGCGGTATCAGGAGCATGCATGGAGTGCGATGCCACCTGCTCCTTGCACAGGACAACGGACGAAACTTGTTGCGCGAATTGTTAATCTTTGTCGCCGCTTGGGACCTGCGGGAAGAGGAGCTTTACTTCAAGTTCATGGTGAAGATTATGGAAGCAATCCTTGCGAATCAGCTACTGCCATTCGCTTATCATGCTTTCAGAGAGTCTGAGTTAGTTCCTGCTTCTAGAAAGTTGACAAGGCTAACATTATATCAGGTCAAAAGACATAATATCGCCGGCTCAAGCGGTCATTATGAAGCTTCTCACCAACATCTTCCGCGCCAGACAAGCGCGTGCTCAGCCTACTAAAGGACAAATCAAGGCGAACCATCCGCAAGTCGACCAAGGCGACGTCCACATGGTCAACTTTCTGCTCACCGAGTTCCGCCGACACATCATCCCGCAAACCTGTGCACTCATCTTCCTGCAGGGTCAGATCCGTGCTGGACATGCACAGCCTGAAGATTTCCCTCTCAACCTATGGGATATGGAACGCATGTATGAGGGCGTTTACCAATACCTCGAATTCTTCGCTATTCTCACAGAACACGAAACCTGGAAGAGGATGCTGAGCAATTGGGAAATCTCGCACGAGCTGGTCACTTTGCTAAAAGAACTGGATGCAGCGATACCCAAGGGTCAGCTGTCGCCACCTCCTCTCAGAAATGCCCAACAGGCACCACCGCCTCCTGCGCCAGTAGAGGTGGACATTCCTTCATCACAGAATAATCAGCAGCAGCCATCCCAGCCGCAGCCTGTCGCAGTTGAGCGTCCATATGACACTACAGCGGCGGGAGCGGAGCCTTATATTCCTCCACCCACTTCACCGTCACCCCGACCGTACATGGACGAAGCAGCAGATGAACCGTCCGACTTTGAATGGCGCAACCTTAAGAAGCTAGCTGTTCTTGTTCTAAGCTCCTTGGTGTGGAAGAACAAGCACGTCCAAGACCAGATCCGGCCACTCGGCGGCATCGAAGCAGTCCTAAACTGTTGCTCCTACGATGAGCACAACCCATACATTCGTGAACATGCCATCATGTGCCTTCGTTTCCTCATGGAAAACAACAAGGAAAATCAGGATCGCATCCATGCACTCGAGAAATACAACCAAGACGCAAACGCCAAGGCCAAAGCAGCCGCCTCTGCCACGCCCGGCTCAGCAGCCGAAAACAGCAACAGATCACCCGTCAACGTCCGCGTACCTGACGAAGTGCTCGACCAACAAGGGTACGAAACCTACATGGACAAACAAGGGCAGGTCATGTTGCGGAAACGCCAGCCCCAACCTCAGCCACAGCAGCCACTAACATCTCGATCAGATTTGGCAGGCAAGGGCAAAGGGAAGCTTGATGCCGCTACCCTGGGCAGTATGAGAGACCCCAAGGCATTGGAGGAGCTGGTGCAGCAAGTTATGCGCGACTTGCCTCGTGTGCAGGGACTTAGGGTTGGCGAGGAGAGAGCAGTGGAGGTTGAAGAGGCGTTGAAGAAGTTGGATAAGGGGTTTGATGGAGGGAACTCACAGGGCTGAATGGAACTTTCCTGACTGGGGCAGGTAGAGCGCTCCTTATCTTTGGATTCATACGCTGAAGTAATGATAGAGCTAATTGTTATGACTGCTGTCTTGAACAAGTCACGATACATCGACCTCGCAGTCAGATTGATCTTCTGAACAACTCACGTTCCTTAATCTCCGGTTGTAACTCACACACTTCTTACTCTAGATTTTGGGTATACGGTCACATGTTATGGTTACCAAGTTGCGCTTGCCTCATTTGTCGGGATTGACGACTGTGGTACAGTCGACACGAGGCACCCCGAACTACCGCACCCAGAACACTTTAAACGATTGCAACGACGCAGCAAATTCGCGATCGAAGGGAACCCCTACCCTATCATGATTGAGCCTCAGATCGCACTTGCCACACAAAGCTCATGACGTCGTACTGTACAACAACTGTCAACTGCACCTACCTACACGAACAACTCGGTCGAATGATACGAGGCCACTAGATCATCCATCTCAACTTCTTTCACATTACTGTTACGGCGGTACATCACTCAGTGTACGACATTCTCGAGAGCAGTTTCTTCTCATACAGTCAACATGACCACAATGACTACCGAATACACAGTTTCTGCAGCAAATAACAAACATGGAACAGCAAAGAAATGGCTGCAGCGACATTTGCGGAAAGTAGCATCGCGCCAGGCCTTGAGGGGTGGAGGAGAAGACGAAGGTATACAGCGGAAAGCGTCCCTTAAACGGCCACGTACAGCACCCTCTACTGGAGCAGCACCTATCATCAATGATACACCATATGAGTCTTTGGAATCGGTCGAGATTGAGCGAGTCTCGCCCCGTCCACCCGTCCTACCCCCGCCCCGTCCAGCAAGACCAGATTCTAGCGTCATACGCGATGTGAATGCATGGTTGGATGCCAGTATGAATACGCCTTCGCCTCCAATAATGGGTGGCATTTCATACTGGCGAGCAGCGACCAAGCCTGGTGTCAAGGACTCGGCGGTCGCTCAGCATGCTATTCCACTCATCAGGGCTTCTGGGATGGAGAGGCCGTCGACAGCCTCCAGTCAACATGCAAAGTCACTTCGTCGTTGCGCCAAGAAAGTGCACGATCAAATGCCTTCACTGTTGCGCACCAAGTCACAGCGTCCTGTCGACCGGAAGCCAGGCAACAGACAATCGGCGTCGATGCCACTCCTCGGTATCTCACATGAGAACATACGAGCAGACACGACCTCATTCGTCATAACACGATCCAGTTCCCTCGTACGACCTGAAATACGGCCATCAACACGACAGACGTCAACGTACTTGTCGGTCAATTCGCAATCGTGCGAACATGCGCCTTCTCGCCAGGGTACACCAGGGGGCACAAGGGTTGGCGATGCGGATAGCATCCTCGAGCGACGTCTAAATGCCATGTTCCTACGCACAGCTCGCAGCGCAGAAAGTACACGACCATCGACGGCAGCCGCAGGCCTCACTCGCGAGGACTCGATGGGTGATCTTTCTGATGCGCCAACATACTTTTCCGGACCGCCGCCGCCATCATACCGATCGCGTCCCGAGTCTCTTCTTACCACTTCTTCATTTGGTTGCATAGACGGCATGAATCCTGCACAGCGACAGATGAGTCAGCAGCGGGCGGCACTACAACGGGGAATGAAATGTAAGCTGAAGAGGTTTGCCCAGACTTTCACGATATGAGCATGGGCAACGGAAAATGCGCAGAAAACAATCTTACGATGATGAATGGTGAATAAAATGACACGGCAACCGCGACGCTGATACTGACTGGGATATCATGTCTAGAGTCATTCTTGATGCGGAGAACTGGTTTCTTCGTATCCCCACGGGCAGTGCTTATCAGCACATACAAAAAGTGCGTTGGCCACATATTGGCTGTAGCTGATCAAGGAGCAAGGCTACAAAAAAGCGGCAGGAAAAGGGTGTGCACAGGGAACATGTATATAAGAGATATTATTGAGAAGCTGGCACTATTAGTAGTAGTATGACTACCTAATAGAGCGCTCTCTAAGGCACAACGGTAGTGGTGGTACGACTCGTATTGTATTGACTAAGGAGCTATTCACACGTTCGTAGATCCGTGTTGCGTGCAGCTGCGTCCAAGCTCCCCGCTAGGACCCACCTGCACGTGTCACCAATCATGTGACTACTCCTCCGCTTGATACCACCAAGTCACTTACGGACTGTATTCTCAACAGATATGCCTAATAAACATGAAATATGCTGCAAGGTCAGGGCACTGAGTGAAATGGGTCAACATGATGAGACCTTGATAATGACGTATGGCTGACTTGAATCCGAATTTGTGTAGCTGCAGCTGTTTCGCAAGTAAGACCATCGATGAGGGAATGGCGAAGGTGGTGGTCGCGGGTGGAATGCGGATGCGGTCATGTCATAGGATTGGGGCCGGGCCGCGGTGAGCCGAAAGCGGATGGGGCTGCTTCACCGCCTACTCATTTGACCGTTGGCTATGCAATCCACCAACTTCATCAATATCATTGGGCCCAACGTGGCACGCTGTACCACGCCTCAACGCTTCAGCGCACGCAATTGAATCCCCATGGCCGGCCGTTAGATCATCTTGGCTGCCAGCACTACGACATTATCCGCTGGCTGCTCCACTCCTTCCCACAATCCGCCGACTCGCATCACTACGTGCAGCATCGGCAAGCAAGTGGGAGCGCATCCCTCACCTGAAAGACAGAGTGCAGCAGCCAACCGGCAGCCGTCAGCATGGCTTCAGACGACGAATCTAATTCGCGGCCCAAACGGCCAACCGCAATGACAAGGCAGTCTTCGTCGCAGTCGCACATCTCGCAGTCGCCGTCGGATAGCCATCAGCGGACTGCTCACCACAAGACACAGCGTCATCATGTCGTCGGCCAGCGCGTGCAAAGAAACACGTCGTTTGGCAAGAATCTCAACAAGCTGAGTAAGGCTGAGAAGCAGGCAGTCCAGGCGCAACAGGCGGCAGAAAGTACAGGCAGGCATCACCGTCGCACGCAGTCTGGCAATTCCGTGTCCGCACCCAGCAGCCCTCGCCCAGGCTTCAAGCGCCATGCCTCATCTGGCGCCATTGTGAGAGCGAACCAGGCACATGTGCAGGCGAATATACGGAGGAACCACTCGAGCGGGCAGCTGCCACCTCGACAAGGACACGCAAAACACGCGCTCAAGTCGTCAAAGCACGAAAACGGCCCCTCAAAGCGCGCGCTCGCCACCCCCCGAGAATCGCGTACATCTTCACCGGAGCCGCACGCTGCAGTCCACTTCGAGATGCCCAACGACGACGAGGAAGGCGATGACGGCGGCTGGACTGAAGAGAGCGCGTCACAATCACCCACCACTACTAGATCGAACACGCGCTCTAACTCTGTCATACTTGAAGCACAACACCGGGCTGCAGAAATCAACATGGAGAAGAATCGAGGAGAGCCACCACAACAGGCAAACGTAGCTCGCGAGCCGCCAGCGCAGTCGACACAGACACTTACGGACCGCACCCGTAGTAATACGCAGATCAACGGCGGGAGCTCTTACCAGCACTCTCGGCCCCCAGATGCTGACATGATCACTTCCCGACTACTCCAGCGCAGCGCTTCTCACCATGTCCCTCCTCAAACAACGTCAGTCGCTGCGACTGTCGTTTCTTCATCTGACCGCCACAACCTTCTCAATCACACTGCTGGATCCGTTGGATCTACACTGGTAGACACACCAGGACGTGACCTAGTATCACGCTTCATGGACGGCCATGGTTCTGCTGGAACGCCGCATGATGGCACATACATGTCGATCAATCCTAATAACCACGATAGTAGCCAAGGTGAGCTTGATATCAGCAAGAGGAACAAGTCGATGCCCAACTTCAGCGGTGCTGATACGCCCTCAAAAACGCCTCAGCGGTCTGGCACTACTACGCCAACTAATTTGCCGCCGTCGCGAACCCAGCAAAAACTCATGCTGCAACGTGCGTCATCCAACATTGAGCCGCAGAAGCTCGTACCCGTGACGCTTCCCCGCACAGGCGGACCGACGTACTTGCAGTCTAGCATTCACTATAATACGAACGGAGAGGGACGTCTTGATCCCCGCTTACAGCAGCAGTTCAATCACGTTGCCGTCGAGTACAACGTTGTCCGGAGATACCGCAACCCTATTGCAGATTCGCTTGGGCGCATACATCAGATCCCTGGCATGTCGCGAAAAACGCGGATACCAAAGTCGTCAAACGGAAACGGATTTGCAACAGGCGCCAGCAGCCTGAGCACAAGTTTCAACGATGGGCCTGTTGAAACAGATGCAGGGTCGCGAAGGTCGCGAGTCAGCTTTGACGACCAAAGCCGGGGCAAGACTAGTCGAAGCGACAATGAGGTTGAAGGCCGACAAAGTTTCGAGAGCGATCAGGCTCGCCGAAACGAAGCCGAGGAGATTTGTCGACGACTATGGGAGAGTGCCGAAGTGGTCGAGGCCGACTGAAATATTACTATTGTGGCGATCACACACTTACGACTCGCAACGAGGTTGTTTGCGACTATGGCGCGAAGATGCCAAGACTAGTCTGAAGGTACGTGCGCTTATCCGCTTTCTAAGAGTTTTGCCGTGATGCTTGGGTTTATGGGGCCTGTCAATATGGGCGGTAGTGTATCTCAAGGGGCACTGTTAGCCTGCTGGATGTGGCGTGGTTTTCGCGATATGACGGCTTGCTAGTTTCGGCAAGCAGCCGGTTCAAGCCTGGATGGTAGCCCGCACACTGACTGCAGAGCTGACTTTGCTTGGTACAGAGATTGGGGGTTGCCGCTGTGGTCTTTCGCGGCGCAACTGGTTTGAAGGACTGGCAAGGCATGGCTGGTGTTTGGAATGGGCAGGAGAGTGGGCGATTATCAATACTTTTACTTTGGGCACGATTCAGCGCTTTACCAATCTCCGCAAAGCAACTTCCAGAAGCAGGCGTAGCCGTGGTACGGGTGAATGGAGAAGGAGCAGGATTGAGCAGGATTTGCAATTGTTTGCCAGTGGCTTCAATGCGACGGGTGAAGAAAAGAAATGAGGCCAGGCGAGTTAATAGCCGGGATGGCAAGATATAGCCAATCACAGCGATATGGCTTGGCCAGTGTCATGGTAATCTTATTTTCGGCCCTTGGCTGTGCGGAGTTCCTGTGTGTCAATTGTCACGATGATATGGTTGGAGGGGTGAAGAGTGCGACGGAAGCCGGCCGGTGTGTTGTCCATGCAGGAAAAAGGCTATTCTGTTCATGGGCTGCTACTGCGCGGGGAGTCACAAAAACGACTGTTGTCACTGGATGGCATTGTTGTTGAGCAAGTCACCAAGGAAAACTCAGCATCAAAGTCTTTGCAGGAAAATTCTTGTTGTCCACACCACCACGGCTGCGGCCTGACGACAGTTGGTGGTGTTGTGATTCGCCTGATTCGCTTGCCGAGCGAATCTAGATGGTCAGCGGTGAAGGAAGCGCATCTCCGACGCCAAGATGCGGCATCGATGGCTTTGAGCCGCGCTTGAAAAACCACGTTGTCGCATGGCCATGAAATCAACTCGCCTGGACAAGTCGCTGGTTGGTCTAGTCTCGCGCGCTGACAATGTCGCAGCAGACATGGCGCGCCACGACAGCACGCCAGCACCTGTACCTGAGTACTGAGTACAGTGCGGTGTACAGGACATGCAGCGTGGCGCCAGTCAAGTCGAGTTTTGCAGCTCCCTTGACTAGTTGCCAGAAGCGACAGCCCCAGTGCGCAACGATTCGCTGTGCCTGTTTCACGTCAGTGCGCCTCAGGCTATGACGATGGGGGTTGGAACACAGAGAGTGTGAGGTATTCTGGGGAGCTGCGTTGAAACCTTGGACCTTTGATTGTGGTACATCTGGGGAGAGCGTCGCCGGCAGTGCCTTCCCAAGGTTGTCCCGGCGATTGCACGCCATAGTGAGGTCACGAGCAAAGGCAGGCGCAACCGTTTGGCAGTGTGGGTCCGGCAGATTTCTTGAGGCATGTGCGATGCAGTGTGCGCGCAGGCCCACACCACTATGCTGGATCGCCGCTTCCTTGTCAGGCACAGCCGAGTAGCCGCTAGCACACAGCGGCCGACCTGCGTTAGCGCCGTCAAGGGCCGAAATTGCACCAGGATTAGGGAAATTGCGCCTCATAAGACAGAATACCACCCCCAGGCTCCACTCGCCGTTGTTTCCCCCCCAAACGCACGATCCAAACTATCTTCACGTACGGGCTAACCACCACAACCGCTCCTCTCTTAAAGCATCCTGCTCCGCCATTCGGCACTTACACTCCTTACCAGCTCCCTCCCAAGCCTCAGACTACTAGTCTTACCAAACACTATCTCGACCTAGTCCATCACTCGCGCTTCCTGTCGCATCCACTCTAGCATACCATTTGCAACCCATTCCGATTTGATATCGAAGCCTCGCGCATTCAATAGCAATCGCACAACTACCAAAACACACCTTCCTTGACCAACATCAAACAACACCATCAACATGCGCTCCTTCCAGATCGTCGCCCTCTCTGCGCTAGCCATTGGCGCTTCCGCTGATGCGCCCCCGTCCTCCACCATGGACACCCTGGTTTACGATGCGACTGTGTACATCACTTCCACCGTCACGCGCGTCAACACCATCACCATCTCGAGCTCCACTCCTGGCTACACTCCCGTCAACATGACGTCGACCATTCCTGCTACCCACGCTACCATTGTTCCCTCGTACCCCGTCAACAGCACCATGGTCGCATCAACCGGCGTCATCCCTACCGCCTCTGCGCCTTCAGCTAGCGGCCCCGTCCCCAGCTCGACCACCACGCCGTTTGAAGGCGCCGCCTCGACCCTCAACGTCAACGCCTTTGTCGTTGCGCTTGCTGCAGGCGTTGGCTACCTCGTCCTTTGAGACTAGTTGCTTATGAGTTATCCCCATCGTCCAACTCCGAAGCCTGCTCTCCAGCTTCTCCGTGCGCGCGCGCATCATCGACTGGTGCACTCTTGTCTTTGATCCCACCAAGTTATATACCCCGGAAGCCGCCTTTGGCCTAGGCCGCTCAATTCATCAAGCCAACTTTTCTCACGTCTTATCACGAGCATGTCCGTTTACGTCCCTGCATCAAATACCCTTCTACCCTTAGCTCTTTTGTAACTCTTGGTGGTTTTGGCCTGGGGCTTCTTTTTTTTTTTGCCTTGGACAAATCAACTGCCTCTTATTTTCGCTTCTACCATACGACGACTCTTTTTTGCTTGCAAATAAGCTGCTGCTACTTCACAACATCAAACTTGGATCCCAGCGATCTACACCGAATCTACAACCTCGAATGTGGTTTTTTTGGTCGAAATCTTTCTCAGCTTCCCCCATTTTGTCTGGGACGATTGATCAGAGGGGACGATTGATTTCGCGGAAACATATTTCTTGGCGGCATTTTCGACTAAACCTGGGTTTTACACTACTTTCCTTTTGTTTTATTTTTGTTTCTTCTACCGGCGAGATACTCAGAGAGAGAGAAGGAAGGAAGTACTTTGGTCACCAACCGTTTATATTTTCTTTTCCTTAGCTTGGTCGGTTAGGTGTACCTCAATCCCCCCCTTTTATCTTCGTTCGAAATACCCCCCATTCCCGTTTAGGAATTGCGCGCGCCATAGAGTTGCTGCTGCGCTTTCTTACGGAAAGATATATACCCCCCACTGCCAGTTTTTTATTTCCTTGTCTTGTTTTGTGGTGGCTGTGTCCTTTTGTTCCGGCGGGTGGATGGTTGGTTGGTCCTGGCTGGGGGCTTGGAGAGAGGATTTTCGGAGTCGGAAGATAGTGAGCTAGCTCGCTCAAGATTTTGACAAATACTCTACATTGCACATTCAACCACCTACCTCATTCTTTGTGTCCATCTAAAACTATCAACTGCCCGATTCTTTGAGAACCGAACACGAGAAGTGAACACGTTTTGTGCCGATCTTCAGGGGTGTTGGGAGTCGAGATCCCGACAGTCGCTGCTCATTGCTCACGCGCTTACCACACCCAATCCCAATCCCAGTTCCCCACTCCGCTCCACTCCCCAGTCAGCGAAGCGCAGTCTGTCTCTTGCCAACATTCCGCATCCTTTCCAACCGCCGATCTTCATAACGGCTACATCCACACCGCGGATATGACCGAAGAAAAAGTCTTATTCTTACCTTCCCTTCCTCGTATCGCCCGCCTTACCTACTTACGCCCGATTACCTTTTTGCTTGTCTCGTATCGGTATCGGTATTGCACAGCTCACCTCGCCTTGCCTTGTAATGGCACCGAGTTATCGCCTAAGTAGGCGGTGGGTAAGTAGATTGGAAGATGGCGAGCGCCGACATCGGGGGTTGGGTGATGGGCGCATGGGTGGTGAGCTTGATGGGTGGGAGTAAGGAGGGTGTGATGGGCTTGGTGCTTGGTGCGTGATGCTTGGTCTCTAGTGCTTAATGCGTGAGTCGTGATGCTTGGTGTGTGAGTCGTGAGTCGTGCGCTTTGAGCATTTGCGTGTGGCTGAGCGTTAGGATGGCGACACAAGGGCATAACGGATAGCGGGTGGCTGGCGAGAGAAAAAGAACAAGACAAAGCATGGGGTTTATGCGTTTATGCGCTCATGCCATGATGGCGATTTGTTTTCTTCGGGAGAAAAAAAAGGTGGGTGGGTTGGGTAGCGTGTGTGTAGGGAAGAAGGGGTAAAAGATAGCGGGATAGGGCCCGTGTGCGTGCGTGCTAGGTAAAAGAAGGAAAAAAGAGGGAGGCGAAGAAAAGAAAGTAGAGGATAGAATAGGATGGGATTGTGATAAGAGGGGAGATTGGAATGTAATGGGGTATGGGAAAGTTGGACTTTGGCATGTTGTAAAAGTAACGTCTACCATAGTTCCGGGCTGTATCTTGTGAGATTGGGCTTTCTCTGACTACATGTATCTTGGCTTCATCTCGAAAAAAAAAGTATACTGAATACGCGACTGTAGCCGTTTGATCTGTAAACGACGTGAGTTTTTCTTAGATCCGAATATCCGGATCTCGCCTAGAAACCCAAGGGCTGTGTTGAAGGTCACATTGGAGTAGTAGGTCGGTGATGTCAACCATGTGTGAAGAGACATATGTTTTTGTAGAACTGCGACATCTTATCAATTGCAACGAACTACAACACGCTGTTCGTTAAACTCACATAATAAGAGCTATTCCCTACTATCTTTCTACTCACCCTACTTCTCCAACCTCCCCGCCCTCTCCTCACTCCTCCACCACTCACACATCTTCCTCCTAATCCCATCCCCCTCGACCCTACTGTTCCCAAACGGCTCCATCCTCAACTGTAACCCAGGTATCTCCCCCTGCACATACCTCGGCCACACCGGTACACCCGTCCTATTCCCCTTATTCGGATCACCACCCAGAGCCACAAAATCAGAGAAATACGCGTTCAACAGCTCCTTGCCTACGTCGGGGTACTGTACGCCACCAGCACCACTGGGTTCTGCCCACGTGTACTTTGTATCTGCGGTGTGTGGGATACCTTTCCAAGCCGGGAAAGTGTTGTTGACAGCGAAGACGAGTTTGTAAACTGGGACGCCGGCGGAGGACATGCGGATTGCGGTTTCCTGACCAGCGCAGACGTACATGTAATCAGTTAGAGCGGCGGAGATGCGGTTGTATTGAGTGGAATTTGGACTGTGTGCGTATGGGCCGTTAATATCGCTAGCGGGGTCCGGGTACAAGGTTTCGAGGTCTGAGAGATCGTCTGGGGTTAGACCGGGGATGAGGTTCTTCATGAAGGCAAGAAATTCAGCGTTTTTGGTGAGGTTGCCTGAGGTGTAGTATTTTGCTTCGTCGGGCACGTTCGTGGTGATTGTGGGGATGCGGTAGAATTGCTTGTTTTGACCGGAGAGAGAGCCAGATTGCTCGAGGAGGGGGCCGCCGCGTGTGGGTTGGAAGGGCCAGGTTATGGCGTATTCAGATTCTCGCCATACTATTGCGCTGGCGTTTTGGACTTTGTCGATGGGAGCGGCTCGTAGGCAGCTGATGATCTTGGTGTCGGTGCTGTTGGCTACGGCACTGCATCCTGTGAGACCTAGATAGCGGGAGAACTGCTCTTGGTACAACGGGTATGACGAGTCGGGGAATGAGCGAGCTGTCACACTTCCAGATTGGAGAAGAGCCTGGGAGAAGAGAGGTGCAGGGCCCTCGGATTTTTCGTAGTTGTGGAAAAGGTGTATGCCGACTGAGTGTGCACCCGCTGAACGGCCACCGATAGTAACGCGAGTGGGGTCACCACCAAACGATGAGATGTACTGCTGAACAAACTTGAGCAAGGTTTCTTGATCTCGAAGCCCGAGGTTCAGCAGACCCAGACGCTCGAAAACAGGATGTGGAAGGAAGCCCAAAGAGTTGACCTGTTCTAAATTAACCTCAATCTTTTCCTGGCTGGCGACCTACTCACTCGATAATTGAACGTTACAGTGATCAACCGCTGTTTCGAATTAGCCACGAATGAAGCGCCGTCGAAACTCCTAGAGCTTCCAGCAACGAATCCACCCTAAATTGTCAGCAATCTCCCTCACCCAATATTACACAGAACATACCCCATGAATCCACACCAAAACCGGTAATTTCTCCCCCGCCTTAACACCCTGTGGCCGAAAAACATTCATACTCAAACACGCCTCATCCATCTCATACGTGATATCCAACGGATCCTGATAACACGAAAACCCATACTGCGAAGCATTCTTCATTCCCGAGAAAGGCTCCGGGGGCCCAACAGGCGCAAAGCGACCCTCGCCCGTAGGTTGGGACGCATAGTCGATACCGAGCCATGCATCCACGGGTGCTGGCAAAGGCTTTTTGGTGAGAGTTTGCGAGACGGTGGTGCCGACGAAGCTGCCATAGCCGGGAAGCGTGACTGCAGATGTGCCGTATGTAGCTGTGACACCGGAAAAGCTGGTAGCTACTACCGCCAAGGTGGATATGACTCGCTGCACCATGTTTGAATGGCCCATGGCGCCGACGTAAGACTGTAAAGACGGTACGATACTTTCGTGGAGAGCAGGAGCTACGTTGTCGGGTGGAAACATAGTTATTGTATATATATACAGCTTTCTTATCGTCACATCATAGTGTTCCGACGTCGGACATACTACCCTGGGCTTGTATGCATACTCCCCACTTTGTCTCCAGATCGGCCTTGTAGTCGACGGTGGAAGTCTTGGTACCTGCTATATGTGGCTACCGAAATGTGCTGTGGAGACTTCAACGCGTTATCCGCATCTGTTATCACGGTCGGCAATGTCGGCCGGGATATTGGCAAATGCCGGGATGGGAAAGAGGATGGGAAGTGTGGAGCAGGAAGGAAAGACGATATTCGCAAGTTCCGGATAAGGATATGCCGAGCGCCGATTCGTCGGGATCTACTGTTCGCATATAGATGCCAAGCGCAGCCAAGTTTATATGGGAATCTCAGAAACAATTCGCATTCTAGAAGATGTGCGGGTTGTGGTTAGTACTTGCTCGGCAATGTAGGCACCTGGGTGTCATAATACTTAACATACCAGTGTACCAAGGCCACTGTAGTCGCCAAACACGCCTATTAGGTGCTTACCCACACTGTCAAGTATTTTGTGATGCCCAGGCTTCTTCACCTTGCAATCGGGTTGCTCGCTCATCACCCGTTTCCCTACCCGTTCCTCTTCTCCTATAGGTCTCCCCTCTCCTACCAACAATCATATAAGCGACACCGTATAGGTTGCAGACACATGTGCGCCGCTGTCGCGACATATCAAGTTAGTTCTTCGGTCGCAGTTGAAATGGTGTGTATGAAATAAAGATCCTGACGTCATTTGTTCTTCTCTTATACCACGCCTCTTACCACGGATCTGAGCTGGTCATACGTCTGGAATTCACTAGGCTTGTTGGCTGCTTCCGCTAGTTCCTCGAAAGACGGCACAAGTGTCCAGAAGGTTCCCAATCAGTCACAGTCTCGCGTCTTTGTGAAGATTAGTTTTGAAGTCTTGTTTATTTGCTTGCTTGTTTGTTTGTTCAATCCATCCGCCGAGGAGCGCCGGGAGGTCTAATATCTAACAGGTACACAAGGAAACAGAGTTTTGTAGACGGCATTTATAGCCAAAACACAAGATGACCACCCAGGTATTGCCAACGAAGGCGTGTAGTCTCTACAAAGGAAAAACATTCTTGGTAAATGCGAAATATTAATAGGTTATACAAATGATAGAGATGGGTATCAAGTGACAAGGCCGGGTATATGGGTATGCGCACGAAGAGGCCAGGCTAAGGAATACGAGAGAAACGGAGACTGACAAACGAAAAGATAGAGAGGAAGAATGAACGTTACCAAGCATCCACTCCATGTATCGTGTTACGCCTGCCCGAACAGACGTCTTCTTACTGTTCGCAATGTTGCAACGGCGCTGAGACATGGTCAAAGCTAACCCATAGAGACGCCGCCATCGTTTGATCCAACGAAGCCGGTGGGCATACCCATATCCATTCGTAGGAACTGGTCTTGGTGGTTGTCGAGGCTATCCATGCCGCCTGACATGCCCATTGAGGCACCCATGTTATTCATGGTATTTTGATTCATGGAATGCGGGTCCATCATGGCTAGCGACTCTCGCCGGCTGCTTTCAGCTGAGCTGACGTGTTGCAGGTGCGGTGAGAGCTGGTGCTGCTGCTGATGTGGGCGGAAATCTTGGCGCGACTGGTTCATGTGCTGACGAGCTGCTGCCCATGCTTGGGCTTGAGCCTGGGCTTGCGCAATCTGAGCTTGGGTGAGGTGCTGGGTAGGTTGCATGTGAGACTGGAATTGCTGAGAGGGATGTTGCGGTGTCGGTTGGAGCGGCGTCCCGTGATGATGCTGGGACTGATGCACAGACTGACGTTGGATTTGATGCATGTGGTGCATTGGGTCTTCGTCATCAATCGTGTGCGGAGTCAGGTCAATTTCTTCGTCATCATCATCGCCCTCTGCGTCGACTTGGTCGTCACCGTTGAGCGTGGGCGGGGCACTGAAGGGCATCGAAGTCTCTACTTTGATGGGGCTGCCCTGTCTGGGCTGATTGACTGTAGCAAATTGTGGTGGCAGGCTGGCCATGGAGCAGCTACGCGAGCTGCCCTCGCCGGGCAGTGGCTTCTGGGCAGCCAGGCCGGAGACTTTGTTCTCGCGTATGGCAGTGCGCCACTTGTCGATGAGACGGTCATAGTCCCAGTTACGGTAGTCCATACCGTGCTTTGCAAGCTCACGTGCCGTGTCGGCACCTAGGTTGATGCTGATGGGGGACACGTCGGGTGCACCTGCCGTCCAGCGATTTGCTTTCAGGTAGTCAATCTCCCTACGTGCATTCTCGAGCTGGACCTCAGCCTCGCGTCGTCGGTCATGGGCACGAGCATAGCAGCGGAGAATCTCAATCTGCCAGTACTCCTGCCTCGTCTTGTCCGAGTGCTGGGTCCAGTGATGGAAGGCATCGGCAATGTGGCCGAAGAGACGTTGAGGGTCATGATCGAAGAGGGGAGGAGTGGGCAAGGGCGATGAGGTTGTGGAAGGCGCGGCTGCCTGTGCGCCGGAAGGATAGACCTGGTTGATCTGCCGCTGACGCTGGTAGGCAAGCAGGCGCTCACGGACCTGCTTATTCAGCGCTTCAAACTGCTTCTGACCAGGCGGGGATATGGACCATGACTCAGCCGTGGGAAAGGGCGTTGGCGAGAAAAGGGTCGAGGGCGCAGGAAGGATGTGGAGGCAGAGGGAGGGGAAGTTTTGCGTGTAAGGGTCAAAGTCGAAGAGACCTGAGCCGGATGCTTTTGCACTGCGAAGGTTGTTAGGTCCAGTATCGTCATAGTCACATGTCATGATGCATGTGATGTTGTCAGGAGTGGATTTGGGGTTTCACCTACTTGGCTTCGCGGACGCTCTTCAGCAGCTCCCTCAGCGCCATCTCGGTCGCGCTTGCAATTTCCGCCTCCTCGCCAGTCTTTTGCCTCTGGTCGAGGTCGGCCTTTCGAATCTGGCGCGATGCATCACGGCGGGGGTCTGGTGTTTTGGTGCTTAGACGTGAGGGACGGCTGGCGCTGGCGCTGCCGCCACCCCAGCTAACATCCTTGAACTGATGGCCCCTCGTCTTGCCCACTTGCAACGACTCGTCGTCATCGTCGGGGCTCTGGACGAGCATAGACGAGTCTTCGCTCGCCACTCGCTTCTTGTTGGCGGGCGTGCTGGTGCCGCTGTCGTCTCGTCGCGGCGTCGACACGCTGCCTTTTGCCTGACGTCGTGTGATGCCGCCGCGCAGCTTGCGTATCTCGTCTACGACATGGATACCGTCAGGCGCCTTTGGGTTCTTTGCCCGAATGTAGAGGTCGAGATGGCGACCCAGGCTGCTCGATGTAAAAGCCTGGCCGCAGAAGGGGCAGTTCTTGTCTTTGGCAGCCTTGAGCTGCGGTTCGGCCGTAGAGCGAGGTGTCGACGAGGATTCGGCTTCGCCCATGATGCCCGGCAGTGTGCATTCAGGTTCAGGGTTCCAGGCTTGAGCTTAGTTCGAAACACGACGTCGTCGTTCATGCGCGCCAGCTGGAGGATTCAAGGCTACAGTTACCGCATAATCATGGGCGACAGATGGGGTATACAAGGGAAGATGGGCATGGTGCACGCCAATGGCTAATGAATGAAGACCAATTGGATGCTGGCTGCAAAAGGAGCGAGAGCGACGCGTTGGAACAATATTACTTTGCTAGCTTGGCGACAAAAGCTGCCCCTACTGCCCCTAAACTTCCCGTGCTCTATGATGTACGCGCAGGTGTCGCGTAGTCATCTGTGCGTGCAGCGGGTAGCAAGCCCGCCCGGAGTCTTGCAGTCTGCTGGCCCTGGCGTCTGTCACTCCTCGAGTCGACATGCCTGCACACAACGACAAAACGTCGTCCGTGATGGGGCGCCCGTATCCGTCTCAGTCTTGTCCTTGTCGATTTCGTATTTCTCCGTCTGCTAAAACCTACGTCTGCACCTAACTTATCGCTGCAGCTGTACCGCGCCTAGCTTGGCAGCCCTCCTGGCGGCGATCGCTTCATACTCCCCCATACCGCCCGATAGCTCAACGAGCTGGCCTTGAGCCAGCCGAAAAACCGTTCCCGACCTTAGCACCCCCCCTGTCGACACTGCCTCCGAGTCGCTGCTTTCAGACGCAGACTCGTCAGCCTCGTCGCTCGAGCCCCGGACCCCTGGCGCTAGCTTGTATGGCGATTCTCCTTCTACCATGGTTCTGTGGGGTTGTCAATAGTTGCCTTTTATTATGACCCTCACGCCATATGCGGCGCCAACTGCGGCGCTCCCACTGCCCAAGCAGCGCTGGCGCTGACGTACCTCATAAAAAACCGATCGTGGGTTACTACTACTAGCGCACCACGATACTGTCTCAAGCCCATCACGAGACCCAGCGTCGTATCGGCATCCAAGTGCGTCGTCACTTCGTCGAGTATGAGCAGGTGCGGCGGCGGCCACAGCACAACGGCAAGCGCCACCCTAACCTTTTGCCCTCCCGATAGCTGCGCCAGCGGCACGTCCGATACCGTCTGTCCATGAAGCCCTAGACCGCCCAGGAGTGCTCGCGCTTCCTGTTCTAGCATGCCATCTCCAGCCGAGTCCATTACATGGCGGAGCGCCGTTAGCTGTGCGTTTGCCGACGCCATGGCCGTCATCTCCTCAACCGACTGCTGCGAATACCGACCAATCCTCACTCGCCCGTGTCGCATAATCGTGCCAGACGTCGGTCGTAGACCCCCACTTTCGTCACCGCCCGTAATCAGAGACACCAATGTGCTCTTGCCACTCCCATTGAGTCCTGCCACCCCTATCCGCGCACGTGGATGTATCGTCAAACTGACGTCCCTCAATATCGGCCCGTCTGTGTTTTTAGAATACGCAAAGCACACCTGGTCCAGATGCACCAGCGCTCCAGGGAACCGTAGCTCTGATGGTTGGTGGGGAAAGGAGACATCTACCGGCGGATCAAAATTCGGGACTTCCACTTCTGCGCGACGGGACGTGTGATAGCCTGCAAGGTCGCGATTCAGTTTGAACCGACCGCCTTTCCAACTGACTTGCACTCCCATCCTCTCATCCAGCTTCTTCTTCCTGGATGCTGCCTGCTTCAGCTTCTTGTCATCCCCCTTGTCCCTGGCCGCTTTGATATTGCCTGCAATGCTCTTCTCCACGTGCTTCTTCTGCTTATCTAACGCCTCCTTCATCTTTGTCATATGCTTTGCCTTTTTCCATCTCTCTCGCTCGTACAAACTGAGGTTGCCGCGAAACGTCTCCAGGGTCTGGTTACGCAACACGATCAGTTCCTCTGCAACGGCATCACCGAAATTGCGGTCATGGGTCGTCAGCAGGACGGTTGTGCCGTTCAGGCCGCGGATGTAGTTCTGCAGCCATATGATTGATGGCAAATCAAGGAAATTTGTGGGTTCATCCAGCAGCAGCACATCGGAGTACTGTGCAAGGGCACAAGCAAGGTCACAACGTGTTTTCCAACCCCCGGAGAGCTCTGATACCGGGTTGTCGATGCGCTCCTCCTTGAAACCAAGACCCAACAAGACCATGCGGGCTTTCATCTCTGCCTGACCGGCATCCATGAGTTCCAAAGAGGCTTGCACGCCCGAAAGCATGTCTGAGGCGGCTTGTATCTCTTCACTAAGCTCCATGGGATTAATTTCGGTTTCTCCGTCTTCTAATCGCTTGCCAGACTCGTCGAAGCGCTCTTCAAGTTTGACCAGCTCTTTCCTGGCCTGCTTCCCTCGTGCGCCGCTCCTTCTCTCGGCGATACGATGACATTCTTTCAACTGCAGTGCCAGCCGGTCGTGGCCAATGCGTCGGTGGGCCCTAACAGCCGCCATGGAATCAACAGAATCTGCAAATGCTTCTCTAAGCATTTTTTCTTCGCGCAAATAGCACTCTCTGGTCCGATCGCTGCGGACCACGTGCTGCAAAACCGTTTCACTCTCAAGCTTGAGCCTGCCCATGTCATCCTCCAGATGCTCGTCTCTAGTCTGACCTAAGAGTAGGATACGAGTGCTCCATGGAATACCGGGAATCAGCCCATTCGCTATAGCCTTGAGCAAAGTGGACTTGCCGGTCCCATTGCGGCCTACGAGAACGTAATGCCGAGCTTCGACTAGGTGAAGTGTGCTATGTGACAGCAATTCCCTGTTCGCTACTGCAATTGATAGGTCCTTGACGAGTATCTAAAAATATGAGCAATCATACAACCCTTGGAAGGTCACTAGGTATCGTACCTCCTTGGAAGCGGGTGCATCTACGGCGTCAAGTGCATAGCGCGACTGTTGCACCGTGACTGTGATATGCCCACCGCTCGGATGGCCCTCAACTGCCGCCCCCCCGTCTTTGGTTTTGCGTACCATTGGCCTGGTGATTGGAAAGTTTTGCCGTGCTGACCGGTCGTCCTCAGAATTGGTAGTTAGATGAGATTACGAGAGTATGCTTGCTCTGGTCTTTCCCAACGACCTCACACATATAGCCATATGGCTTACAAGGCTAGCACGATCAATGCTGGAGCAGTGGCGTTGCCAAACCAAGACATGGCTCGGCTCAGGATGAGTCGAATCCGCCTACTCTGATTGGACAGACCCTGCATAACTAAGCATCAGCTCGACGAAAGGCACGGCATGTGAGCAAGCACCCTCTTGCTACCTATCACCTACGAATCACATGCATTCTATTTAATGCATTGTATTATGAAATCATGAATATCCGGATTACTTCTACAATTGACACCCTCACAACTCTGCCTGCTCTCGCTGCTCAATCAAGTCTCAGATTTCTTACATCGTATATCAATAGCGACTGCCATACACATCGCCGATCCCTACTTTTTCCATCGCAGAGCATCCAACTTTCCGACTATCCGCACAAACCTGTCGCCGCTTTAGAACCAATATTGCCAAGACCCCTAGCTGCGCCATATCATCATTCGCCTCAGAAGCCTGTTCTTTTGCTGAAGAAGGCGCTTGGTATAGTCGTCTTCTTACGGGTTGCAGTACATTGAATCATCCGTAAGGGCAGGGCTGTGTTGTTGCATCTACTCCTCCATCGCTTCTTTATGTTCTAGGTACAGAGTCGCTTCCCAGATGAGATTCCTGTCTGCATCAGAGTAGCCGGCCCAGCCGATGAGGTCCTCTGGCCAGCAGTATCCATCATATAGCATTCTGATTCTCTGGTCATCTAGCTTCTGAAGCTCCGCATCAAATCCGAAAGCTTTGTCGATTTGGGGTATCTGCTGCTGCGTTGTTGCTTGATCAGCTGCCGAGCTTGACCGACGCTCGTTCTCTTCAATGAGCCGAGTGGCCCACCTTACGTGTTCTTGCACAGCCTCACCCATCTCATCCCAGCCAGTGATGCCTTCGGGGAACACGCGACCCTGGGCTACGGCTTCTTCCCGCAGCTTGGCTACGTTGTTGAGTAATTCTTGAGCTGTATCCGTCATGCATTCTCCCTCTGGGATGTATGGTTTTTCTGGTGTGTTTTCCCTAACTTGCTCAGTAGGCACATAAGAACCAAGCTCGTCGAAGTAAGGCTGACTGGTAGGATAATTCAACCCATTCAGTCTCGCAAAATTCTTCCGCCTCATCGCAATGTGCTCCCGAGCAGCAAAATTCGCCTCCTGCATTCTCTTATCTGCAAGCAAACGTTCACGTTCCTCTTCTGGGATATAAATTGGCGTCCCGTCCACATCCAATGTGCCAGCCGGCCCAGCTCCACCCGTCATCATAAAAGCTTCTTCGTCAAATTCTTCGTCCGGTTGACGAATGTCCCACCACTTGCGCTCTGCGCGCGTGACTAGCGTGGCATCTAAAGGTCCTTTCTGGTACTTAGGGGATAAGTAGCTCCCAGGAAGATGCATAGTATCTGGGTAGGGATTGTTGCGCATGATGGAGCGGGCTTCTGACTTGGGCGCAGGCTTGGGAGGCCAAGGAGTACCGCAGTGTTCGCAGAATGTGGTTTCTGTACTGTGTCTGCTGCTGCAAGTTGGAAAAATGATGTAGTTCTGGTTCGATTGTGTCGGCTGATGTGTTGGCAGTGTTGGTGCTGACGGTTGCGTTGTGATGGTGAACATGCTTTTCATCAAGGAAGGTCTTACTGCAGCACCGGAGTCTGGCTGTGCTGGACGCTTCGAATTGACGTTTCCCGCGTTTTCGGTTCCAGCTATCGTAATACGGGGAATATCTAGTACTGGATATTCCACTGCTGCGCTATCCCTCCTTCGAAGCATTGCGTTGGTTGGCGATGTGGTATTGACCTCGCTGTTTTTATAGTAACTTTCTACTGTATCACCCAAGTCTGGCGATGCTGGGCGCATCGATTTGACATTTACCGCGGTCTTAGCTGGTGTATCACGATTCTTTGGTACCGAACTCGGCTGTACCGTGGTATCCCTTCCCACAGGCACTGTATGAGTAGACCTCTTCGTCCGCGGCATACTCTGGCTTCCTCGTCCAGCACCGGAGACTGTCTGGACTGGAAACTTCGACTTGACCTTTGTCACAGTCTCGGTCATTTCTGGCGTACCACGAGGAATCTTTGGTACGGAACTCGGCTTTACCTTGGTATCCCTCCGCACAGACAGTATAACATTAGGCCACGGCACATTCTGGTCTCCACTTCCTTGCTGCATCGTCGTTCCATCTTCACCAGCAGCATTAGTCTTCAGCGCCTGCCTAGGTATCAAATAATCGGGGAGTATATCCGATGTAGGTCGTGGAGCAGGAAGCGGTACACCCGTTTCCTGCGCTCTAGGCGTATAGTCGTCATCATCGCCATCAGAGCTATCAGCATCAGAACCCTCAGAGCTATCCGAGCTGGAATCGACATCTATCCCCCACCTTTCCGCAACCTCATCCTTCACACCAATAAACCTACCCACAGCCTTCGGAATACTCCGCACAGCTCTGAATCCGCGCCTAGTAACCGCGGGTATAATGGCGCCTGATGCGTTGTATAATTCACTGACACCATCGATAGTAGCTGCGGGGATGACACCCCATCGTGCGGAAGGCATGCCAATGAAGGTGTTGGGGGCGCGACCAGAGTTTAGTTTATGTCTCTTGGACAAGGGTTGGGAGGAGGAGTCTGCATCAGGTCGGCGTGGGTATTCGACTATTCCTTCTGGTTTTGGCGGAGCTGGGGGGTCGAGAAACCATGATGCCCATCCTCCTTCGTATACCTTTCTAGCGACCCATTCATCCCATGATTCTGACCCTAACCCATCCAAGTCTTTCCGAGGCCAGAAATCTTGCAGGGAAATGTGCTGCCGGATATCATGAGGGTCGTTGAGTTGGATTTGGAGTTCGGGCCCGGGTGGGACGTAGCGGGCTGTGGCTTCGTCCTGGAGGATCTGATGGTAGATTTTTTCTTCGGTTGTTTTGGGTCGGAAGAGGCGCTTGGGTTGCTGTCGGCATCTTTGTTCGGATCTTTGCTGCAGGATGCTTCGTGGGCTTGTCTGCGCAAAATATTCTCGCCTATCTGGTCGCCCGTACTGCAACTTTCTCATATCATGGCGATACTCGTCTGATAGCCTCTTCTTGGGTTCAAAGCTCGTCTGAGTTGTAAACTCAATTTTCTCCTGAGGAGACCTTTGTCTTACAGCCGGCGGCGACGACGCCCTCTTCCTCTTTCCCGAGGAGCCGGACGAAGAGTCGTAGTAGTCTGCAGGGAGGCCGTAGCCTGTGCTAGCGTATGGATTCCTGGACAACATGTGTGTGTATTGACGGTTGAAGTGGCGAAGATTTGAGTTGGACAAGAAATGGAAAGCTTGATCGATATTCTGGTTTTTCGAGGTGTTGGGCGGACAAAGAGAAGGGGTTGTCATGGATGACGATGGTGAGACAAAGAGTGAGGATGGAAGATAAAGAGTAAAGAGTATGTGGTGAGACAATGCGCAAGACTTTGATCTGGAGGAATGATACTGCGCGCGTTGGAGAAAGATCGCTGTTGGGCAGGGTTGATGATGGCGGATGCGTGGTTGATGAGGGAACAGGTAAATAATAGTAGGTCCCAGTCTTCGCCTTCACTTAATTATTATATTCCGTGTTTATTTTTCTATAGATTGAGCTGATTAGGTGAGTGTGTCGAGCGCTTTGTCTGAGACAGGGTCCAGAAGGTAGCACAAAATGCTTGGCGTGGCAATTCGAGGAAACATCGATCACATGATTTCGAGGAGAGCTCTACAGAGGCTTTGCGACTCTTATCTAGCACAGTATAAAAGATAGCTCAACGTCTGTACTAGTTCTGTTGTTGAAAAATGAGAGGTTCTATTGCTGTTTGAAGATGATTCCTCGTTGGAAAGAAAAGACATATGATACATCTTGATGGAAAGATAGGAACATTGAAGCCTTTATGATGACTTGGACGATATATGAAAGGACCAAAGAGTAGTATGACTATTCGCACTGGGAATATTTCTTGGCACATAGATCAAAACTGACAGTATATCCTATCCTTGGCGTACCAACCTAAAGAACCATCGATTATGTGACGGTTGTGAGGAGAAGCAGATCACGTGTTGGTGTTCTGGTGCTGCTTCCTCACTTTATTGAGCACCTCTTACCTCAGCTGGATCATAGATACGTCATATAAACAGACCCTGCTGCTGCCTTCGTAAAAAGGCGAGCAGAAACAACACTACAAGAAAACATACACGATATACTCTGATTACTGCCTCGCGCGGTTACGCTTTGATTGACTGCATATACTGCAACATATTATATGCTTTTGACGAGAGTTCTTCCGAGCTTTTTTAACTCCTGCCTGACAGTATAACAATACAAAGCTTCGAAAAACTCAGTGCACGTGGTCCCCACGAGATCGACGTTTGAATGACGAAGGAAGTACTGGTCGGTAGTCTTGCTAGTACGGGCATAGTCCGACCACGCCTCTATCACGCAGTACACATCCTACGCTAATGTACTCCCTTTCCAAATAGTGCTACTCCTAATACTTAAAAATGCCATGTGCATTGTATTTCCCCACTATGAGATGAAGATACGGGTCACGCTGCGGAGACATTGATCCGAGGGTGGGAGTATATGTAGACTGGAAAGGAGACACGTTTCGTGCTGTGATTCATCTCTTCAATTCAACATGAGCAAGATCCTCATCACTGGTGCCACTGGCTACGTGGGCGGCACAGTCCTCGCTCAGCTCATTGCAAGCACTGAACTCAGTCTCAAACCCCTCACTTTCGATGTCCTCATTCGCGACAATGTACAGGCCTCCAAATTGAAGGAAGCATATGGATCTCGCGTCAACACGATCAGATGGACTGGTCTAGATGACACAGTCTTTATCGAAGACACAGCCACAAACTACGATATTGTCATCAACACTGGCTCTGGCTTCATCCCAGAAGGCGCTGCAGCCTTTGTCAACGGCCTGGCACGCGGCGTCAACACAGGCAAACCAGCACCGTGGATGCTACATATCTCCGGCTGCACCAATGTTTCCGACCGTCCCCTGACACAACCTCCACGCCCGCCCTACGAATGGGACGACGAAAGGGACGGGGCTGGGATCTTTCATTTTATGAAAGCCCTTGACGAAGAGGATCCATACTCACAGCGCACAACCGAACTCAGTGTTCTCGAAGCAGCCACTGCAACAGGCGTGAATGCCATCAGCATCAACACGCCTTGTATATTTGGTGAAGGAGGAGCTTTGTTCAACCGCCAAGGCCTTGTCATTCCTCTAATCATGATGTACGTGGTGCAACATGGTTATGGCTGGAACCTCAACGACACAGCCAATTTTGACTGGGTCCACGTCTCCGACCTAGCAAAGATGTACGTCCTCGCGCGCACTATTCTCGAGCGTGAGGACCGGGGCGTCAGATACCTCCCTTCTGGTCGAAACGGTGTGATGTTCGCGGCGGTTGGTCACACGCTCATCAAGGATATCAACCAGAGGTGCCTAGACCTAGCATTTGAAGATGGTTTGTTGCCGCGTGAGGATACTCCACAGGAGAAGGAAATCCGGAATGTATCGCTGGATGAAATTGCCGAGAAGTTGACTGCGGGTCGTCGCGATATTGCCGAGTGTGGCTGGGCTGGGCATACGACTACGAAGGCGGTATTGGCGCGTAGACTCTTGGGATGGCAGCCGGGGATGCTGCAGGCGACTTAGGAGAAGGATTTCAAGGATGAGCTGGGTGCGTTGAAGGAAGGTAGGCGGATGTTCTCTACGGAGAGCTGTATTGGCGCGAAGAAGTAAACTGTGGGTCTGGAGTTCTCTTGGATGATATCAGAAAGGTACCCAAGACTTACCAATCTATTTCCAGCGTCACGAAGTACATCCATGCGTGATTGACCTCTGATTCTGTATGCATATTCATCCGTTGGGCAAGTTAGATCATGCAAAGACAGCTGTCATCTCCTCCTTCCCGCGGAGCGTACCTTCTGCATTTATGGGTACCCATGACTAAGCACAAAGTCGTTCCATATCCTAGGGAAGCTACAGCACTATCCCAACCCCACTTGAACACAAATACTCCAAATGCCATGCCACATCTACACAAGAGCAAAGCGGCACAGTCTACCTACCAAGCAATTCTTTCGCAGCTGAAAACACATGATCAATCTCTCCAGACCGCCTTGAAATTGTCATAATATGCAATGCGTCGATTCTGAAATCCCAAAGCGGAAAGCCCGTTGGAAGGATCCCCGCTAGATTATGGCATAGCGTGGGGGATTGCTCAGCACGAGTCAGTGCATTGGGAGGCTCATGCGGAACATTTCTGCCGGAGGCTCAAGCTAGTCCTCCAGTGAGTCTGATCGACTAGAAAGTTTAGTATGTGTTGATCATCTTGAAGCTGTCGGAGCAAACAGAGCAACCAAACGCAATTAAATTACTACACAATAAAAAACATGTTACTACACCAGAGCGTCTAACCACAGCCGCGCGTCTCAAACCAAGACAATTTCACATTGCGGCGTAGGTAGGCGACAGCCCAGCGCCCTGGGTTAAATCTGTCTCAAAGATGTGAATTTGAATAGAGCAAGAAAACAGTCACAATGATCGACAATGCCTTGTTCTATCTCCGTGGCACAAATGCTCATCCCTGTGGCGTCAGTCATATCTCTAAAGGAGCGGTTGCTGTACGACTACATAGGCGCGCGTCTATTTCTCCACCGTCTCCTACTAGCTTCACAGCATCACATCAGGTATGGCACCTCAGGCTCTGCTGGTCCATGTACAAGTATCAAATCATCAGCTTCATACTCGCGGCTTTGATGGCGACAGCAAACAAGTGTCGTTATTTGTTGTTGGCTTTCCGTTTATAGTTATAACGAGCATCATCGTTCTACTGCGCGTTCATGTGCTAGTACGTTTACTACAGTTACAGCTGGCAGCAGATGATTGTAAGCTCACCCTACATGGCCCAAAATATCTAAACGAGATCTCTATACTAACAAACCCTTGAACGCCAGATCTAATGCTAGCCGGTACACTCTCCACCATCGGCCTCTCAATCGCAATCATGTTCTGTCCGTCCCCTCCCCTCCAACCCACCGTACTAACAACCACCCCCCCCCCCCCCCCAAAAAAAACAGCCGGCTACTACGGCGTCGGCATGCACAGTCGGTGCCCCCCTCCTCCCCTTTACCCACCCATCCCCAGCTAACCACACCCCAGCACCCTCCATACCACCCCTAAATCTCGCCCCAATGCTAAAAGCAAACCTTGCCTGCCGCGTCCTCTACACAACCGCCGTCTTCTGCGTCAAATCCAGTATCCTGCTCTTCTGCCTGCGTCTCGATCCGCACCTTCGCACCCGTCGCCTCGTTTACGTCTTGCTCGTCTCGGTGGCTTTGCTCACCGTCGTCACATTCTTTGTGCTGCTGTTTGTCTGTATGCCGCCGTCGCTGTTTTGGGATTTGAGTAGGCAGGCACGGGAGCCGGAGAAGTGCTTGACGCAGAGTACGCAGCAGGTTTTCTTTGAGGTGAATGGCGGGGTAAAATATGTGCGCCCCGATATGGAGAAGATGGAGATGGAGGAAAGTGTGCTGACGGTTTTGGTGCAGTATCACTCAATATGTAGCGATATACAGCCTCCCGCTCTTCATACTCTGGAAACTACAAATGCCACGTTCGCAGAAAGTCGCCCTGGGCGCGCTCCTCTGCGTCGGACTGGTGGCTGTGGTGGCGGGTTGTGTGAGGTTTTACTATGTGCTTTCTCTGGGGAAAGAGGAGGATATTTGGTGGTATATGGCGGATTCGTTGAATTGGTTTAGTGTTGAGATTTATGCTGGTAAGTCCACGTTCCAGTACGTTCCTTACTTCATTCATCACACGACTAATTGTTTTATACCCAGCCATCATATGCTCCTCAGCTTCCACGCTCAAGATCCTCGTCAAAACTTATATCCCCAGGGTGTGGAATAGTAGTATCCACGCGAGCCGGAGCCGCAGTCACAGCAACGGTAGACATGTGTTTATGCAGTCAAATAATACTTCTACGCGCCACAAGCGGTCGGGTAGTAAGGAATACTCGACGAAGCCGTGTAGTGCAGGCAGTGAGAAGGAGTTGAGCGAAAGAAAGTATGGATTCGACGGGCTGACGGAGATGGAGAATGAGAGTGAAGAGGCTATCGTTGGAGTAAGTTGTGTTGGAGAAGAAAAAGAGGATGACGGTAGTAGGGACGAAGGTGTGAGAGAAGAGCAGGGGTTGAAAGATGAAGAAGGGAGATCGGCAATGATGACAGAGGTGCCACGTGTAGAAGATGATCGGTGTTGACCCATACATAGTATTGGGGTTTAGTTGCCGCGATGCGTTGAAAATCCATATAGTCCAGAAAGCGTCGTAGTAGTAATACAGTACTGTTACAAAAAAATCTTCCCAATCCATCTATCCATGACTCAATCTTGCAAGCGCTATCCTTCCCACGCAGCGCCATTCGCTTTCACATCGATGTTAAACAATTTCAAAATCATGTCGTAATCCAACAAGGCCAGCATCCCCGTGCCAAAACATTTCCATTCCTCCACGTATGCCCATCCTTCTTCCCTCAGCACCAAACACCGTCATACACCTCCATGTCAGCAGTACTGTCACCTCAGCTTACGCCAACCGCCCGCTTCGGCGACCCAAGCACGTAATCAAAGTTTGCCCAGGGCAAGTCAGCCATCCAGTAAACGAAAGCGCGGGCACTCCGGAGTAACATCACGGGGTTCCTTGCATCTGACCAATGGCAATTCCAACATTGCCCGCCGCCTCGTAAACCCGTAAGCACAGGAACAACAAAAAAATGATGCTCTTCGCAGCACGGCCTTGCATTACATGCAACATGCACATGCCACAGCAAAGCCGGTAGATCGGTTCAGTCGGAGCGGTTCGGTGGATTGGGCGGTGCGATGCGGAAGGCAAAGGAACCTAGCAGGTTCCTAATTGGGCGAGGACAAGGGAAATCAGGAAAGACCCAAGTCGGATGTGTGGCGATCACTGACGACAAGTGTTGTTGCTAGTGGCTTGGCTTGCATCCATGTGTAAGCGATCGTGGTCTAGTGTGCATCACTTGACAGCAGTGGCAGAGAGTTTGCTCCAGTCGGGCGCGGGCGGGCAGCTTGTAGAATTCGAACATGTCGCTCGCTTAGGCGGCTGATGGATAAGTTGCCTTTGGTCTGCGTCTTTCGTGGAGATACCGGCGGTTGATGGTGGTGATGGTGATGGCTGGAGAGGGGAGGTGACACAATCCGGGTGTCACGGCATAAGTGCATATATGAAGGGAGGCAGATCGTTGGAAAACCTTGCTTCGCTCGCAACGCGGCGGAATGCGGGGTGGTAGAGTACCCGCACCCAAAATGTAGAAGGAGTAGACGTAAAAGAGGCAAAGATTAAGAATACCGATTTTGTGGACAGACTTCTAAACTCGTGTTGGGGTATCATCGCGGCGGAAGACCCGGACCGAAAAGCGAATATTGGCTCTGAACGAACAGAACGTGTCGTGTGGGCTTGTCCCGTTGTAACCCACCAAACGAAAAAGCCAAAGGAAAAAAAGATGCGAATAGTGAAAGCAGATGAACGCCGTGGTAATGCAACGCTATGCTATGCCGATAAACCTCCTCTTCTTTGCTCATGATACGCGTTTCTGTGTCTATTTCGTCCGTACGTTGTGCGGGAGAGAAAGAGCGAATGTGATTATCATTGTATGATATTCTCCTTTTGTTCTGCTATAACGCCGCCAATGTTGTCGGCAAAGACCTTTTGTATCGGCAACGTGAGCGCTTGCATGATGTTTTCTCGGAAATCCAATTTGACGTTTGTCTTTTCGAACCAGTAATGTCTGATGAATTTGCCCTGGCAGTTGCTGACTTCCACGCCAGGGAAACCGTTGGCTTCGGCACATGGTAGCTCCTTGATGTATTGCTCGTAGTCGTAGCGAATGTATTCGCCAAAAGCAGACTGCTCATGGAAGCGCGGCTGCTTCCATTGCGAGCAGTTTGCGTAGCGCGTGTCATCGGGGCATTCGTGCCATGCCTTGAGGATGGGCATGACATGCTCGTTGTTTTGTACAATCATGAACCCGGTGTTTGTGTAGGTGCGGTTGAAGCGGTCCGAGTTGTATTGGGGCTCCTTCGCGCTCCAGGGGTCCAAGGCCATGGTCAGAGCGTGATGTGGCTTGATGTCCCAGTAGTTCAGCATCCACTCGAGGGGGACGTCAAGGAAGCGGAAAGCGGCATCTGCATCGAGGAAGACGATGAACTTGTAGTTCTTGATGTGGTTCGCGAGCGCAGAGGGCTTGATCCAGGTGGCGTGTCGGTCTTCAAATTCGTGCGCCTGGACAAGCTTGTAGTCATAGCCGTGGACGAGCGCATAGGTGTAGTGGTTGAAGATACCGCCGGTAACGTGGTCGATGTTGCGCCAATCGTATGCGCCCATCTTGTAAGCTGTGGTCGACGCGAGCGGGCGAGTCTCGAGATCTAGGACGAGCACATCGCTGCCCATGGTCTTTGTGTAGCGCGGGTTCGGCGGCAGGGTAATGTGGGTGCCATTTGCCTCCCGGATGAAAGGCGCGGTTGGCGACAGCTTGATGTTCTGGTACAGTAACCGGATGACTTCGCTAATGGACACGTCGGATTGCGCGTTGGCTGCTGCTCTAGAAGGGCACTGTTAGCTCAGGGTCTTCCCAACCGAGACCAGATGAAAGCAACATACATATTTGTGTTTGGCGAGCCGCGAGTGAAAGTATACCGTGGCGGGCTTTGCCAAGTCATAAAGGCAAAGACGAAGACCAGGACGAAACCAGCGCTCACCGACAGCGCAAACAGCGGACTCCGGCCTCCAACAATCGGCAACATCATGACGGGCGAAGCTTCGCGAAACTTTGACAAAGGCCGAAAGAGCTACACGGTAGGAGCTCGCAGAGTGTCTTGTTGGCTGTTAAGGGGTGTGCGACGTCCTGGCCAAGCGCCGTCGGGGGATCATGGCATTTTAACAGAAGACAGACCCGGCAAGCCGTCAGCCCCAGCCAAGGCGCGCAGGAGGTGGCATGGGGCCCAGCGAGATTGCGCTTGGCAGACCCTTTTCCAGCCTTTAGGCTCTACCGTAGCTCCCCAAGCCGCTGCGGTGGCTTCTAGCTGGCGTCTGGCCGCGAATCAGACGGCGGCCCGTCGTTAGATAGGCCTAATGAGTCGTTGCGAGCACAGTGCGGATGCACGGTTGCAGAAGACATGCGAAACGGCTGCATGGCCGCACGGCTGTAACGGCACTGTGAATGTTGGACATAAAGATTGGAGATTGGACATTTTGAGAAGCTGCTAGATGCTGGGTGTTGACTGCCATGTGTTGTGGCTGTGAAAGTGAAAGGCGTGCTGCGTGCACTCACCCAACTGCGCCTGACTCAGCCTGTGTGTCGACTAACCTGCTGCAGCTGGACTCGGACTCGGGAGATAGCCGTCGTGGATGGTGGCAAATCACAAACCAAGCCAAAGAGAAGGCTTTACCTGGGCAGATTGCGGCGACGCTTAGTCCGGTTGAGTAATCTCCCCGCCGCCCCTTGATAGGCTGCAATGCACCCTATGCATTCATCTTGTATCTTGTACACTCAGTGCCGCCCATGCAACTCGGGGCCGTATTCCGTCCATGCAAGTCGGGACCCGTACTTCACAACATTGAACTCATCTCCTGCCCCATCACCCCCATCACGGGTACCATGTCCTCTTAGCTTGCACATTGTGTAGCAGATGCATCTGTCAAACCTCAGAACTCCGTCCCGTCACTAGCCCCACGGGTGTCGCAACTCAAAATCAACTTCGAGCTTTTTTGAAACTGACTAGGTACGCAATGGCGAGATGCTGTAGTACTTACCTTACATGTCAGGTGATTTGGGGGGACTGTATCGCAGTATCAGTATGCAGATACAGATGTTGAGAAGCAGCGATACAAGCTCTTGCTACACGGCACGGCATTAAGCGAACTTTTGCGTCACCCGTCATCACATGACGACAACAAAACAATATGCACAACATTGAACAAACCCCTGGCGGCAATGCCACGTGCGAAAGAAACTTCCAAATACGACTTTCTATTAACTTAGCCCACTTTCCATAGTTACACATAATACTGACCTTATTCAACACCATACCCATCATGCTTCAGCTCCTCCATCTTCTTCAGTATCCTCTCCTTCCTCACCTCCATTTTCTTCTTCTCTCGCGCCTTCGGCCTCACATGCAAAAACACATCATCGATGCCCGCCTTGAATTTTGAGTATATGCCTGTCTCCATGCATGCGATGCTTGTGCGTCGCTTCAGCGCGCCATCTTTCTGCTTGTCGGGTCGGGACAATACAGGATAAGTGGCGGCGTGCTGCTCCCGTATTGCTTTGCGCGTTTCCTCTGGGTTGTTGAGTCGCGTGATTGTGATGGGCGTTATATTGTGGCGACGTGGTGGGGGATACATGTCTTCTACTCTACTATTATGACAGGGGGCGCATGTTGCTGTTTTGCTGTGGGTTGGACTACCTCGCTTTTTGAGTGTCTTCTTTTGTATCTCCGTTCTAGCATCCTTTCCGATACTCATGTTTGGCATACTGCTCCGCGTTTTAGCCACCTTTGCATTTCCCGCCTGCTTCTCAGCACGTTGTTCGATTGCTAGGCGCTGGATCTTATCTTTGAGACTGCCTATCTGTGTAGAACCATGTGTGCCACTTCGTCGGATTCTAAAAGGTGCGACGGGTGGGGTTCTAGGGTTCGTGTATGGCGATGCACATACACTCAGCCATTCATTTCTAGACGTAGACATTTGTGGCACACTCGTGCTGCGTGGTGGGTCTGTAGGCTTCAACAACCATGAAAACGACCTGGGGGCGACTGTGTTGCGAACATTGTTGGTGGTGTCTGATGAGAGCCGATTGTTTGCTTGTACATCCTCAATTAAAAGCTCAATTGTGTCGCGTTTTGTCTCTCTCGCTGTGCCGCCGACTCGCATCTCGTTGATTCGGCGGGGAGACGGCTTCGTTGGATTTCCAATACTATCACACTTCCTCCCATCTCCCTGTGCCTTGGCTTCTCTGGGCCAATCACTTCGCCGGACCCAGCCGTCAGATCGTCGCTTGGGAACTGTCTGGATGTCATTCAACATCATAAGTGGTTCTAGATGATTGAGGCGCTTCTTGGGGACAGGCGGTACATCTTTAGGCGGCACAGCTGGTCCAAACGGTTGACCGGGCGTGATGCCAGGATATGACTTTCTGGGGCCGTCCATGATATTTAATGTGCTGAGGCGCGCTATCCCGGGAGATGCTGCAGTGGGAATGTGGCTGGACATGTTCACGATAAGCCGAAAGGTGAGTGGTGCAGTAACATGGGCGTATAGACTATAGCTGTGAGGCTTCCGAACATTGTGTGCAAAAGTCGCGCAGTCTCAAAGACACAGTTGATGTAGAAGGGAGTATCGCTGAAGAGTCATAGTGGCCAACTTGATGACACAGCCAAAGTATGACTCCTCCATCGAGTGAGTCGGCCATGTGGTATGACTTGGGATGGAAACCTGATATGGTAGAATTATGGACTTATATTGTAACTATACTGAGGAACTTTAGTATGATACCATGTGAACCCGGTACAAGGGGATATGGCTCACGAGGGCCCATCTGAATATCGCCTTTCCTTCAAGACAACCTGTAGAGAAAAAGAAACTCCGACCTCAAACGTAAGCGACGTTGCTACGCGCCGGACCGTGGGTATATCCGCTAAACCACCGACAAAGTGTTGCGCGCTCATCCGCAACACGTAGAAAGAACGCCAAATATCAAATAATAAGTTCGCCATGCGCTGAAATGTCCAAGAGAGCGCCAAATCCCATAATAATAGTCGCTTGAGTCCACTCGCTGCAATCATGACCGCCGATGACTGGCCTACTGTGCATACTGCGATCACAAGTAGTGCAGGGCCTTACACACCTTTATACCCCAGATGTGACCTAGACCAAATGGCCAAGATCATGCCGCGTCAACAGCAACTCCGGCGCGAAGTTGATCATATATGACATGTCAGCATCATTTGCAATGTGGTTAGCAGTATCCTCCATGTTGCCCATGATTGCGTCCATTTCCTCCTCTGGTATTTCCTCCATTTCGTCGTCGTCATCATTGCTATTGTCGTCAAGATCCATATCTTCATATTCATCGAGCCCATCTTGATCCTGCTCTTGTGTGGAATACTCCCACTCCTCGATGTCGGACGTGGAGAAGAACGTCTCTTCTTCGTGCTGCGACGTCTGGTCTGGTTCATCGTCATCCACTAGTTCACCTTCACCGAGCCCAAAAGCAATAGCAGAGAACGCATCCAAGTCTGCAAACGCTGAGCTGTGAGAACCTACCAGGGATGAAGGGGCTGAAAAGGTGGAAGAAGCAGAGATAATATCAGGACAGCGCGCGTCTGCAACAGCCTCATCATCGAGATCTAGCCCGGTCAGATGTGTGCTTACATATGTACCAGTTAGGGGCCGTTCCAGGGTGCATGGGTCCACTGCTTGCTTGCTAGCGGAGACAAATCGGAGTCGAGTGCCGTATTGAGCGTGGAGTTGCTGAGCGACATACGGTGCGAACCAAGTGCTACACAGTTCAAGGCTGACAATGCGGGCGACATCTGATTCAAGTAGCTGTCGTAGAGCAACCGTGATGGGATGGTCGTAGTGGAAGACGGCATCGTCGACTCGAGAGTTGAGGAGTTTTGAGAGCGACGATTGGAGGCAGATGTGAAGGTGTTTGAATTCTGCACCAATGACAGCTAGCGATGCGATGGTGCTAGCTACCTTTTGCTGTCGTGGCGAATGGGCCTCTGCAGTTGTCGCATATACAGACAGCCAGCGAAGGTACCGGAGGTGTTTGTCGGCGATCGGGGGCAGAATAGTCGCGCTATCGGTGGCGGGTGATAAAACATCGACGACCATGGCGTTGTGTTGGTAGAAGTATGAGGTGGACTCATCGTGGATTTGCTTCGAAACGGTGAACAATCCGAAACTTTTGTGGACCTGCTGCCGAGAATCGCGTCCTTCGAGTAGCTGACTGTAAACAAAGTTACGCAGCTCAGCTGGTATATCCTGGAATTTTGGCATGATAGCTGAAGAGAGCGTACGTTGTTGTGTGCGACTGGGAGTTCTGTGACGGTGGTCCGATGGGGGTGGTGAGGGGTGGTGAGGGGTGATGGCACCAGCAGTGTGGAGAGATACAGGTAATGCGGTGTACCGTCGCTCGGAACAGCGTGGATGCAACAGGGTGAAAGTGCGGGTGGAAGCGCAAGCTAGCTTCGGGAACACCAAGGTGAGTGGATGTCGGAAATCACTGCGAGTGCAAATCGTTTGCTTGGGGGGAACAGTGCAGGCAAGCAGACAGCACGGGGTTAGGGTACTTATGAGGGATGAGGATGAGGGCGGAGAGACGTAGGATCCGAGTCCTTGTACGGTCGTCGTTCCGAAGCTTGATGCTAGCGCTCACGTGAATAAGCTTATGTTCATATGGAGCAAGTCGCGTCTGCGCGCGTAACATTCAAGGGCAAAAGCTTTGCCAAGCAAGCCCGTTCCGTTCGTGTATTTGAGCCTGTGCCTACCATTTTGCGCAGGTACAGCCTCAACTAGCCTCTGCCTCATTCTCTTTGCGGCATTCCCAGGGCAGAATCTTGACGTAGTGGGAACTTCGTGAGGGCGCAAATGATACTTTCCATGACGAAAAGTTCGGTTCCGCCTCAGTGAAGCTCCACATGCTCTCTCACATGACGATATGCGCCAATGAGATGACGAGGTATGGCTTGAGTACCAAAGGTGCAGGGCACAGCCCTTTGTCGCAGGACCCTCTTTTTGCCTCGCTCTTGCTCAATACTAAAATGGGTAAAGTCGATTAATGTTGGTACTGTGGTTCATGCACGTTGAACATAACTCGGTAGTTGGCTGTGTCCGAATGGTCTGGCAAAGTCTCGTCGCATCCACTCTGAGTGTGATGACCTGAGTTATTGCCTCATGATTCGGACCGTCCTACTATAGCTCCAATAATCAGGCACGAGCAATATATTTTGTCTCTACCGAGTAGGACGCACCCGTAGCGAGTGTGTCCATGACGCGTTTTCGATGCGAAAGCGGATAGGTACCGCGTAAACTCGAACGTGATGAGGTATGCGTCATGTCTCTAGAGCACATGTGATACGTATGCAAAGATAGGTGTAAGTGTAGAAAAAAACGTCGATTTTGTGATAGATCGCGATTGGGGGAGGAAGGAGGCGGCAACCATGGCACGCGTTGCCAGGTGACGTTTACCGGCCCCATGGTTGATCCGGCGCTAAGCAATCGATAAGACACCCTCCTTTTTGCGCATCACCTACGGTACTGACACACTTCAGCCAAGGTTATGACTCAAAAGATTTAGAATATGTCACTTCACCCTGCGCAGTGCCGCACATGGACCTCAAACATGAATTCTCGCACACCACCTCATAGTCATGACTCATCGGCTGGGGGATGCCTTACCCAACTCTGTCTGCCTTAGTATGACGCCGCAGTCGCGAGACCCGCATTAGGACTCTCAACAGATACCTCTCCTGTCATTTGCTGATAACTCCCCGAGTCTCCCATCCTGGTTCTCTAGTGATATTAAGGCTGCATACTATATGACACCACGGTACTTGCAGGTCAGGTACTGTGATGGATATCGTCTTTACCCTCGAGCGCATCTTTTGTTCCTCTGTACCGCAACTAGGTTCATCTGGGCCCCATCAGCAGTCGGTCCGAGAACTGGTAACAAAAGTTTATATGTAGCCCCACATCTTGAGTGAATCATATCTTACCCGGGGGCTAGCTATGGTACTCTCTGGAGGTGCAGAACCAATTGCTGCTTGGAGCGTAGACAGCTGAGTGAAAGTCAGCACTTCAAGTTGCGGTTTTCCGAACGTTTACAGGAAACGAGCACACCATTGAGCACGTAATACGATGGCCTCGGATATACGACAACAGGGTGCGTATTCACTCGAAACACCGCGTGCTATACCCAAAGGAGGAAAGCCTGAATCAACAAGCTAGCGGGGACGTTAGGTGCCTCGGTAGTTACAGTCAGCATACATAAGTGTTGAACTCCTCTTCAAACGCGATACTCCGCGGACAATCTAGCAATTGACTCCTGATCGGTGTGTTTCGAAAGCGTGTTAGTATTACCCCGATGACACCAAAAAGTCCCGGTTGTCGCTTGGTGAGGCCTGGTGGTTTGAGTAACCGGCTCATTCTTGATGCCCGCACCCCAACGAAACTCCGAACCCGCTCATACCCCACAGTCCCGGCCCGGGGCCTACCGGTGCTATTTAAAGATGCGATTGCAAATGTTGGTAGATGAGGTCCTCAACAAATCATAAGCTGCAGCAAGCGCCGACCTTCATAAGCAAAGAAAGGTCAGCTCTCACTCAATCGTTGGTCCTTCAGTTTGATACGGCAAGAATCTTGACATTTTTAAAAGCTAGATTTGCACGGCGTCTACGAGCAGCTTCGTCTGATAGTAAATATTGTTTATCGTGTGCACCAAACACCCTAAGAAGCGATCATTGAACAGCAACTTGAAATAGAATGCAAGAGCACTTTGCACGTCCGCCCTTCCTCGAGTGCATCGATGAAAAATCCAGAAATATGGCTGGTGGCCTATCCTTAATACTCTGGTGTCGATTTTGTTTAGGGGCAGCCTGCACTCTTTAATGTGTAACTCATATTGAGCATGTAAGTTACGAGAACACACTAAAGAACCATCGATTACATGACTTTGACAATAGCTCTACCGAGCTTTTTCGACCTTGCTCTTCTCATACATCACGATTTGATAACGCGTGGTGGGGTCATGTTTGATGATCAATGTATAGTATTGATATAGATCCCTGAGAGATATTTCTTCAACCATTACAATACCAATAATGCACTCAAGCATCTCATGAATCGGGGATCGCGGCGATAGCCTCAACTTCAATCAAGAAGTTACCAGGCAACTTTCCAACCTCAACAGCAGTGCGTGCAGGCTTGGGGTTAGGCAACATAGCGGCGTAGACTTCGTTCATCGCAGAGTAGTCAGACATATTAGCGAGGAAGACGGTGGTCTTCATGACGTATTCCCATGAGGTGCCGGCCTCTTCAAGTACCGCGGCAATGTTCTTGATAACCTGAGCCTGGGTTTTGTGAGTGAGATGTAGTGTAGGATCAGATAGTGTGTATGTACCGTTTGTGCCTCGATTCCTCCAGATACAATGGTCCCGTTGAGTGAGGGTACGGTTCCGGAGGTGTACACTATTCCTTTGGATGTCCATGCGCCGCTTGCTGTCAACTGATCAGTACGTGAAAGACAAACAAAGCTATGATTGATGTACATAAAATTGGCCCTTGGGTACCAAGGTAGGTCACAACTGGTTGCTCAGCGAACTTAGGAGTAGATTTCGCTACGGCGGCGCCAGCAACTGCAAGCAAGGTGGTAATGATGGAGAAAGAAACCATGATTGTGGTATTACTTTGAATCAACTTCCAAATGGGACAAATAGGTAAGGGATATGATTGAATTCGTTGAGATGAAGAGATTAAACATCTTCGGCTCGTCCATGGTCTTATACCTGGCGATGATAGCTTACCAGTACTGACGTTAAAGTCTATAGCGTTTGGTCCAAGTTCACCGCCCGTATTACACCGAGTGCCATGCCTTCCAAGAGCTGCGAGATCCCATAAACCTGGTCAAGCTCGCTGATAATGTTCTTGAGAACTGCGTTCGAGGCTGATGAATCGCAGCCAAGGCAGTCATCCCTAGCCTTGAGCGGCACAGCCGACTCCTTCGTAATCCCGTATATTCGGCCGCCGGCCCCAAGGCCCTGGAAATCCCATCGAGAACCTTATCGTCTCCGCTACGCCTAAGCTGGCAAGGCCATCCTGAGCAGGTGCAGCCGTTTTCGTGGGGTAGGAAAACTCATAGATATCCAAAGGGCGCCGAAAAGGGAAGGAGGTTACCACACAATACGTTGTGGAGCAAAGCATGCAGACCAAAAAAGCGTATTTTCCCTTGGCGCCGAGACAGCTGTCGGCTGCGCTGTGCGTGCATCCCGTGAAATCCACATGGTGCATTCGTCCTACGTAAGTCAAGATAAAGATTACAAAGTGTCAAGATAAGGGTCGTGGTTATAGGCCAGCCGTCGTGCGTTATCGATATCGCGGGGCTCCACTTAGGGTGTTCAAGGCTTGCCGTTCGCCTTTTTAACGTGTCTGTGCGCGTGATGCCCATAATCGCGTGCCGCACACCCCGCAACATCAACACCAATCCACCCTTACCACTTCAACCACCCATAACTCCACAACTATGAGTTGTATCAACGCTGCGATTGAAGCTATTGAATCGCGTGATCCCGGAGATAAATTTACATACTCTGAGGTTGCGCGCCGCTTTGGTGTTGATCGCTCTACGTTGTCGCGACGCCATCAACAGATCCGGGGCTCAAATGAAGCCAAATCACGTAATCAGCAACTCCTTTACCTACACTAGGAGCTACAGCTTCTAGAGCACATTAATGAGCTTACTAAGGCTGGCTTACCACCGACGAGGACTATAATCTAGAACTTTGCTAGTGCTATAGCCGGAAGGGCTGCCTCCTAAAGCTAGGTGACGCGCTTCTTTCACCGTCATCCCGACGCGATTATATCACGTTGGTCAACTGGTTTGGACCGCAATCGCCACCAGGCTGATTCTGTATACAAGTACGAGTCGTACTTTGATCTACTATCTACTAAAATGGCTCAGCACTATATTCGGGCGCAGGATGTATATAATATAGATAAGAAGGGATTCCTTATTAGAGTAACGGGGAGGAGTAAGAGAGTGTTTAGTAAGCAGAAATATGAGACTGGGGGCTTTAAGAAAGTGATACAGGACGGCAACAGAGATTGGATCACTGTTATCGCTGCTATATGTGCTAATAGGAGTACGTTACCGCCCGCGATTATATACGAAGCTACTTCGGGCAACATGTACGCCAGATAGGTTGATGATATCGCAATTGACGATCTAGTCTACGTTACCTCAAGTCCCTCAGGGTGGACCAATGATTAGGTAGGCCTGGCATGGCTCGAACAGGTGTTTGATCGCCATACGAAGGAGAAGGCCGGCAATCACACACGCTTACTCATCCTTGACGGCTATGGGAGTCACGTTACTATGGAGTTTATTGACTACGCGATCGCCCACAATATTATGTTACTCGTACTACCCCCCCATAGTACCCATACGCTGCAGCCACTCGATGTGGTAATGTTCAAACCTCTAGCAGCCGCGTACTCACTCAGCTTGCAGCACTACCTCCAGGCGAGCCACGGTCTCTTAGCTGTGAGGAAGGATGACTTCTACCGTCTTTTTAAGCCTGCCTAGGACTCCTCTTTTATTAAGAAGCACGCGTTGAAGGCATTTAAAGCCACTGGGATAGCTCCTATAGATCCCGAAGTAGTACTTAAAAAGTTCCGAAAGTCAACACTAACAGCACCGCCGCCACTAGTGAACGTGAGTAGAGCTACTATCACGAACCTCATTAATCAGGCCTACGATCCGAGCTCTATTGCGGCCAACAACCTCTCAGAAATACTCCTCCGCCTCCAGGCTGCCAAAGAGATCGCCGAGTACGAGAAGGACGCACTGCGCGCGGCGCTACACGTTCACCAGAAGCCCCGCAATCGGCACGAACCTCCCCTAGATCTACAGCAGCGAAAAGCGTTCTATTCAGGGGCAGTTTAGTGGTCGCCGTGCAAGCTTCGAGAGGCCCGCTTTAGGCAGCTAGTGAAGGAGAAGGAGAAGGAGAAAGAGCTACTTGATAAGATAGAGTTGAAAGAGGCAAAGGAGAACAACAGGATCTATCAACTTAAGATCAAAGAGGCAGCGCGGGCGGCGCGTGAGGAGGCAAAGAAGGTGCGGGATGAAGCCAAGGCTGTAAAGGCTGCCGAACTTGACGCCAAACGACGCGATCGCGACGCTGCAAAGGCTATACAACAACCCTAGTCGGGCAAGCGTAAGGCTTCAAAGCCCGCTGCAAAGCAACAGCCAAAAAAACGACGCGTGGGTGGTGCTGGCGGTGGTACTCTGGCTGAGGTGGCTGCACCGGCTCCCCCACCAACAACCACCCGACGCGGCCGGGCCGTCAATACTCCGGCAAAATATAGATAGACAAAGTTGTAGAGCTACGTCTATAGATCAATACACCGGAAAATCTCGCGATAATAGTTATTGTACGTGGCTGCGCAGCCTCAACTTTGCCGTCGTCGCGATATTGGTGGGGTGTGCGGCACGCGATTATGGGCATCACGCGCACAGACACGTTATTTGCCGACGGCATGGAAAACCATCCGAAGTTCTTTTGCCGGCCGTGTTGCCATCTACCCGCACGAACTTGCGATGCCACGTTATAATCGTTCGTCATGTTTGACTCATGCACGCACGCCTTACGAACGTGGCACTTCCAAGATTGACATGTGCAGGGTTTCGATACTTTCCAGAATCCTGATAGAGCGCCCAAACCCTTGAATCTCGGATTCAGATGATCGATCGTGTACCGTAATACGAAAGCGTCGAGTGACTGCTACCAGAAAGCGTAGGCTCATTGCTACGGAAAAGCATCTGCTTGTTGCTACTTCAAAACATTTGCGCGTTGCTAGCTGAAAGTCCGACTTGTTCGTTGAAGGCTTTCTCGGTAACTCATCAGCGAGCAAAGCCGCGCGGTATATTCAATGACTTGAGGTGGTATTGTAGTGTAGTATGTGGATTGTCGATATGCGTACCGGTATAATGATGAACAGTCCAGCGAACGGAGCCCTAAGAATGGACTAAGACAGCCCCGGTCCGGAACCCGTTATCTCTCCCAAGACAGTGCTGATCTTTTCCAAAAGTTGTACCTCCACTGTCCGTTACGCTACTGCCTCGCTTCGAGTATGCAATGTGGGTCAGCTGTAACGGTAGTCCAACGCGTTGCGAATCCCATCTTGCAGGAATACTCGCCCACTTCCACGTCCAACGACGCCTTGTGGCTCTTATCGCGGCTGCAGTGTTCGAATTTTTTTGCCGTCGACGAGAGGTGGGCTGCTACTACTATTCCGTCCGGTATGGTGGATGCCCTGCGATGATAAGGCTGTTTGTGACCAACGTGTATGTGAGAATGTTGCAAGCCTAGCAATGGTGCCTGATTGTGGCATGGATTAGTCTGGTATATGAAGAGACATGATTCCATTGTCTTCAGGTGTCTTTGTCCCACACGTCGATTTACCTCTCAAGTCAAGATGAAAGGTCTCATCACAGCCTCCTCGGCCGCCCTTTCCTTGGCTGGTGGTGCTCTTGCTACCCCGACTACTCCTCGTACAGATCTGCTTTTCTTCAAGCCTCTGGCCGTTACATCAAACTCGGTACATAACGTCCACGTTGGCTATGGCGACGATGATTTCGAGGGCGAAGTCCGATTGGTTTATGGCGATTGCGCTATGAAGAGCCACGGCGACAGGCATCACGACATCGCCTCACATTACATCAAGCGATCCGGTCGACCTGAAAGATTTGTTTGGATCGTACCAGAGGATGCTGTTGATAGCGGCTGTATCCACGCTTACTCCGGGTCCACACTCATTGGACGCTCAACACGTGTTCCAGTAAAGCATCAACCGCGGAGACGAGAGGACATTTCAGCCGTTGCTGATGCCATGGGCCCCTGGTTCGACGGTGTAGCCTACATGAAGGCTAAGCAGAACAATGCATCGTATGTTGCAGTCGAAAAGAGCAAGAAGATTGCTATCATTGGAGGAGGAATGTCCGGCCTGATGACCAGTCTTCTACTGGACTCAGTAGGTGTTCACGACTGGCACATTACAGAATCTTCGCAACGCATCGGCGGCCGTATCCGAACCAAGTACTTGGCAGGTAGCACTCCGGAACAATACCAATACCAAGAGATGGGACCCATGCGCTTCCCAGTATCGACCTTTTACCCGGATGCGAACGAGACTCTCGACATCCAAGATCACAAGATGGTTTTCCAGCTTGGAGCCACCCTGAACAAGATGAACGGTGGCAACACCAGCAGCCTTGCTGTGAACTTCATTCCATGGATCCAGTCCAGCCCGAACGTGCCTGCCAGTTCGAACGGCTTCCTTCTACCCAACGGACGCGTTCCCAGTGCTACGCAGATCAAGAACAATGCTACCGCATACACCTTACCCCCTGTCGAGGGCGCTCCTGACGAGAAGACTGTAGACGACGTCACTGAGGCCTTGGAGAAGTGGGAAGATATCACCCCTGCCGACTTGAAGGGCATTGCGGCCAATGTCTTCCAAGCTCACAAGGATGCTGTATCGAAGGGTCTCTTTCACTGGTCTGAGGCTGCATACATCAAGTATGCACTCAACGCGAGCGATGATGTAGTCGATTATATCACTGGCAACGACGACGGTCCCATCTGGAACTACGACACCGTGTACTTTGGTGCCACTACCTGGCGGACGATTGACAAGGGTCTGGAGTCGCTGCCTCGCGCTTTTTACCCGCACGTCCAGGATCGTTTGACTCTCGGCCGCAAGGTTACCGGTCTGAAACATGACGAAAGCACCGGCAAGATCGCAGTGCAATGGCGTCAAGATCCTTTGGCGATGGAACCGGAAAACGAAGAGTACGACTACGCGGTTGTTGCAGTGCCTTTCTCAAAGGTTAGGCTCTGGAATCTTCCTAGGTACTCATCGCTCTTGTCTCGTGCCATCAGCGAGATGAACTACCAGCAATCCTGCAAGGTTTCACTACGCTACAAGACTCGTTTCTGGGAAAAGTTGTCGCCTCCTATCATTGGTGGTTGCGGTTCAGTCGATATCGCGGGTATTGGCAGCGTCTGCTACCCCTCGTACAAGATCAACTCAACAGGCCCCGGTGTCATCCTCGGCTCTTACATCTCTGGCACTCTCGCCCGCTCAGTTGGCGCACTCAGCGAAGCTGACCATGTCGCCATGGTACAGCGCGCGATGGTAGAGATTCATGGCGACATCGCTGCAGAGCAATGGACAGGCGCATACGAACGCCAGTGCTGGGAGACTGACGAGCACCAGGCTGGCGCTTGGGCTGCGCCAACCGTCGGGCAGCAAGACTTGTTCCTACCCGCCTACTACAAGACCGAACTCAAGACTATTTTCATTGGTAAGTAACCTTCTTGTGTTTTTGAGGCATATACTGACTGTTCCATCTTAGGTGAACACACGAGCTACACACATGCATGGATCTTCTCAGCACTCGACTCAGCTGTGCGCGGCACGTCTCAACTCCTGTTGGACATGGGTCTCGTTGATGAAGCCAAACAGATTGTAGACACCTGGATGGGAAGGTGGATCTCCATATAGGCAGCTTTTCGGCAAAGACCTGAGAAGGTTCGTCCAGTAGATGATAGACTTTTAATACAGCAATACCCAAGTTTCTCAACAGCGACAATGATGGATCTGTGATTTGGTGATAAAGTAGCAACTTGAGACGATGAACAACTTCGGGACGGAAATGCGATGAAGGAATGATGGGGTGCGACAACCTTGATATGACGCCATCTCTAGCGTCGCCGCACTGACACAGGGGCACCTTCCTCTTGCGATAACCTCGACACACACCTCTCGCCAACAGCGATACAATTGGATATCATCCGGGACCAACATATCTCAAGAAGTACGAGATTAATAGTATTGGCACTCAAGGTGGGTAATGACGAGGAGTAGCACCTTCATACGCGACCAGAGTTGCTATATATCCATGACACTCGAACATGACTGTCCTCATCCATCTATCATCTGACCAATGCAGTGCGCTAAGGATACTTCTATGGTTCCAGCGATGCTACATACGCCATCACGGGCTCTCTCTCGGCATCGCTATTATCATCATATCCCTCCAAATTCACAGTCCCCCTGCTAAAGCCTCCGTCCTAGATTGACTGTGGGGATCTAGATACGGCACCTCGCCAATTCCTACGGCACGATTTCCAGAACGCTCACTCAGGTTGTCATAGTCGTTAGTCGCGCTATGGAAAACACTGCGATTATCCCAGATCGCTTCATGAGCGTTAGCAGTTTTTTCATCGCCGAAGAAGACACATTGACAAGCTTACCGAGGTCATTGGCGTTCCTCCACTTAAAGCGCACCTGCAAATCATGGTTTTCCGTTATGACCGAGCGGAATCTCTTCAGTAACTCGTCTGACTCTTCGACGTTGAGCTCGTTGATGTACTTGGGAAACGGTCCAAGCGCGAAGATGCTCTTCCAGCCCGTCACCGGGTTCGTGCGTACCACGGGATGAACCGCAGTCAAGGATCTGCCCACGTTCTTGGGGCTGCCGCGCTCCTTCTCGTAGATCTTGACTACATCTGGATTTGCTTCAGCGGCTCTAATGAGCCCGTCCCCGGCAAATGTAGCCGTCAGGCCTTCGAAGAACTTCTGATAAGCTGTCGAAAAGCGATCATACATCTCATAACCAGATGCCCATAAAGTATCTCCTCCTGTCTTTGGAAGCTGCGTCAGACGCAGAGACGTGTAGTCTGCTGGAACTGGCTCGAACTGGATATCCGAATGCCACTGCGCAGCACCATAGTGGCGATGACTGCTTTTCCTGCCTTCGTATCCCTGACTGAAGTTCTGCTTTATCTCAGTAGAGTTTATGGTGCTTATCTGGGCGTCGGTAACGCCAAACTCGGACGTGTTGTTGAGGACTGGGTGGATGTGCAGTGTCGAATCAGCGGGCTTGCCGGTCAATTGACCTAGACGCAGTATGAGGTTCTTTTGCAAATCATCCGTGAGATTGTTTTGTGCACGAAAAAACACAACGCCGCGTTCAGAGACTGGGTTTCAATTAGGGCGCTTTGAGAAGACTGGTAGGGGCAAGACGCACTGGTAATGGCAAGATCCCGAATAAGCTCATCGGCTTTGGCAGAGTTGATAACGTCATCAACAAGGTTCAGAGTTGGGTATTCGCGACCGATAACAGGAGTCGTCTCTTCGAATTTGAAGCTGGAGTCAAGTACGCCAGACTTCTTCTGGGGCAGTGGGTACGTTTTCCCGTTGGCCACTGTCATCTTGGTAATGATACGACAAGGTTTTTCAATTGAATAAAAAGGCTAATTAGTATCATTGTTCGAGTGGTTATTATATGTCGACGCGCGAACATGTTGCTGAAGGATGCTAGTTCAGGTGGGGCTGAATCACGCAATGTGCATCCGGAGCACGTAAGCAGCATGCATACACATTTGCACATCGACAATCCAATACTACACTAATAGTAGAAAGTTGACCGAGTATCCTTCTGCGGGGTACTAACATTCAAGATAAGGATGGATCTTACATTGTTGCTCGCTCCGGAGGTCTTTTTCCGGTCCTGACCTTGCACCAAGATGTTCCGAGGTCTTTTGACTTGCGCTATACTAAGATTGTAGAACTGGGAATTCACCTGCACTGCGACTTTTGCTGAGTGAGGCAAGTATGTCTCCAACGCTGAGTAGCTTGGGAAGAAGATCGAAGCTGATCTTCACTTCGGCACAACATGTTGTCAAGCTGGACTACAACAGTCCCCCTTAAACCCAGAGAACTGCTTCGACTTCGTTTTATGTCTAACGGAGATTTCGCAAGTGCTGAGCGATCTCAAGACATCTATATGTGGATGTAATCTCCCCGTGCGTGTCGCATCACGTGACTGCGCTAGGCGCAACAATGCGCACAGTGGAAGACGGAGCTATGCGGCGCAGGCTATCATGAAATGATCAAGAGCAATGGCACAAGATGGAACTTCGGTCAAGTGTACGTGTATTTGCTGGAGTCGCAGATATTTAGTCTCGCTGGTTTGGCCGTCAGCCGTTACACCCATGCTTGCGTCTGGCGGTTAAGCCCTGAGTAAAAGCCTGCGGCGAAACTACATCCTCTTCTTTCAATATCGTCTGATAATCAGTCTACCCTGAATTCCTCCAACAAAGATGCCAAAATCACCACCTAGATTCCCGGTGAGAAATGTGTGCGCGATAGGCATGAGTGGAAGAGACATCATGCCGCGCCACCAGATTGTGAGATCTAGGAGCTCAATAACTAAGAAACGACTAATAAAGCATCTTGAGGCTCTACAAAAGAAGTTTCTAGACCTGTTCCGCACTTATATGGGGAGAGAGTACGAGATGTGTTTTGCTAACCCATATCAAAGATATCAAAGGGTCTAGGAATCTGGAAGCTTGCGGAGATGCAAAATACATCTCTCGATCTTTCCATGCGAGGTAAATGATGGGCGGAGCCGCTGTTGTACTAGACAAGACACCACAGCAGGACTTGCGTAGTTCATAAGAGTACGAGCAAATACGTGTCTCTAATAGATCTTCCATTGCTTTATAAAACATGGCACATTGGATCAACACATACAAGAGGATCAAGTCCCGTCTTTAAATCCGCTGTTCTTGAACGTAGAGCCTAAGACTCCGTGTCCAAACCCCTATCAGCTGCGTAAGCAGAGGCGTCAGTAATGGGAAAATGATGTCATAGCACTCAATCTGAAATCTTGAATTCCTTCGCACTAATCTCCCAGCCTCAAGATCCTTCTCTCTACCTAGAGACATGGCACTATACACTACTTGGCCGCACTCTACTTACTTCCCGTTGTCTCCTCCGAGCCGCTCTTGGCCCATCTCCCCAAATCGACCACAAGCACAGGGCCAGATCGTACCCACCCACAGCGGTGGATCTCGTCCTCCCGCAAAACCCCCCCTCGAATCTCGGCAGATAGCGAAACACGCAACCGGCGGATTCTGCCAAAGACGATCTCCGCGCGTTACAGCTTCCCAGACTCCCAATATGCCGGTAGAGATTAACAACGGAACCGAGATCACCCATTGACAGCGATGTCATGGCTTGAGCTAGCCACTTAGTGCCGCATGTACTGAGCTAGTCAACAGAGCCGCACGTTAGTCAGAATCTTCCGGAGGCCTCGGCGCGCCAAGCCACCCAATGCCAAAGGATTCGAAACATGTGATTGCGCCACAGTTGGTTGGCATAAAGTCTGCTTGGTTTCAACTGCCACATGTCTTGGTTTCACAGTATTGGTTGCTTTATTTCTGCCTCGGGCACGAGTAGTGAACGAAGAATAAAAGAAAAGCCTCGTTAGAGAAAAAATGGCTCCGATCTACGGGCCAGATGCTGTTGTGCGCTAGTAAGCAATTTGTGGGTTTCTACCTCTGATAAGCGCCTGTGGGGTCTATTGGTCCTTCATGTCCAACGTCTCCCAGAGAAAAGTTAATCGGTGTGAGATGAAAAAGTTGGAATCTGGGCAGTGTAGATAGAGTTGCCGGGGTTGAGCTATTTCGCTGCATGGTTGTTGGGTGGATGTGGTTGGGCTGAAACAAGCGGTCCTAGCCGTGGCAGCTGAGGTTCCTTCTAGAGGTCATGGCGAATAATGCGGACGGAGCTTGTGTTGGCGTCCGTGTATGGTTTGACCTTGTTGATTTCGGGTTATGTTCCGGACTGGCTGTCACGGGTGACCCTTGACATGCGCGTAGTAGATACCTGGGATTGCTCGATTGCGATGTTTACTGGGGATTTACAACCGCATGCAGGACCTTGAGTATTGGTAAGGCCGTTAATACATTTGTGGTCGATACTTGGTGTATCTCTGCAGGAACGAAGACTTCTTGATGACTTCTGTATCTCGCCGTTAGCTACGTCTTTCACAGTCTAATCTTAACTTGTACATGGTAGTGTATTGCGTAACCACTCTCCACCAATCAAATCTATTGAGCTTGACCTTGCCATTATCGGAGTTGAAGCCGTCATTGAGCTTATCAGGGAACACTTCGACGGTTACGTCATAACTTCCCTGGGAGTATGACGCGGACGCAGAGAAGACTGGCTGCATACGCCACAGTGAGTTTACTAGGTTAGTACAGGCTAGGTGAAGGTCTGGGGGTGATGTGCAGCCGTCATCCAGGAAAAAATAGAATCGGCTGTGAGGTTTGGCGGGCGCGCAAGATGTTTGTGCGGGGTGATTCTTGGCACGGACGCGCAACGCGTGCGCACGTGAGCAGCCTCATGCAGGTACATGTATCTGAGACATGAGCAATAGTTTACGCCACCGCTATGTCTAGTACTGTACCATGACGATATGAAAGAAAGATCTGATATCGGTCTCCTGCAGGAGTGCTCTACATAGTACCTAGTCGATGTTGCGCCATCACCAAGCACGTGCATGGAGATCTGTGGAAGGTGATAACGCAGGGTTGCCCATGCTGTGAAGAGGAGAAGTCTTGGTGAGCTCGGTGGTATTAAACATGATGAGCCCCTCTGCGCAATCGGTCTTGAGTACAATTGGTTTCGAGTAGACCACGACGACGGAAAAGATGTCGGAACGGGCGTCTACGGCGCGAGGTTATCAATTTTTCGCGGCGGCCGACGGCTAGATGAGTCAACGACGGGTATATTTGCGAGCGAGCACCAAACCTGCGACGACAGCAATTGCAACCATCCCCGACGATGGACAAGAGAACGTTTCAATGGGAGCGCACATGCGGCACGGAAACCTACCTCATCTCCTCTGACCGATCGCTCCTTGCACATGCCTTTGTCCAAGACGTCTATGCGACGGAAGAGGTGTTCTGGGCGAAACCACTCCCATCTGCCACGCTATGCACCATGCTCGACAACAGCCTGACCCTGGGCGTCTATCTTGTGTCTGGCGAGAGCAAGACGCCAATTGGCATGGCTCGCATGGTCACCGACTACACAACCCTCGCCTACCTCACTGACGTCTACCTGGTTCCCAAACACCAAGGCCGTGGTCTCGGCAAATGGCTCATCGCGTGCTGCCGCGACTTCTGTCTCAGCATGGAGAACCTGAGGTTCATGGTGCTGCTCACGGCCAGCGAGCAGGCGCGGGCGCTGTACAGGCGAGAGTTGGGCATGACAAAGCTGGACGGAGTGGAGGAGGGGTTAGTGTGTATGGGGGCGCGCAAGGCAAACCTCAGCGGAGCGCCGGCCGCTACGGACGCCCCATCATTGCAGTAATATCTCACCGCCCGGGACGCATGTGTGTGTGGCTACACAGGCGCGCATGGTGGACATTTCGCTACGATCGGACTCTACAGTGCAATGGGAACGTGGAAGGACGAATGGCCTCGACCCGACGGTTGGCCTCGAACCATGACAAAGGCCATGTCCATATTGGGCCTAGCCGGCGGCCCATGCATGTTAGGCATTTCCTTAGCGCTATGGCGCCATGCTCTTTTCTTTATCATCACCACTACAACAAGGGTCTGGGTTGCGCCGTCGGGGTGTTCGTAAACTCCGCGTCGCAAGCCCGACAGGAGCAGGTTTGGCGCGGATATGAGACGATTGGCCGTCAGGTAACCCTTCTAGACGGTCGTGTCTGGGTTGGCCCTACCATTCCAGTTTCTTCGATAACACAAGCAGAGCAGGGGGCCTGGTCATCCGCCGTATGTGTTCAGGTGCAGTAACCGACATCGCGTCGCATCTTCCAAGAGTGTGCTACGCCTACTAGTTTGATTTTTGCACCCGATACGGCCCGCAGAAGATTCAGTTAGATCGCGCATATGTAACAGTAGACGTCTTGCATAGAGAACTAGGCTTGGTTGTGGTGATATATGTACAGTCCCGTCCCTCGGCCTTACCCGTATCCATCTTTCACATGCACATCATTCTCAACATGACAGCAACACTCACCACTACTCCGCCACGCTCTCCTGCCTCGTCGCAGCCCTCATCACTCAAGCGCAAAAGGATTGGTCCCGCCACACAGCCACTTACCCCGCCATCGACCGCGAATGATCCAGAGGGGTCGCGTCTTTTTTCGCGCGCCGTCAATGTCCTCTCCACCGCCGCCACCGCCCTGTCACAGGTCAGCATTCTCTACCAGTCTGATGATGTAGCACGCGATGGTCTGCTGCGCGCAGTTCAGGCCATAACAAAGGCCAATGAGGCCGGCGGTAAGCTCATCATCTGTGGAGTAGGCAAGAGCGGGCTGGTGGGGCGCAAAATCGAGGCGACGATGAAGAGTCTGGGTATAGCGAGCTCCTTTGTGCATGCGGCTGAAGCGCTGCATGGGGATCTCGGAGACATCAGACAGGTATGTATCAGCTCATCTTGTATAAGACGTGATCGGGACTGTACTGACTGTAGACAGAATGATGCCGTCCTATTCATATCCTACTCGGGCAAGACAGGAGAGCTCATGGCTCTCCTCAACCACATTCCCTCCCACACCCCCATTCTTGCCATCACCTCGCAAACCAAGCCCTCCGACTGCCAGCTTCTTGAGGACCGACCAAATGCAATCCTGCTACCGGCGCCCATACACGAACTTGAAGAGGTCTCATTCGGCGTCTGCGCCCCCACTACAAGCACGACGGTGACAATCGCAGTGGGCGACATGCTGGCATTGACTGTAGCCGAGGCCCTACACCAAGATGGCACGAAGGATGTTTTCCGAAGGAACCACCCGGGCGGTGCAATTGGTGCCAAGTCGCGACGGATCGATAAGGAGCAGACCGACACCGATGCAAAAGAGTGCAGCGGACTCATCACACCGCCAGCCGTCTGAAAACTTTGGGCTTCTACATTTTGCATATATGGATTATAGATTTGGACTATCATGTAACTATAGACTTCATAGGCGTAAAGAGACGAGGACGCCGACCGCGATAGCCGTATAGCTGGTTTTGGGTGCAGGCTTGGGTCCCTGCTACATAGCGTTTTCTGCAATTCTGGTCTTTTTCTTCACTCCAATCGTTTCATTCAGACGAGTTTTCAACTTTCTCATTTAGCGATCATATCACATGAAGACCTTCGGTGTCATGGTTTTACGTAGTAGACGTTGTAGTAGTCCATTCGTCGGCTGGGAACACCTCCACGTGACTAGGCACGCTCTGACTGACTAAGCACAGTGCTTCCAGATCACTACGGGTCATCACGCTGATCGTCCAGTCATGTCGTTACGTACAGTAATTGTTCTGTCTTTCCTCTACGTCATCTCACATATTGCTGCGTATTCCTCGAATGCAGCGTCTAGATTGGATGATGCGTTATTGCGGCACAGTTTGGCCATGGGTAGTACAGTGCGGGGCTGCCTGATGCGACTTCCAACTCAAGCACGATCAGCCTGCTCCTAGGCTCAGAACTTCATGCCGAAATCACCTTCTCGCATGCACCAACGCTGAGGTGTACCACGCCGCCATGGAGGCTCTAAAACATCGCGCAATTCGTCGACATCGCTGCAAAAGCCATCAAGTCTGCGAAAGAGATACAAGCATCAGTCACCGGCTTTACGAAAGAGAACAAGAGCTTGGAAGATGTTACCACCGAGATGCGTGATCTGAGTATAAGATTGGATCCTCCTACCACCGAGCCCAAGAGCGATGACGAGCGAACTCTTCGTAGCCTGAATCGAGAATGCCGCCAGTTGTCAGAGCAGATTCTCAGTCTTCTGGAAAAGATATCCCCGAGCGATCCAAAGTCATCCCGCCAAGTCATGCGGGCTACTTTGAGGAGTTTCAAGTATAAGCGCGAGAAGGAAGACCTTGAGAATAAGTTAACCACATATCGAGGTCAGCTCTTACTACATTTACACAGGGTAACTAGGTCCGTAGCACTTCTTGAGTATGGTTGCTTGTCACCTAATGCAACAGGAACAGTCTGGATATGACAAGTCAGTTCGACGCACTCAGAAAACTCGAATATACGAATCAGGATGTCCTACAAGCATTGCCGAAGCAAATCGAGCGACTCAAACATGATATACACATCGATAGGCTGAGCCCTGAAGCTCAAGAGCAAATTCGATCGCTGCTGGCTATGACGGAGTCTGCGAAGGCGATGATCACACACCGTGTCATTATGAAAAGGCTTGCATTTGAGCATATGGGAGCAAGATATGACCAAGTGGACAGAGCGCATTGTGAGACGTTCCGTTGGATAGTCGACGAAGATGCAGTGGTAGATGAAAAGGTCAGTATGTGTAATGCACGTCATTTGTACCTTTCGTGGTTGGTCAGCGGCCAGGGGATGTTCCACATCGCTGGAAAACTAGGCTCTGGAAAATCGACATTGGTGAAGTACCTATTGGGGCACTCTCAAACAAAGAATAAATTGCTGGAATGGGCAGGTTTGTTTGTCGTCCTATTCATTCGCGCTACGATTCTGACTTTGATTAGGCCAAGCAAAGCTGGTATCTGTGAGCAACTTCTTCTGGAGACCTGGCAAGTCAATCCAGAGGTCCTTCTCAGGAATGGTTCAATCTCTACTCTACGGCATTCTGGATGCTTCCCCAGATTTAACATCAATTGCGTTTCCGGACCTATCGAGACAGATACAGGCCGAGATGTCGCTAGGACTCGAACAATGGCCCATCGACAAGGATATGCCTTTTGACGATACGCTTTGCCAGAGTTGCCAACAAGCAAGTCAAGTTGTTCGTCAAAACTGGACGCTAACCGCTAGGAGTAGGAGTTATACCTAACAAAGTAACTACTAGGCTACAATAGGTAATCAAGCAAGTCAAGTTGGACCTTCTGAGCCCCACTTACTTGCTTGTTGGCAACCCTGCGCTTTGCGCTCTGGAGAGATTGCTAAGAGATGAGAATGTGCAGACTAGCCACCGTTTCTGCTTCTTTGTGGATGCTTTGGATGAGTACGAAGATACCATATTCCGAGATTACCGCTACATGGTGGAGCGTCTTCACTTTTGGGTCAACATATCCAACTAGACTCCGCAACAATCAATTCAATCCGGTCACTCTCCTAGACCCACTTACCTATCTAGGTAGGGCTTAAACTCCTATAGGTAACTACTAGGCTTAAAGCGGTAATCAATCAATCCAATCTGAACCTTCTAGGACCCACTTAATTGATTGTTGCGGACTGTGTATCCAACAGCACTCTCAAGATATGTGTGTCAAGCCGGGAGTACAACGTCTTCGAGAACATGTTCACTGCTAGTCAGCGTATCCGGATGCAGGACCTTACTCAGAACGACATGCAGCGATATGTGAACGACAGACTGAAAGATATCCTGGATATTGGCGATCAAGAACGCATCACGGATAAGGTTGTTGACAGATCTGACGGTATATTCTTTTGGGTAGTGCTAGTAGTGAAAACACTGCGCGAAAGTGTGGAAGATGGACATGATATCGTAAGATTCGAAAAGGAATTGGATATCTTACTGACGGAGATGGAAGAGCTGTCTCAGTATTTGCTGGATTCTATAACTCCTCACCGAAGACAAGCCGCATATAGTCTGTTTGCTATTCTGTTCCGGGCCCGCGAGAAGAAGGGGGGTCTTACCCTGTCCAGCTGTCTCTACCTAGAAGATCTTGACCAGGACATATACTTTGCGGAGAAGCTAAAGCTTGCTTGTTTGGAAAGGGACTGCTCTAAACTTCGAAACGATGTCGATCGTTTGGCTGCTCAAAATGCAAAAGCCACGAAACTTGCACAAAGTTACTGTAAAGGTCTATTAGAGTCACAGCATCGTCTTTATGAGGATTGTGGGCGTAATATAACAAAACTAATGATCCTCGACTTCACACACCGCTCAGTTCCGGAGTTTTTTGCCAAAAACAAGGTTCAGGATATCATCAAGGAACACACATCGGGATTTGATATCGACAACGCAATATGCCAGCTCACACTTGCGGACTTACGTTGCAGCGAATACATCGACCTCTGCACTCCACTTGCAGTCAAAGCATTGAAGTGGCTATACGACAAAATACTGGCGCCACGCAAAACAGATCCCTCGTTTACCTTTTTGTTAGCTGTTGATACCACTATTGATCGTATCAAAAAAGTTACCAATGACAACCCATCGAAAAGGCATAGAGGAACTTGATAAGTACCCAATTGACCCGGAATTTTCTGAGTTTGATACGCAGAAGATGGTCTCGCCGTATGTTGCCCTGTTAAACCCTAACGTATACCTCCTTTCTCCAGTGTATGTTTTCGCTCTCAAAGGAAGGCCTGGCTACACTAAGTGGCGACTGGCACAAAATAGTGACTTTTTAGACACAGTTCTGAAGAATTGGATTCTAGTAGACTGTCTAATGAAGGCTTCGATTTCTTTTGGGGTTGATCCTTTCGATCCAAGTTTACCCTGCACAGATCTCGCAGAGGAAGCCTTTAGAGAGGACACCTTCATGGTCCTCAAATCACTTCTAGAAACCGAAGATGCTATGTATCCTCAAACATGGTTCGGCATCATGAAGAGCGTGTTGGAGGTATATTTGAAATACGGAGAGAAAGTTGTAGTGAAGGAGATGAAAGTCTGGCGCAAAATATCACGTGTATATGGGAGACTCATAGAGATGTTTCTGCTCACATACAAGCCTTGGCAATACCCGCCATTAGTTATTTACCACAGCCCAGAAACTCAGGATCTCAAGATGTACATCGAATTGCGAAGGAATACAAATGGTGCTGCAATATACATTGATTGCAGGGGTTTCACTGATTCTATCAAGAAGTTTTTCAATCAGTTTCCAAACACTTGCGAAATTCCGATTGAAGAGGTGCTTCCGCACATGGAGTTTGAGAATATTGATGCGATCATGTGCGCAATTGAGAAGGTGAAGGCTGCTGGACGTACATGTCCGCCTTTCACTTGGGACACACCAGATAATCTCGTTGAGGAAGGGCAATCAGCCACGGCAAAGTCATCAGAGCCAGACAGCCTCAAACACCCTGATCCGCCTACCGAACCACCCACCGCTCCTCTTGTCGAAAGGGCATCATCAGAGCCAGGCGTCTACCGCGCAGATCCGCCTATCGAACCATCCACCGTTCCTCTGCTTGAATACATCAAGGCACCTCACGAACCGGCAATTACAATAGGATCCGCACAGGAGATCAGCAAGCCAGACCATCGGAGGACATACATGGCTATCTGGTTGTTCGGTTAGTCAGCACTGTTGTGAAACCTCATGAGATCACGTCATTAACAAGATGATAGGAATCTGTCTTTCCCTTGTCCTCGGAATCAAGGCGCGCATGTTGTATGTGTAAGGCATTCTTTGCTGCTGGCTGGATATCTCATGAGCATGTTCAGTCGTTTTTGTTTGAGTGGCGGAGGTTGTACTGATGACGACTTTCGGCTTACCAGGATGTACGTGGTGACTTCAATTGGTACAGAACTGTACGAAGGTTGTTACAAAGGGTTGTATGGCTAGCAGATACATGTTTCCAGCCCTTGCTTCTTAGCTTATGTTGTGGTTTTCTCTTTTCTTTCAACCAGGACTCTCATTATGGGTTTCCTACCGCGGTACAAAGAAAGTAAACAATTTGTTTCAGATATTCACCTCGCATTCTGCGTGGTGTGTAAAGCCATGTACTAGTGAATCAAATTTCAATCTTCACGACAGTTATGATCATCTCCAAGGGTGTACATCCAATTATCTGAAAAGTTGTGAGAACCTCTCAGTCCTGTGTGCTGCGAAAGGCGAGCAGGTTTGGACACGGTCTATTGAAACATAAAGGCTACCCGGGACGCCTGCAAAGAGTACCGCCGCGATAAGGGAGGCAGTGAGATATGACATCATGACGTTCCAGTACTGGCTTAGCGATATCCACTGCCCAAGAAACAGCCCTGTGACCCTATTATAGTAATAATGAAGACCGGATACCAGCAGGGTGCTGCGAAGTATTTTTCCCGTACGCTATGGCCACTGTCTATTAACCCGGGGTATTTTGAGAGCACCTACCACATGGGTGTCATAGAATACTTGACAGTGTGGGTAAGCGCCTAATAGGCATGTTTGGCGACTACAGTGGCCTTTTTACATTAGCATATTAAGTATTTTATGACACCCGGGTATACGGCTGGTTATTCGGAATGAATGGTTTGCGCGACATTTCCTGGATGCTGATATTACCACAAAAGTGAGGTCTTGGAGCTGTTACTCCAATCGGCCTTACCTATCGGAGCCGGCCGAATGGAGTCAGCGATGAAAAATCAGCGGGGAATTGAAGCAACTCGCAATAGGAGATCGGAGACTCCAACGCGCCGGTCGATTAAAACACACAATGCTAAGTGGACGTAAAGGGTCCGGTACTTAGGGATAAGCAGTACATCCCCTGTCGTCTTCAGCTGACACCGCGATGATTTGCACGACGCGTCTCTCACCTCGTGAGAAACACCACATGCAATGCCATCGACGTGCTGAATATTCACGTCATATTACCAGCTTCGTACAGAAGAATGAAATGCAGACGTTGAATTAAGCTCGGCCACGTGGCCTTTGCTTCTAGGGCGTGCATGAAGTGGCACAGCAGCTAGAGGCCGCGAATGCATCGTACATATATAAACCGGCAGACGCGCCGCTGTGCCCATCACATCACCATTTCCCTAGTCAAATGTCGCCATAATAGCCACCGAACTCGACATCTAATCACAGGGATTCCCCGTCAGCAAAGCTGTTACGATCAACACGTCGATACATACACTGGGTCAGTTGTCTCACATGCGCATTTCTATACAAACGAAGCCGAGGCCCTTTTTCTTCATTACGAATCCACTCGCGACCAGTTTCTCACTCTCATTGGGATCGAAAAGTGGAGTTCAGATTGGAGGAAGGTCATGCGGACAAAATCTAACCCCCACGCCCGCGATCCCCCAGTCGATACCCACCGGCGCAGATGACTGCACGAATATCGGGTGTTGTACCCAGTCGTCTGGACCGTCGATCAACGTCGTGTCAGTATATTGCCCGGAGAACTGAAACCCCAGGATGGGAAGAAGCATGTGTCGTACAGACAATCAGCTCCCTATTAGCCGCGTAAACTTTCTCTTCTTCCGTACATCTCCCTTCCAATGCCCTTCTCTTTACCCCCCGTTTCAATCTTTCCGCGTCGTATATCTCATGTTTCTACCAATGACGTAGTCGGGGTTTTGAACGTGTGAGAAGGCCACATTTCAGTAGCACCGAGCATATCGTCCGAGTACGCGCCGAGCTCGGTTCCGAAGAGAGAGGCCAGAAAAACAGGCTGAGTTTTGCCAACCCTTGCCTCTTGATCTTTGTGCAACAGCAATATGCAGCCCATTTCTTTCTGCACAAATTACAATTACTCAAGTTACCATCGTGGCCCCTATTCAAATGATTCAGAGCGCCCAGAACTCCCCAGGCGTACGGGTAGCTCGCTAAAGACGACGATAAAGCTCGTAACGAACGACCCTACCTCGGCGACGTCGTTTTATGATAGTCATTTCATCAGGGACTCCGCGTTATCTTAGTGCCAATAACCGGGACCTGGGACCTATCAGGTAGCAAAAGATTTGGCCAGGCACACTTCGCATCCAATACTTGCCTTCTTGAGCAAAGCCTCGCGACATGGTCTAGGGGTTGGCCGACAGTTATTGTGGACAGCTTAAATGTCGCCGCTATCCGGATGATCAGCAGCGAAACAGAGATCCAGGACCAATAAGCTACGACGCGTGCCTCGTATGACCGACGTCATAATCGTTTGGATATCCCCATTTGCAAAGCGGAGTCTGCTGACCTAGGAGGGTGGAAATGACCCAGGATATAACCGTACGATATACATGCCTTACAAAAGAAGTGAACCCAGCGTATAAATCGTGTTAATCCGTATCAATGCCCTTACGATCTACACCTGCTACGTAACGACACCAACAAAGAAAAAGATTCGTACGCCGGATCCTCGCCGTTACTCCGGACAAGTTGATTGAAGAAAGAGGCCGCTTCCAAGGCTCGAGGACCCTGCCCAGAAATGCTAGCAAACTATTGGATTATCATAAAGACCCAAATAAGAGGGGTACGTTTGAGAAAGATGCAGGTTGAGCGGGCGAGGGGAGCATCGTACCAGGCGAACAGGGCGCTACAGGTCCAGTAGCTTGGGTGGGTTCGGTGCAGCCGAGCGCGACTTGTAACGAGGTCTGAAGGTTTGTCGCAAAGCCAGGTTCTTTCTCTGCGATACATAGAATGCGCAGACAGTCGAACTCAAACAACCATCCAGCAGGCGACCATTGCGCTCTTATCATTCATCTCTCAATAGTAGCCTTGACTTTGCTCCATCTTCTCCAGACAAATCGTGTGATCAGCCATTAGGCGACTGACGCAGCCGCCCCCTCCCATGTCCGGGTCCGGCCCATCCGTAACAGCAGGGCAATGACTCGGGGTACTGTTCGCTCCCGTACTCGAGACCCCATGCCAGCACGAAGAATGTGGCCTCACTACATACGCAATCGCCCTTAGACTAATGAAGATCTACTCTTGACAACTGCGCCGCAACTTACGATGCTTTGACGCTTGCGAAATTAGCTTTTCGGTAATGTAAGCTTGCCCCCGGCATTACTGCGGAGCCACCCTCGTGGCCGAAGCGTAACTTTGAGACGGCCCGCTTCCCCACCAATCCATTTGGGGAAGCGACTAAGGCTAAGACAGTGTAAACGTGCCTATGCGCAGGAGCGCCCTTGCGGAACAGCACCAGGTTCAGGGGCCCAGGTTCAGAACTTTCGTGGCACAGTCCAGGTCGCCTTTCGCACATCATCTTGGGGCTGACCGCCGCCCTCCTGCCTTATCTCTCTTGCCCGGTTGGTTTCTCTGTACTCTGTGTTTGATTTCATTCTCTTTGCTGCCCTCTTTGGCCACCACAAGTTTCGCTGGATCAAACTTCTTTTTCACCAATCCGAAATCCAAGGAGGGAAGCAGGAAAAGAGAGACTATGTCGAGGATTGCCTGTGTTTGGGCCGACTTAGGCGAGGAGGCGCCAGAAGCGAGCAGCTGGTACGAAAACACGCATATACCCGATACGCTCGCAAAGATCAACTCGACGGCGCGCATCGCAGAGCAGGTCGAAGACAATGCCTTTAAGGAAATACCCCAGGTCCAGGGTAACCTCATGACCATATACGACATACCCTGTGGCCAGGACGCAGAAGACGTGGATGCACAGTTACGCCCCTCGGTAGGCCGGCTCCCCAAAGAAGCGCGGATAGACACCCGTGTGTACACCGAGCATCAGAATTGGTACGGGGAGGAATGGCGGGACGGTACGTCTGACCACATCATTGTTTTACACAGGGATATTCCGTGGAAGCTTACGGCCCGCAAACACAGACCCCAGCGATGTCCGAATGTGGATTGTTGTCCTCTGGCAACCGCTCCCACATATCCACGACGAATTCATTGAATGGTTCAGAGGGGAGTTCCTACCCGGCATGCTCGAAAGCCCCGAACTGCTGCGCACGCGCGTCTTCAAGCTCGATCACGCCTCATTAGTCTCCGACCGAAAACACAGCTCAGTGGACAAAGAGTCCGTGTATCAATACATGACATTATGGGAGTTTGACAGTGAGGAGCTGCCGTGGGAGGTCTTGATATATCTTGGTAGCTCAGACCGATGGCGGTACTATGCCGAAGGCGAACTACTGGTAAGTGTTTGCAATCCTCACAGACCAGGCAAAACTCATGCTAATCATTTTCAACACAGAATTGGCAGATTGGACAATTTCTGGTAAATAAGATCTATCCTGAGATCGAGGACGCCGACTCCCCTAGTTTGGAGAGGCCAGGCATCATAGCGACCGCAGTCGCGGGGGAGTCGTAAGTGTTACCAACACCGAGGCTGATACTGCGTAGGAATATCAGTACCAAGATGCGCTCGAGGGCGATCACGACAGCCAGGGAAGCACAAGTGGTGGTAGCGAAACGGATCATGAGGACGGAGATTGCGAGCCATACGAATTGCGTTGACAAGCCGGCTAAGATTGAGTTGGCTATTTGGTTGCTTTTGATGATATAGCGGCGCTTCAACAATACCCCAGTTTTCGCTTTCTCTACAAATCCCCCTCTTTCGTTGCATATATAACATTCGCCACAAGGATTCAATGCAATTAACAGGATGCATTTCCTTATTATGGAAGGCCGTTACTAATTTGACTTGTACGGAGGTGAACCAGGAGGCGTATCAGTCTGAGGGTCACGGTTGATCGGATCAAGATAATGAACATGCGTTGAAGCACTAGGCGACTGCTGCAGACGTTGCAAAGGCAGATACCGCGAAGCATCAGCAGTTTGCTCACCTGACACTGTCTCATCATCGTCACCATACGGATCAAACCTCGGCCGGCGGGGTTGAATATCGCGGGGTACAGTCGGCGCGACTTTGCCGAACCTCAGTTTCGACTTTGACACAGTAGAGAGAACTGGTGGTAGCGACGTCGTGGGCTTCTCGGCTGCACCGAGACTAGATGTCAATCGCTGAAGGTTTAGTGCCAACAGCTTCTGTGACAGGTTAGACAGGTCCGTTTGCTGTCCGTCAACTTCGACTAGGCGATCGTCTTCGGGGGTCTGTGACGCATGTGTATGCACGTCTGGCGTAATGCAATCGTGCATGAGGTCGGCTCGTAGATCGCTCCGCGGTATCCTTTGAGAGCCCACACCAAAAACCAGAGCGTCTGAATCTTGGGACGTCATTCCAGGCTGTCTGAACGAAGTGGCTGTCGCTTCTAGAACAATAGAACTGTCCGAATCTTGTCGTCTGTCCCTGAACACTTTCTTCTGATTGTGTCTCCCATCTTTGACTACTTTGGTGCCGCGGCTTGCGGCGGCCTGCTGACCTTTCTTCGAAGGTTTTGCTACCGTGGGTACTAACTGTCGGCCGAACTGATCTTTTGAAGTTGAGAGAGCCAACTCTTGTTGCACAGACCCTTTTACGGTTCGCTCACGAGGACGAGAAGCGTTCTGTGGTTTCCGGCTCGCGGATCGATGGGGCCCCACCGTGTTCGTGCCATAGCGCGGATCATTAGGCGCCTCAGAGCGCTGCTGCTAACTTTGTATTTCCTGGCGCAATGCGTGTTCTGCACTCGGTTCCGCTGTTGAGATTTCGTCCTGCGCAAAGTCTTCTGACTGTGCGGTGCCGTTGCCTTTAGCCCTCTTGATAGGACCGGCGTCTCTTGGCTTTGCAGTTTTGATAGCTAAAGTCTTCGCCTTTCCTTTGTTTTTCTTCAGCTTGTCTGCAGCCTGATCCATCTTTTGCCTCACCCTACGACCCCTGCCTTCGCTTGAGATACGCTTAACGCCGGCGAAGCTTCCTCGCTCATCTTCATCGAGATCGGCACCACGAACGTTTGAGTATAGCTTCGCTATTTGTCCGTGCTCGCTTGGATACTTGCCGCGAACTCGATAGACCGATATCCGTCCCTTTCTGCCGCTGCTATGACTCTTGCGCGCACACACATATCGTGGATATGAACGTTCGGACTCATCGGGTCGGGTCTGATGTGGCGAGAGCAACGTCTGCAAAGATCCTCGCAATCTACGCGCAGTAAGCGCATCGAAGATCGTGCCCATAGCGAACGGCAGGAAGCGAGCGATAGTAATACAAGGTATAGTAGATGGATCGGTCTAGGCGTGTATCGGAGCAAGCTACGATCGAGATCGAAGCCTGAAGGCGAGGTGGCTTCTGAGCAGTGAGCCTTATGGAGAGCCGCATCGTGGAAAGACAGCAGGAGTAATGGGCTTCGAAGTGACCGCAACCGCCGCTCTAGAGACGCTGATCGGCTCGGAACTGATGCTCGGAACAACACCTTTGCCCCCATCCGCTAAGTCATATCTGCGATTCGACTATACGTGATGCATACTCTCCGACAGCAAACCAGTTCCAAAGCCTTCCATAGCAGAGCCAGTCACGAGCAGTTCCGGGGCAAGAGCGATGGAAATGGTGGTGGTCGCTACCAGTCGCTGTCAACTGGGATAGTCCTTCCATATACAGGAAACAGGGTAATCGAGATAGCAAAGGGCCAGAAGGTGTCGCTACACATCCGGAACCTTGACTGCAGGGTGGTGAAGATGCAGGAGCTTAGATTATGGGTCTGTTAGGTCTCACCGTTTCACCATCCTGCGTCCGCGTTCAATGTTTGCTTTTTGTCATCGATACACCAGACATGACACTGCAGGCTGCAGGACTTATGCACATCAAAAGAACGCAGGGACCGCTTCTTCTATGCAGTGATTGGATGATCAATTCAGATGGACGCTGGACGGGTACATTAGCCCGCGTCGGGCCCTGTTATTTTGTGGTATTTCTTGACCCCTAGCGTCTTGTAATATAAGTGACACGTGAGTGTAGGGAACAATTTTAAGTCGGATCATGTGAGCGACAGAGTCATGATGGTACATTCGTTGATCAAGGAAGTGCGCGTTGCAGTATCTTTGGTAATGAGGAAGGCGAGGAAGAGAGAGGGAAGAGGTTCTACGTTGCTGTACGTCATCGTATGAGCGAGGGCTGAGTAAGCTAGTTATCGCTTGGCGGTCACCCGGTTCACCTCTACAAACGTTCTCAAGAAACTCGAAGACTTTCCTTATCATAATTTCCTTGCTGTCTTCAAGGTTTTCGTGAATATTCTTCTTTACCCGTATGGGTATCTACATGTCGCTACTAATAGGAATATCATGACGCGCCGGCCAAATGGATTCACATCACCACAAGGTGATAGCTTTCGCATACAGAAGCTCTTCCTCCCTATCGAAAGATACATCATCCCACTGTCTTCTCAGGAGTTGGAAAGTATTAGCTTAGTTGCGATGCACCCGTCTATAAGATTTTATCATGCTTGGAGGGTAAGATAGCAAACGCCCTACGGTGTTTTTTGCTACTTTATTTTAGATGCCATAATTAGTGCTTGTCTCACTCTTGATGAAGCCAGGGTATGATACATAACAATTTAGAAAGATATCCAAAGGGTAAATGGATGCATTAATCAATATGAACGCGTGGAAAGCTACAGCTGATAAACCCTCAACACCACTGCCACTTCACTCCACCGGATCACGGCCCCCCTGCTTTCTCATCTCCTCCAAGTAATCTTCATCCGTCTGCAGATCAAATGGCAATGGTCTAGTAATAGGATGAATCGAAGTACCATGATCCTCTAGCTGCTGCAGACGCTTCGCCGTCGCCGGCTTAGACTTGTTAACACTGTAAAGCTTGACACGACTATCGCATACGTCAGCCGACCTATTCCAAGGCGCGATCAGCGGCGTTCTGGAACGCGCAAACTTACTGGCATGAGGAAGTAACATGGAGATCCCAATTCCTAGGCATTGTCAGTGCACAGTTCGGTTAGGAGAGAGATAGTTGAGTAATGCTTACCAAGCGCTACGCACAAACGTCGGTTGCGTCTGTCAATAAAGTTAGTATGGGGGCTCTGCTGATAACTAGGTAATCGGGGTAAAATGTCATGTCGAGTCAGGAACACATGGCTGTGCGCACTAGCGAATTCGCGGGCGGGAAGTTTGTGGGAGTGCATAGGCCCGTCCGGGTAAGACTCCCACCACTCAGACTGAAGAAGGACTTACATTTAGAGCATCGTCCCAGCAGCGGACGCAGAACTCGCTAGGTTTTTTTAGTACCATATGACGGATTCAGACGATATCGAACTTACAGCCATCCTTCCGCATCGACTGGGATGTCGATCCACCAAGTGCGCCAGGCGTGATAGTACTTTGTGCTCAAGTTCTGGTACGGAACTTCATACCAGACACCTCCTCCGTCATTACTAACTTCGACGCGCGTCGGCCAGCCATTGCCACTGTAAGCCCAACCAGTCATGTGGATCTTTCCATCATGTACGATAACGTCCTTGTCGACAGGTGTCATAATAGCGCTCGAGACCGGCATGGTTTGGATGCTGAAACCGTTGCTATAAGTGACGTTCTGCTTGCCGTTCTGTGGAGTGTAGTAGAGGTACTCCTTCATCTGCACTGGAGCCATGGAGGGAGTATCGATGACGTTGATTCGGGTGAGCCACTTGCAGCTCCTCGCACCGATGTAGCCCATTACAACGACACGGATGGGGAACCCGTGTATGGCAGGCAGTGGCTCGCCGTTCATCTCCCAGGCCAGCATGACTTCGTGGATCTTGACTTTGCGATACGGCACCGAAACAGCATAGTTGTAAACCTGGCCTTTCTTGAAGTAGGTGTCGGCGCCAAAGAACTCGACGTGCTTTCCTTCGGGCTTTACTCCACAGTACTTGAGGACCTTCTTCAGACTAACACCCACGTAGCGGGCAGTGCCGATAGCGCCTTCGCCCCAGGGTGCGTTAATGAGCTCGTCTCCGTCTCCAGGGTAGTCCTGAATCTGTTCAATACGTCGCGTACCACTGCACTGCAGGGTAACGGCGGTACTCATGCGAGGGAAGATGCTTTCATCTTGAAGTTCTTTCAGAGTAATCTTCTTGGGCGTATTGACGAGGCCTTCAACTTCGAAGAAGTACTTCTCTGGATCGATCTCAGGAACACCTCCGTGATTTCGAATGAAGTGGTCTTTGTTCTGGGTGATCTCGTTCTCGACTAAGCGTTGTCGTGGAGGCTCGCCGTTGTATGGAAATTGTAGAACGTGGATCATGTCCTTGCTCTTCTCTTTCTTCACGTATTCCCACGAAATGTCCGGCATGTCTTTGGTAGTCTTGCCGAGGGCATAGTGGTAGTATTTCCAGCGTACTCCTTCTAGAACCGGGTTGGTCTTGGGTAGTGGTAGCAATTGAAACTCGGGTGGTACAGGGAAGTCGTATTTTGCTAAAATCTCTGCTGCCTGCTTCTTCTTTTCTGGGTATTTCTCCCACTCGATGTACCCCTTCCATCCTTCTCGCTCTTCAGGAAAGTCTGGTTCTTCCGTTGTCAACAGCTCGAAAAGCTTTGCGTTGGGCTCTGCGGGTGCCATGATGGACGTATGGAGTGGGAGCAAACTGACACTTCGGCGTGATTAGAGTACCAGACGCTATGCCAGCCACTAAGTAGCGCAGTATTTCCTAGCAACGCCAGTACAAGTACACCATGTCATGATATCAAAGTGTTGATAGTAAATCATTGGCTACAGAGCACTACACTGACTTGTTCTGCAAGTCACCCATGCACGAAGCCGTGTAAGCATATATAATCCTTGGCCTAGCGAATAAGACAGCTAGAAACTCCGCAAAGTAAGACAAGGCGAGGCATAGGTCCGATACACATGTACGTCATCATGATGGATATTGGATAGATATCGCATGAGGAACGACCCGCTTAGACCCTGTCAATCGAAAATCCGAAAGCTGGGTGAAAAACCGAGATTTCTTGGAAAAGTCGCAATGCGTTCGGAGAAAAAGACCAAGAGCTGTAAAAAGCTTGATACAGCTTCGTATTCACAGTGAATTTGGTCTTCATTTTCAGCGCAGGCTCGGTTCCACTAATGCCGTGGGCAATGCGAACCTGAGTGCATGCATCCAACTATGTGGGTGATGCACAAGAGATGGTGGGTACGACGTCCACAAGTACACGTGTACCAGCGATCAACAATGTGGAATGGAATACTTGAGCACATCATGCGTACGTACAAGAACAGGAGCTGGTAGAAAAACCGGGAAGCAGCATGATGGCCGTTGGTGTGGTGGTGTGGTGGGATCAGGGTCGGAGGGGAAAGCGCGGCAGTTGTTCCCCACGTGCTAATCGGCGACATGCATGAGGCTAGCGTCGATATGGCATAGCGTAAGTCGTGGCCTCGCCGGTTTGCAACACTGCTGCTTGCAGCTGAACCCACTTCACATTGAGTCTGGCAGCCCTCCCCGCGGCGAATGCTACCGGTTCATTTTCCGCTGTGCCTCTTTTGTTACCAAACTACCTCGCTAACATGCAGACAGCCGGCTCACCTTCCCCGTGTCGGTTTTGTAACAGTGCATTGCTGACGCTCGTCCTGCAATCAGGGAGTGAGTGGACTTGCAATCGTGAAGTTGGAGCGTCATTGAAATTACTTACTGCCGTTTGGGAGCGGTACTTGGGTGACTTGTTGAGTCGACTATATCATGGTCTGCATCAGTGTTGAAAAAGAAGGAGCTTTCGTGACTACGCCACATGATGATACTGCAAGGGCACATCCTTCGGAGCATTGACCTACATTTCCTGAGGGAGGAAGTCACCAATGCCGCATCTCGGATCTTCCTTCACTCTATTCCGAGCTTGTCAGATACTCTCTCTATTCAGCCCACGCCTACGATCCGATCACTTTAGTGGCTGAACTGATTTCGACTATTTTGATGTTTGACTTCCATAGGACTATATCACCGCCAATGGAGAGTTATCTGATACTGCGGATGAAAGCGAATAAGCGAACATGTCCGTGTTACCAAGGGCGCTCCTCGCGAAGACGGCACGCATTCGGATCGGTCACTATTCTAAAAAATCATACACCCAATATGGCCACAGAAATACATGACTTTCTACATCTGTAGCCAGTTACATTTACCTGTAGCTTCTCAGAGAAAAAGGCAAATATGTAATCTGACTCTTGAGAGTACGCGGAAAGCAAACTGAAGTATAAGTATCGACGAGTTCACACAACAAACAATAATGCCCAGCGTAAATCCCATGAGGATCACAACCCATGTATAGGGACCACGGTCTACATGTCTCATGAGTGCGATAGCCCGCGCCTCATTGACATGCACGCATGGCTCACATTGGCCACTGAAGAGTAAATGCAAGAGGCCAGCCATAATCGGTTCACCCTTGCTTGGGGATACGAAAAGCCGTCCATCTACCGCGGATTATCCCCAAGCGAGGTGCACTGGCTCATAATGACAAGAAGTAGAAGCAGCAATATCACCTCTCTGGGGGAAGCTGTTATTTGGGTCTCGCTGTCCTCCCAAACTTCAACGTCTTCAACTTTGCATTTCACTCTTACCTCACAGCAAGATATCGACCAAGATGGTACAAACCGCGCAGGTTATATCCATGCGTAAGGCCAGGTCAAGGAGCGACGTCAACACGTACGCGCTTACTTGTTTGCTATGGGGAGGGTATGTGCACTTCTCATGTCCCAACAACCTTTGTATTAACAATTATCTAGAGAGCGTATCGTCAAAGAGCGCCGTGCTGCTTTTGAGCGTGTCGAGAAGGTGCTGGACACATACGACATTTCGAAACTCCCACGATGCTACGCTGAAAACAACCGCGAGGCTCTATTCGAGCAAGGCTTGCAGATGAGCAAAGCCTGTCTTGACGACATGCTTAAATATCAACACGAGCATTTCGTCTGGATCACTCCGCGCTACAACCTCGTTAACTCTAGGTGAGTTGTTCTCTACGAGACATGGGTGTATAAGCTAACTGGCTAGTCCTTTTGGACATAAGGCTATCTTATTCGAACCGGGCATGGAGCACAACGGTACTGAGGAACAGAAGGCAAAGTGGCTCCCTCTCGCCAGAGCCGGCAAGATTCTCGGTACATACGCGCAGACTGAACTCGGCCACGGCTCATTCGTTCGGGGTATTGAAACTACCGCTACGTTCGACAAGGACACTGATGAATTCATTGTTCATACACCGACAATCTCCTCGACCAAGTTCTGGCCTGCGGGTCTGGGCTTTTCAACTACACATGGCACGGTTATGGCTAGACTCATTGTCGGCGATGGGGATCATGGCCCACACATCTTCCTTGTACAACTCCGGTCTGTGGAGGACGGCAAGCCCATGCCTGGGATCAAGATGGGCGACGTCGGGTTGAAGCTCGGGTAAGTCAGCTACATGCGAGTCAACACGATGATACTAACAGAGAATCCAGATACAATGAAGCAGATAATGGCTTCGCCTCGTTCGATAGCGTCCGGATCCCCCGGTCTCAAATGCTCATGGCCCATAGTCAGCTCACACGTGAGGGGAAATTCACCAAAGACTCGCTTCGTGCTAAGCTCTCATACTCTGTGATGCTGCTCGTCCGCGCCAAGATGCCTGGCGTCTTTAGTGTTCAGCTAGCACAAGCCTTGACGATCGCGACGCGCTACTCTGTAGTACGACAGCAGGGTCTAGGTCCTGCAGATGCCTTTAGTACTGAGGCCAGTATCCTTCACTACAAACACCAACACTTCCGTCTACTGAGTATGATTGCGAAGTCTTACGCCATGTTTTTCGCCTCTCGCGTTTGCGACATGCATTACAACAAGCTTCGAGAGATGCAGAGCAAGAATGATCATTCTCTTCTGCCCTCTGTACACGCACTTACAGCTGGCCTCAAGGCATACGTCACTTCTGAAGCTGCCGATGGCGCTGAGGATACGCGGAAGCTGTGTGGTGGGCATGGGTACATGGTCCTCTCAGGCCTGCCAGACATTATTGGTGCTTTGGCAGGTGGCGCGATGTTTGAAGGAGAGAACTACGTCTTGTGGCAGCAACTTGGCCGACACCTACTCAAGCAGCTTGATCGTTTGCAGGACGGTGAGCCAATGGAGCCGCAGGTGCGGTATCTCGCCGAGTTGAACCTGAATGACACTTGTGTGGCCCAAGGCGAGGAGTTCCTCGAGTTCGACGTACAACTTTCCATCTATCGCGATCGCGCGCATCGCCTAATTGTCAAGGCACATAAAGCAATTCGGGCTACTGATAAGGAAACAGCCAAGGCTTGGAATGAGTATATGATGCTGCTCATTTCTGCATCACGGGCTCACATTGAGTACTTCATCTTGAAGTCGTTCAACGACACCATTCATTCCTTGCCTTACAACCCCACGGCTCCGGAGCTGCGAATGATATTGTGCTGGATGCAAGATCTCTTCGCTCTCTCCACAACCATAAACCCGCGCTCCGTTGACGTTTTGTCCTTTGCCGAGACAGCTGATACTCGGCCACCGTATCTGTCATCAGCTCAACTCGACACTATACGTTCACTCGTCAACAAACGACTCAATGAACTCCCTCCTCATATCATTGCATTGACGGATGCATGGGACTTCTCGGACGCAAGTCTTTGTAGTGCTATTGGCATGCATGATGGAAACGTATATGAGAACATTATGCGCTGGGTAGAACAGCTACCTATCAATCAAAACGCGCAGAAGAATGGGGGTGTACAGCAGGGCTGGAGGGATTGGGTCGATCCGATCTTGAAGAGGCAGGTTAAAGTTCAAGCGAAGTTGTAGAGATGATGTATGTGTGGTGGATACATGACATGATGATGCAGCTGGATACGAGGTATGGAATGTTGGTACTGATGAGTTGTCCATAGTAGTGGTCACAGCCAGGCGCCAGATATAACTAATGTGAGCATTGCTTGTCTAGTACTGTTCTTTTATCATGTCGTATTGGTGAAGTTCTAGACATCACAAAGGGAGGCTTTATGGTGAGCGAGTGGTGTCATGCCAAATGGCGCTAACAGCCCATCCCGGTCGCGTTCCGAAGTAGCTTCGGCGTGCGCCTTCCTTCTTCCCACATCTTCACCGCGACATGAACCATCACCCGTCGCCTTCAGAGCATATGGACGTTGAAAGAAGGTCATCGTCGCCCAAGCGCAAGAAGGTCCGCCAAAAGTACGCGCCCAAAGCATGTATGTCGCGCCTTCCTTCCCGCTGACATGAGTTCCGCATCGATGGAGCTTCCTATGTAGCATTCCGATGGTTCCGCAATGGTTCGACGCCGCTTCCGCGACAACATGACAGTTATTATAAGTTCGATGGCTGACAATTGCGCAGGTGTATCATGCAGGCGTTCGAAGCTCAAGGTACGTGTTACTATCCACATATTGCCTGGCCCTCCACATCCATATCCGGCCCTAGCTCCCATGCTTTTTGACCTGTTCTTCACGTCTCATTTGCTGGGCTTGAAAGTGTTACATGCATCTATGCTAAGCATCCCATAGTGTTCCGGAGATAACCCGTGCCAACGTTGCGTCGACAACGGCAAGCGATGCTTCTTCTCAGAAGACCAGACGGCCGCCGAAGCCCTGCAGAATCTCAGCAGGCCGACGCCCACGCTTCAAGCCCAAGCATCGAATGCGAGCGGAAACGGCAACAATGCATCGCGAAGAAGCATACTACCGCGCGACGATGAGACGGAACGACGGGCGAGTGATGCCAGTACCCGCGGCATGTCCATTGAGGCGCGTATGGCCCGGGTGGAAGCCATGATGGAAGCCCTCATGCGTGACCGAGGCTTGACCATGACGCCTGCTGGTAGCGTGGAGCGCGAAGACAGTGGCAGTGAGGGTTTTCGGGGTGACACGGCATTCACCGGCCTACCACTGGATCCCATCAATCCGGTCCTTGCCTTTATGGGACAGCCTTCGCCCTTCTCCCAAGAGTCGTCCAATCCTGCTCAGTCTACCGTAGAGCCGCCCCATCTAGTACAATTGGGCAATCGAACCATGCCCTTTCCCAATCCAGCCGAATATCAACAGCGCCTTATGTCCTTCTTTACCGACATACATTTGTCTCACCCATGCATAGATGAAGCCGATTTCCGCAGTCGCAGTGAGCACATGCTTGCGAGTCCGACGATACAGTCAGGAGAAAGCCATTTTCTTGCGCTCAACTACCTCATCTTTGCATGCTGCGATGTACTGCTCAACACTAAGAAAATTGGCTCCACTAAACCTGTGGGCTGGCAGTGGCTGGAGCTAGCCGATGATATCTTGGACAAGAAATCGCTCTTGAGTGGAAACGGTGATCTGACGTTGATACAATGTCTGCTTTTCCAAGTGAGTTCGAGTCTCATAAGGCTGTCTTTGTTACATAGTAGATATTGACCATAACAGGCTCTATACTACACTTTCGTCGATGTTCCCGGTCCGGCTTACAACAGCATTGGTCTCGCTGCCAGGCTGGTCTTCCAATACTCGCTACACCAGCAATCCACCTGGACCGACATCACAACTCGTCAAGCCTATGAGCGAATTTGCTTGTTCTGGAATGTCTTTGTAGCGGACCGCTTCATCTCGCTAACATGCGGAAGACCATATACTATCCATGAAGCCGATATTCAGGTCGAACTACCGAATGAGTTGTTCGTTAGGGTAAGTAAACTCTGATATGCTTGATTTCATGTGCGATTCTAACTCTACCCAGGCAATGCTTCCCATGCAACTTGATCATGAACACGATCCAAGACCGTTCATGAATCACTATCTGCACTACGTGATCCTCTGGGCACGCTACGCGGGTAATACCCTCGATGGCCGCAGTCTCAACCGCAGCACTCAAGATGCTATTGACGCACAAATCGCTCAGTTCCTCGACCACGACCTCCCAGAACTACAAATACCCTATACCCACCCGTCATCAGGATCCGACGCACCATTCAAGACCACCCTCATCCAAATGAAGACTGACTTCGTCCTTTGGGGGTTCCGCCCCATCATCACCTCCCTCCAATACGACAACGACCACGCCACTCACTTCAGCCATCTCGCAGTCTGCACCATCAATCGCATGTCCTCGTTCAGCCAAGACGCCCGACGCCCTTTTAGCTTCCGTCACGACATAACTACTTCCCTCGCAAACGCTGTCCTCGTCCTCTGTTCCCTCATCGTTCGCGATACGGCCAGTAGAAATCAAAGTCATATCGGAGCCTTTCGTACTGCCACAGCCATGCTGAATGATCTCGCATATAGCCAGCCGTATGCCAAACGCGTCGTCACAGACTTTGGAGCCATTACCCGCGCTGTCGAAGGTATCATTGATGGGAAAGATGTACCAGAGAACGTTGCTAGTCTCTTCCCTTATCAATCTGCTAGTCCGCATATTCGCATGCCGCAGATAGCACTGGCAAATAGTGGAGTGGGTAGTATATCTACGACTGGTAATGGTGATCCGGGCAAGGCGGGTGAGCCTGGTTGTGGCGTTTTGTGGCTTTGAGGTGTGTGAGGTTGGGAAAGGAAGTCGGGGACCGGAAAAGGCGTTGGGGATGGATGGATGCATGGGTCAATGGGGGTGTACTTTTCCTTTTCCTTTTCTTTGCGCTGTCCTCTGTTTTTCCTTCCGCGTTCTACATACTTTCCGTATTTGCTATAGATACCCCCATTGCGTAGCTACGGGTTAGGGGCGGCGTTTATTTTCTTCTCATGGAGAACCGAAAAATATGGAGTCAGTATCTCCTTGACATGGCTGGTTGATACACGGTGATAATGAAAGTTTGATGTCTTGCTCGTAATTGCAGCTCTTGGTAACCGAGATGTATAGACAAGTGGGGAAGAGCTGGTAGTCGCCATGGCATTGAACTAGGCCTACGTCTATGATCGCTTTGGATTATCGTAGGCGGAATTACCATGACTCCGAGATTTCTCAACGTACTTACTGCAGGTCCAACCCTATAGTTACTCATTCCATGGTACTGCCATCATCTCATCGCCCGTTGTTGCGTTTCTACATCATTCCTACGCTAAAAAACTCTTCTTCGTCCTAATTATCAGCGTCTCCTCTACTCCCACCCTTCCCCACCCCCTCCATCCCCTGCCGCGCCTTCCAAACCTCCCCCAGCAACCTATCCCGCTCCTTCCTCACCAAAACCACCGCCAATTTCGCCGCATCAACCTCAGCATCAGCATCTGTTGGCTGAGCGGAAGAAGAGACTTGGAAACTACTGCGACTACTGAGAGAGCCGTAGCGCGTTAAACACTCTGATGTACGTCTGCTTTGGGCTGCTGCGACGAGGTCTTCGGCAATGGTGACGTCGAGGGATGCTTGGCGGAGATGGAGGTCTTGGAGGGTGGTTAGGAGGGGTGAGGTGGGGAGTTGGTGGGGTGTGAGGGCTTGTGATACTGGAGTCTGAGAAGGAGGCTGAGGGATGGATAGGGGGGATGCGGCGATGCTTTCAGGTGGGATATTTGTTGTGGGAGCTCGCGGTGGAGATTGGGGACACGACTGAAGTCTGGAGTTTGATCCAGATGGGCCTGCCATATCCTCACCTTCTTCCATCTCATCCCTGAAATGGTTAAGTGCATAGCGCACGTCTACTTTACCAATCGTACTCCCTCGCCTGTACATGAAGCTCTCTTCCATCTTCCGCTGTGCTTCTTCCATCCTGTTTCTTGATGCTCGAGCCAACTCTAGGAGTTGCCTTACTAGTCCCCCTTTCTTTTGCGACTTGTGGTGTCTCTTAGGTCTCCAATACTTTTCTAGTTCTTTATCCAACTGAGGGGCCATGCGGTGGTCCTTGTCCTTCATGTGATCAGGGATTAGATCTTTGATGTCGTATTCTTTAGGCAAGTTCCAGCATTCCTTGATCTCATCTTTCATGACGTCCCACAGTGTGCTTTGAGTTGCAGGACTGACGGCGGCTGTAGAAGATGAGTCTTCTGCTTGGGGTGTATGAGCGTCATCATCCTGTGGCTCTTCATCAGCAGTATTCGAGCTTTCTTCCTCGTCTTCGGTAATCGTGTTCTCTCTCGTGGCATGTGAGGTGGAAACGTTGCGCCTCTTAGACGGTCGTACCGTGAGTGTATCGTCCGCCGTGTCACCGGTTCCCGATGCGACATTCGTATCGGACAGGAATTCCCCGGTGTCTTGATCTGCACATGTCAGTCGTCTTCCATCTCTTGATATTGTAGCAAAGAAAGTACTCGTACTTTTCCCTTGAGGATCAGGAGTAACGGTCTTGCGTTTCCCCAGTGCCTTCTCGCTGTCCTGAATACGTGCTTTTCTTCTAAGGCCCTCTATAACGGATTTCACATCGATATCCTCTAGTCCTGACGGGTGGTCGACTACCGCAGAGGAACTTTCTATCCTGGTATCGTATTCGATACCCAGTCTCTCCATGAGGGTTTGCAGTTCACTCTCATCGATACCCGGCATGCCAGTAGCAAGGTCGTTGAGTGCTCTTAAGACCTTGGTAGGCCAGGTGTGCAATTCTCCGCCGTGTCGCACGCGCTCAGGAAATACAGTCCCATCAATGTTCGGCAGCTTCCATTTTTGCTTGATGTTGTCAGCGAGTTTTCGCCGCAGTTTACGGTCAGCAGAAGTTTTTCCAGCCATGTTGTAGGAGTTGAAAGGCAGCAACTGTAACCCCCAGGAGATAATGTCCGTACAGTTTGTATACCCCATATCAAAGAATTTGCTCGCTTACCCCTTGATTGTTTGCACCTCGATAGAACAAACCGGTATAACACAGTCGTCAATGGAATTGCCGTATAGTGCAGTAGAGTCATCGAGAAGAACGTTCAATTACCATTACAGCGTCCTCTCGTTCAGACTCTCTTTGCTCAATGTCAAATGGTAGATGACTATGTGGCGCAAAGCATTGCGAATCACACTTGTCAGTAGATGTTGGAGAAAGAAATTGTTGTCCTTTTTGCGAGGAACCCAATTGTGCATGTTAATGACGAGGAGAGGGGGACGGGATTCACGTGAGATAAACAGGAGAAGTGTAAGTACATGTAGTAGCGCCGTGAGATTTGAGATCATTTCAGTCTCGTTTCATGGATTAAGTCAGGGGATATTTTTGTGAGTGCATCCGATCCTGAGTCGACGATGTATGATGTCCTCGTGTAACGTAACGCGACAACACGTGCCATGTATCACGTGCCTCACCCACCCGTCGCATTGATCGCATCTCATTCCACAACAGCGAAAACCGCAAGACAATGCAAGACAACAGTATCATTCCTGCCAATTTTGCAATTTCAACATGAAAGAAAGAAAGGGCGGCTATGTCCCTGTGAGCATACATGCAGCTGCCCACCCGGAAGCGATAGAACAAAGAAAACCACATAGTACCGGATCCGGCAAAGACACCGCTCATTGACAAACGTCCCAAAGCTCCCATGTAAAAAAAGCTTGCCATCTTGCGCTCATGCGCACAATGCCATTACCAAACACAACAACCCATTACCCACGATTCCATATATAGAGCACCAGCGTGCCGACATAGTCATGGTATCACCAAAGTTGGTGGTAGGTACCAAAAATTGGCCTCTAAGGACATCGACAGTCACTAGCACGATACTTCGACTATCTACTATTACAGCAAAGGTAGCTGCTACTACGGCAACAGTAGTTGCTACTACAGCGATAGAAGCTGCTACGACAGCAACGAACACAGCAAATGAAACGGCGAATGAAATGGGCTCGAATCAGGGGATCATTGCGGGAATATTCCAAGGGGCAGATAAACTCTTCTGGAGGGCATTCATAATTGCATCGACATTCTCACTCATATACTACATTGTAAGACGAAAGGAGTTACTAGAGTATGAAGAAGTGGAGCATGCAGAGGATGATATGGTGAATATCCCATGGGAAACAAAAGACTGGAACACACTCTACGGACTGCTTGGAATGGCATTCGAGGACGAAACCATGTACACGCCCATCCGCCGCGAGTACATCCGATCAATCCAGAAGCGATTCAAACAACGACCGCAACTACGCATGCTGCTTGAGAAAGGCATCGTGCCCCTATTCATCCAGGACGGCGGAGTCTCAACCATACAGACCAGATATTGGAGCTGGAACACAGAGTTCCCGTACGTCAAGCTCGCGTACTTTGAACAGGCCAAGAGACGGGCCTGTTTCGAGTTCATACTCCCACACCCGCGACGGAAAAACGCGGTTCAATTTGAAAAAAATCTCAGCGAGAGTAAATGGGACTACGGAGTACAACGACGTGAGTGCCTTCAGGACCAGCGTCGGGATTCAATTGGCTCTGAGTCAAATCTGGCTGCACCTTATCCGGGTGTCCCACTCTCGGTTGGAGCAGAATCGGCATTAGAGCCCCTGTTACCAATAATGCCGGACAAGCCCCTGAACACTGAGCGTTCAGAAATAGTTAATGGGCTTAGGTGGTACATGAAAAATGGAGATTCGGAGGGTATACCACTGCTGTACTTCACCGAACTGTGCATAATTCGAGTTGAGGCTGGGCACTGGGGTCCTGCTGAATTGGACAGCTTTGTCCTTGGTTGTGCAGAGGAGGCAGATATGCAATATCGTTGGCGGGCGGACGAAGTGCGAAAGCAAGCAATTAGGGAGCTTGGAAAACCGCGGTTTACGAACGATGTGGTTGAAAGAGAGGGGTTGACCAACGAGGTGGTTGAAAGACTGGAGTTGCTGAATGAGGTGGATTGGACCAGATATATTTAGCGTTGTATGAGAGGTACGGTTATTCATGTAAAGGCAGGGTCTAGACGTTGTTTCATCCATATTCCTACTTCCTGCACGCGTTGTTCCCATTTCGGATTGTCATCCTGCTGTGTCCAAAGCCCTATGCCCTGATATGAGTTCAGCTGGACGCGATCATGCGCAAAATCTTCGTACTGCTTTTTTTCAACTGCATCGTGCCACCGACTTCTTCCAGAGTGCGATTTCAGTGTTTGACGGGCGATGCTTCTTCGTAGCATCTTGGCCAGCTCTAATGTGATATCTGACAGAGGGCTCTGTAGTCCGATAGTAATGTTCCAAACTGGAAGACTAAGCCTAGTGCCGGCCGGAGGGTAATGTCGGGCATAAGCACGGCATCTGCTTAGGGTTGGCAATGCCGGCGGCGCTCTAGGGCTAAAGTTGACGTTGTCTTCAAAGGTGGCGTAGTGGCTGAGGGCAAGCTGAGTCTCCATGTCGAGAAGGTCATCGAGCTGCTGGGCAGTGGTGGGATTGTCTGGCTGAGGATAGAGTAGCTGTGCGTGAGGAGAACGAAAAAAATGCATTGGAGAGGCAAAGCGATCAAAGTAGTCGTCAGGCTTTCTGAACAGGACATCGCGCTCTCCTGAAAGAGTCAAGGTGGGTATAACGTCGTTATCCCCATAGGTTTGCCAAGCCGTAGGAGGAGGGGCTTTTGGTGCGCGTTTTTTCTTGAGCTTCTGCCCTTGTTGTGTAGCGTCTTGGTCTATCTCGACACTGGCCAAAGAGCCCGCCAAATCCTCGTCGGAAAGGAGTGCTGTCTCATCGCCGTACAAGGGTTCTGGTAGGTCTTCAGGCTTGACAACTGGAAGCTCGTCGGGGAAGACCCAATCTACAATGGGATTGTTGACAGCTGCGGCGCCAATGCGGCTTTCGCCCAGACGACATTCGGTCAAGGCCAGCATGGTCGCCAATGAGCCTCCCACAAGTTCCCCGCAAACCCCCATACGGGTTAGATAGGGCCGTTTGAATTCATCCAGAAGCAAATGATCTCGGACCCAATCGTAGCCAAGCAATACGTCATGACAAGGTGTAGGATACTGATGCACCGACGATGCGCGATAGTTGATACGGACAACAGTCGTCGCGCTTGCTTCACGCAGCGTCGCGATGACACGCTCTTCTTCCTCTGGATATTCTGGCAGCACGGGACCAGGTGGAAGGTAGAGCAGAATGGGAGCGGCAGGCTTTGCAGCATGGAAAACGCTGGTACTTCGGTTAGTTTTGCACAACCAGGGCTTTGCGATTGCAAGCTGCATGCCTATTTCAGCCAACCCGGTTGGAGCGGGGCTGTGAGATCATCGCACAGTAGGCGACGCCTTATCGGGCAGATAGGCAGATATACAGCCAAAGCACGATGGACAGTGACGAGCCAGGTCGTGTGAGGTAAGACAAGACGGCAGAAGAGACTTACTCAACCGTGAAGGAGCCGTTTGACCGACACGGGACTTGGATGCGCTCGCATCGTGGTGGCGCTGTGACAGCTGAATAGAGGCGAGTGTTGAGGGCTGCCAGCCGAGGCTGAAGGGGTGGCAGTCGCCCTCGTAGTCGTGGTGATAGGGCAGTGATGGCCTTGAGATGGAAGTGTGGTGGCATCAACGGGGTGCATGCAGGCATACAGATGGTCACGAGGCTGGCAACGGGCAAGGAAAGTTGGATCAGTGGGTGTTGGCATAGTTGGAGAGGGCATCCAAGAGTTTCGCTCGCGCCGCTTGCGCTTGCCTGGGGCTATCCATGGTCGCTTCCACATGCAGAATGCGCCGGCTGGCCCTAGGGAAGGAGCCACCGAGCCGCGGCGAGCTTCTAGGGCAAGCGCACCAGGCGCACCAGAGTCGACTCTATAGACGCCATGCAATCCGAGTTTTGCGTAGGCGGTAAAACCACGCATAACAAGAGGTCAAAAGCCGTTAGCGAAAGCGCGCAAATAGCGATTGATTCGGCCAGGCACGTTCAGGGGAAGCCATGCGCGGGTCAGCATGTGGCGTGGTCTGCAGGAAATTAGTTTAGCTGCCTCGACCGTGAACTGCAGCTGGCCTTGGGGGCACTCCCCACACCGCGCAGCTTGTTTTCATTTGTACGCCGCCTTCGCTCCTAGGGCCGACCTGTCTCTCCTTCTTGTCTGTCCTTGACCGTTGAGTGTGTCTCTGTAGCTATTTCCGCTTCGTGCGCAGTTGTCTACTATTTCCGTCGAGCCCTTTACCCTGCTGCGACCTGCCATAGCCTACACCTACGCCCACGCCTACGCCTACACCTACAGCCTCAGCCTCGTTAGCCAGCTGCACCGAACCATTTGTGTGTCACCCAATGCATACACCCTCCCGATAGCACCTTATAATATCTTTTGGCTCAAGACTGGGTTGTGCGACACTACACGCGTGGCTCTGGCATAGCAACCCCCGATCTGCCATTTGCGCTCCACACCCAAGCCACTCCACGCCAATCCAATTCTCCGACTGCGTGCGCGTCTCTCCACCACCTCCACACCAGACGCTCGATTCAAGTCAACTCGATTCACACACTGGTGTCGCCTACCATACCTCACAAATAGCAGCGCTGCGTCGTTGTCCGCTAGCTTATCGATATGGCCGAAGGATCAAAGCTCAGAACAATATTCTCGCTGGTCAAGAACCTGGTACTGGCAGCATTGGTCTATGGCGCCATCTACAGCCTCATCACTTTTGTCAGCGATCCCTCAGTTGCTGCCAAAGGGAAGATTGGCATTCCTGCCTTTCTAGACAAGGCTGGGCCCACGGAGCTGCTCGAGACGACCAGGTCGGGAGTCAAGGTCAAGTTTGCCGGCACCACCAAGACCGTCACCATCAACCCGCACGCCAATGTCTTCAACCGTCCCGTTACCGCCGTCAAGATCAAGGATGACTACCTGGGCCCCCGCCCCCACGTCGACACCGAGGCCGACATCGACATGCTGATTGAAGAGTGCAGAGGCACTTATGCCGGCATCGAGAAGATGAGGAGGCCGTTTGATTGCTTGAAGTTCTTTGCAGAGGGAGAGGATCGCTACTACAGTCTGCCAAAGCCCGCCGATCGAGCCAGCGCTCAAGACCCCCGCAAGGCCGACTTCATCGACGCTGATGGCCACGGCAAGACACTCGAGAGCTACACCCCCATCGCCGAAGCAGTAGCTGCAAACGGTACGAACATCGGCACTTGCCCTGGCCCCATCATCCCCTACCACGTCTACTGGACCGGTCCTGCTACATGGCGAGTCGAGGTCTTCATCAAGAGCTACCTATACACCCAAAACCTCGCATGTTCTCGTCTATGGCTCTGGCTCGATAGCGATCGCAACCCAAAGGCCGTATACAACATGCTGAACAAGGATGCTCTCTTCGCTCGCTTCCTTCCTCTGGTTGAGAGAGGAGACATCGTTGTCAAAGCCTGGAAGTTTCCCAGCCGAATTCCACTTGCCACCGACAAAGACGACAAGAACGGATTTGACTACTACAGCACGCCAGGAACGCCCAACTCCAAGGGAGAGAAGCACGTGGCCGAGAACATTGTTGAGGACAAGACTGGGCAACAGTGGCTTGTACTGACTCAGAAGCAAATGACTTTCCTCCCAGTGGCGGTCTCCGACGCAGTTCGCTTCATCGTGCTGCACATATACGGCGGGGCCTACTTCGACATGGATGTGCTTATGCTCAGGGATATGCGGCCGCTTTTGTTGCCGAAGGAACATGCTTTCGCCGAACGATGGGCCGCGCACCCACATCCCGGTGATTACAACACGGCTATTATGTCTTTATCCGCAAACTCGTCTCTCTCGTCCTATCTGTTGTATGGCGGTATCCGCATGGGTGTCAACTTTCACCCTCGTGTGCTTGGCCGTATGGCATGGAAGGACGGACGCGACCAGGAGTTCAAGATGTTTGAGACGGCTGCTTTCGATCCCATCTGGACCGAGTTCAACTGGGATCGCGAGGGACGATGCACCGTGCCCTGCATCCGCGACTACAGCGCCGTGTTCAAGGGCAAGATTGGCGGTGTCAAGGATGAATGGGAGAGCTACGATGGACCTCAACTGGACCGTGTTGATCTGAAGGATGTCCAGTCCAAGGAACTCAAAATGTCTGTGAACAGCACCGCATTGGAGACCCGCCAGGACAACGTGCCTGCTTCGGCCGCAGCTCCGACACCGCATCACGGCGAGCACCCTGACTCGTTTCAGGCCACGCTCGACGAGGAGGCTGAGCTGCGCAAGGCCGGCGTTATCGAAGACTATGTTCTGACCGAAGACAAATACCCACCCAACAACCGCACGCTGGAGAACTTTTTCCGCGGTGCGTGGACGTACCACATTCACAACCAAGTAAGTTCTTACCTCATTTCTCTGTCAGCAATGTCTTTGCGATAGCAACCCCGCACTGCACTTGGCTCTCCGTTCCTGCAGCAGTAGCTTGGCAACGGCGGTTTAGGCGGCGTGGCTCAGCTCTTCGTATCATGAATCATGAAAAAAGTAAAAACATGGAAGAGTATACGACTAATGGCGTAATTTTAGTGGGTAAAACATCCCGAGCCCTCATCTTGGATCTCAGTCCTCGAACACGCCCACGATGGCTTCCTAGCCGGCAAGCGCACAAACGCTTACGGCGAGAAGTGGACTGGCCCCAGCCTGATGCCCTACAACTACTGGCCTGAATACGTATGATGCGGGCGCAGGCCTTGTAGGCTGCCCACTCAGAGTGTCCCCTCCTTCCTGCGTCACCAAGTCGGAGACGGAGAAGGTCGCCGTGCCGAGTATCATCCATTCGCAGCGTGTATGTGTGCGCGCGTCTTTGTACCTTTTTACCCGACCGCGCCACTATCTTCTGCGACGACGACGACGCCTTGGACGTAACAGTTGCCCACGACGTGTTTCTAAAACTTATATAACGGCAAAAAACTCACCTACGACATATCACCACCACCATCATCATCACCCTTGTTTTAAATCAGCGGCATGAGGCAGAACACGAACACATATCTCTGTCCTCTGGAGTTTTCCGGTGTTTATTTCACGTCTTTTTGTAATTCGTTTCGGCCCCTTGATCCAAGTTTTTTTTTTGGATGGCAGGCCATATACCCTTTTTCCTCTGATATTTGCCTTGTCTCTCTCTACATATCTCTCTTTGTAGAAAGATGGCTTTTTTTTTCTTTTCTTCATCTCACGAATGCGCTTCCATTCGTTTTGCATTGGACTCTACTTTGATATTTTTTGGGGATTCTTCTTTTTTTTAATCTGCGCATTAGGGGGGATACGTAGACGTGTGTGTGTGTGTGTGTGACTCGGCGTTTAGTCGTCCTCACAAACTGAGACGGTCGCTAGGGGAAATGTGGGTTATAATGCGATAGAAGAAATCTTGAATCTTGACTTTGCAGAAGGTTTTGATGGCAATGACAGAGAGAGAGTATAGATATATGCAACACGCACAGATATACAAGTGTTGATGAACAAATCAATAAAAAGACATCTCATATTGAAACACATGACATTGATTCTGCTTGTGCATAAAAGTGGAGACGATGCGAGTTTAATGTGAAGGTCGTCCGAAGATGATCTTGGGTTGGTTCTCGGGGATAGAGTGATGCGATGGACACGAGGGTGTATAGCACGATTGGTAGATCGATGTAATATACGGGGAGTTGAGAATCAAGTACTAATCCTTAGATTTCGAAGTTGAACACAATGAGCTATAGGAGCTCATTGCCTAATGCTATATACCTATGGTGCTCGCTGTCCTCGCTCAGAGGAGTCCGAGGATTCCTCGGTGGCTGACGCGCGAGGAGCACTCCTCGGTGGCGTATGTACGAGGGGTGTGCCAAGACTTTTCCTCGTGCATGCCAAGCCGAGGAGGTCACGTGATTAAGTTCCCGTGTCACATATGGAGGGGTCAGCTATCCCGCCGACGCTCCTTAACTTAACCGCCGTGCCCCTTCCCACAGGTTCGTAACATTTAAGCATTTATCCGCATGAGATGTCACGAAACATTGGCGATGCTTATTATACTGGATATGCAAGTAGGTTTCTAGGATAAGGGTAGATGGTTTATGGGGGCAGGTAAGTGAGAAACACGGGGAAAGATTATGAGTCTGCAATAGGAGTTTTACATACTAAGCAGTTAAGTAAGTACTGTAACATGATCCATGGGCGAGCGGCGCACACGGGCGAGCGGCGCACCCCACCAACTTTTGCAACTTTAAAGCGATGCATCTCAACAACGCGATAATATTATTGCTAGATATTGATACAGTAGATTACTCTATATTAATAGTATCAGTCTTGCATGTGCGCGAGTTGTGCCCAGTCTCCTTGCACCTAGTGCAGCGCCTTTGAGCCCGCTGGCTGAGGCCTGATCGCGCTCCTCCTTGACGCTCTTCATGAGCAATCTGCTGGTCAGCCTCATTTTGAGCCAGTATATCCTCTCCAGCTCCCTTTGTGAGTACTCCATGCTTCTGTATACGCCTTTTAGAGCGCCGCCTACGCTCTGAGGCTGCGCTATTGGCCTTCTCAAGACTAGAGATCCGATCGCGCATCAGCTCAGCAGAGAGCATCATCACCTCGGCGCCCTTCTTTAGCTGGTCAATCGCCATAATAATTGAAGCTGGTGATGAGCTCTTGTGCTGGCGCACGCGCTCACGTATTAGGCTTGACTGAGCCTCAAGCTCACGCGCGTTGCTCGGCGTTTGAGCTACCCAGGGAGCCTCTGGCAGAGCTGCTGGAGGAGTAGGTGTACGCAGTTGTACATCTACCTTTGATAGAACAGCCTCTGGTTGTAGAGGAACAAGGCCTGCGCCGCGGAAGGCTGAGCAGATATTGGCTGGCGTGAACGCTTGATCAAATGCTGCCTTGAACGCTGGCAGAAACTCTAGCTTGGTGATGTGGTTGATGTGGTTGCGCATAAGGCTCTCCACCTCACGGCTGTACGCGCGCTTCAATGGCGAGAAGCAGCCAACATCAAGTGGCTGGAGTAGGTGAGATGAGTGAGGAGGCATACAGAGCGTATGGATATTGTTCTCCTTGCAGAGCTCCTGGAACTCTAGAGATTGGTGGCTCTTATGGCCATCAATAATAAGCAGGCGACGCGCGCCTACACTACGAGCCTGCGTGTGAGCGTTGAAGTGCTTTAGCCACTCAACTCCAAGCTCATTATTCGTCCAGCCATTATCGCTGACTGCGATCGCCCAGTCGCGTGGGATCTCAGCTTCCTTATACCAGGCTGATAGGTGGTACTGGCCAGCGAAGATGAGGAACGGTGGGACTGACCAGCCAGCAGCGCTGATAGCAGCGATCAGCGTTACCCACTCGCGATTGCCTGGCTGAATACTCTTCGGCCTGCCTCTCCTCTCTGCTCCTGTTATAACTAGCTGCGTTGTAATCTTGCCCATCATAAAGCCAGCTTCATCAAAGTTGTAGACGTCCTCATCGCAGATACCTAGCTCAGCCTTTGTCTCTTCTACAAGCTTAAACCACCTCTTTATTAATGTTGCATCCTCACAAAGAGCTCTCTGCCTATCGTACGCTTGGTTGAAACACGTCCGAAGACTGTCTGTACGCTTAACAAAGGTAGATGGCCAGTTGACTCCAACCTGCTCTCCACCACGCGCAGCCAGCAGCTTATCAGCCATATCACGTACAGCTGTGTAGGTAGGCGCAAATCCACGCAGATCTAGCTGAAGTATATAGCTAATAATCACCTCCTCTTCTCTCTGGGTAAGCTTCCTTGAGTTGGGCGGGCAATCGCGTCGGGCAGGTATACCAGCGCGTCGGCGGCGGAGCGTTGTTTCGGCTACGTTGTAGACTACTGCAGCAGTACGGGTACCTTGGATCTGGTGCGCATTAATAGATGAGATAGCAAGCTGAATATCTGCTTCATTTGATAGTAATTGAGTAGCGCTGCGTTGAGCCATTGTAGATTAAGATCAGTAAGGTGAGTAAAGTTGGTGGGGTGCGCCGCTCGCCCGTGTGCGCCGCTCGCCCATGGATCATGTTAGAGGGGTTTCTTTCTTCTGTTAATTAGTAACACACATAACTAGTTCCCACACACACTCACACAGATAAACACACACATACACATAACCCACAAACCAACACATCCACATCCACACATCCCACCCGGGTGTATTCGCCAGCACCGTCGTGAAATACAAAGACACATAAACCCAACCGATTTACATACCCACATATTCACAACCGTACCGCCCAACACACCCCGGGAAAGACGTGAAAGAAAGGCTTGACATTATTTGCATACATACAATACAGATATAGTATTCTCGTTCATTACCAGTCTTTTTCATGGGAGTACTAGAGTCTGCCCCCCCTCCATTCGCCGCAGACGCCTACATAATGCAGGCCGTAGGAAAAGTACAGATATAGACCATCACTACCAATACCTTGATATCGTGATACCACAACTCGTCTTACAAATCAATCAACGGTTCTTCAACTGCCTTTTGTTGGGCGGCGGGGAGCTGGTTCTGTGGGGCCGAGGGGAAACTCTCGGGGCCGTAGCCACCTGTGGCGTAGGGTGCTGGTTGCCATGTTGAAGATTGCTGCTGTTGAGGTGCTTGTTGCTGCTGCTGCTGCCAGTACTGTTGTTGAGGTTGCTGTTGCTGTTGCGGAGGCTGCTGCTGTTGTTGCTGTGGAGGTTGTTGTTGTGGCTGCTGCTGTTGCTGTTGCGGCGGAGCTTGTTGTTGCTGTTGCTGGGGGTTCTGCCAGCCAGCTGCAGGTTGAGCGGGTGGTGACATGGGCGTCTGCTGTGGTGGGGCACGAGCATATGCTTGTGGCGAAGGAGGTTGCTGTTGTTGGGGAGGTTGTGATGTATAGGTCTGAGGTGGTTGTGAGGACTGTGCTGCTTTACCATCGCCATAGTAGTAGCTCGCACTTTCCGCATCTGATACTGTGGATGGTGGTGCTTGCGGCGGGTACTGTTGATTAGAAACCTGGCGCTGTAGTTGTGGCGATGGAGGTTGCTGATAAGCATTACTAGGAGGCTGTTGTGCGAGATTAGGGTACGGTTGTGAGGGTTGCTGGTATTGTTCTTGCGGTGGGGCATAAGACTGTGGTCGCCGATCGGGGTAGGCTTGGTGTTGTGGTGGGTAACCAGCATACTGCGATTGTGGCTGACCATAGGCACTTGAAGGCCCTGCGTTTCCTGTGTAATAGTTCTCACCCGTCCCCTCGGGTGCGCCCGACTGTATGCTTGGGTACAGATTCGATGCTGGCCGTTGCGCAGATGGAAGACCATACATGGCATTTGCCTGGTTGTATGTGCTTGACAACCTCTCCTCGAGCATGCGATCGTAGTATCGAACAACAGTAGACAGCTTAGCGTGGAGATCAAGAAGTGTGTCTGTCCTTGTTAGCGTGGCTTCTCGCGACATACCAAAGTAACGTACCATGCTTGCTCATGGTTTCACCATAGGTCCGCGCGAGCTTTGGCCTCAGTTTCCCAATACTCTCATACAGTTCCTGTATCTGGGGCTCGCGGAGGATGGTACCAGGTGCCTGATGTTGCAATCGATCGACTAGCGTGGAAAATAAGTTGATGTTCTCAGCCTCGACGGGGGTCAATTCGTAATCATTCTTGGGCGCAACGAAAGGTGCGGATCCGTTCGCGCTCGAAGCTTGTTCCCGGAACGTTGTGGAGTATTTCTTCTTTTGCTCTTCCATGTCGGCTAGAGAAGCCGCTATTGCAGCGGCCAGATCGGCGTCCTCCTCTTCCTCGGGTTGCTTCTTAATGGCTCCATTGGTATTCCTAGATTGTGACTGCAGCTGTGACTGAGGCACAAAGCCGGAGGAGCTGTTTCCCTTGGCTTCGTCCAAGCTCATCTCCAGCGCACGCTTTAGGTCTGCATCGAAGCTGTCTTCTACGCGCGCATTGCGCGGTTCCATTGAGCCTTGGTAGAGTGTCTTATGCGGCCTATGTGAATCGAACATTCTCGGCAGTGGCGTTCCCCGCGATCGTTCGGTCATCTTCGCATGGCAACCATCGTCAACGCGTACTGGGTCCGTTATGCCGAGATGGGGTAGCGGGATGCTCTTGCTCGAACAGGCGCCGCAAAAGACGTTTCCGCAATTCCGGCAGTGGTGCTTTCGGTTCGTAAAGGTAAAGGCGGTCCGGCATCGCATGCATACGTCCGAGTCGGTCCATTCCGGGGGCTGCGACATGCTATGTTAGTTGTTGGACAGTGGTCACTGGTGGAGAGAACGTACCGCACTACTGTCAAGCATACTGCTGGAAATGTTCTCCTTGGGAGGGAAGCGGAAACCTTCTCGCTGTAGCGAGTAGTAAACCTCGTTTATGTAGCTCAGGTTGGAGCGCCCTTCGGCGGCCGTTGCCCATGACTGTATAAGCTCTAGCATCTTGTTCTTCACATCGTAGTTCGGCGCGACTGTCGGCGGAGCCTTTAGCAGCGACGTCATGTTGTCGAGGAACTCTCGCGAAGCTATCTCTTGGATAAAGTGAGCGCCGCCGTTCTTAACGCACGTGTCGGTGAGCTGCGGAGTTAGCGGATGTATCGAGAGTGTGGGTAGACTGCTGCCGTACATTCAGCGTGGCAAGCTGGACGTTGGGGTTCTTGTGCCCTATCCGCTTCTTCAATGCGCGCATGGCATCTTTAGGCTGCACTGTCTTGGACCGTATCACGTCGGATATCTCCAGGTTGAGTGGCATATCCTCTCTACATGGTATTAGCAAGAGGGGCCGAGCTATGTAGAGCTCCGATGGTGGGCATACAAGCTTGAGGAAGTGGCACGCTCAATCTGCTCGTCGAAGGCGCTGTTGGCTGAGGAGCCAAACCATCCCGCCATGGTGATGAGAGTCTTCCCAGCGGGGATATGTGCTATGTCTGAGATGTGAGGACTGAAGCTGCTAAACCACCAAAGACGGCCGGTTTGTAGTCCGAGTCAGGCCTTGTTGATATGGTGCGGCGCAATGACAGCGGTGGTGATGTTTGGTTAGGTAGCAGCTGTGCCATCAAAGGTCTTGGCTGATGACGCCCTGTGGCGGCGGAGGCCCCATCAGCCGCAATGCTGCCGCAATGCCGCATTAGCATTAACACATGCCTGCACCTTGCAAACACGGAACTGGAACACTACAGTGCGCTGCATCCACACCCACACCCTCGACGCTTCGTGACATTGCCCGAAGAGCTGCAGACCCTCGGTCGCTCCGGCAAGTTCCCTTAGGCGCCTTTGAACCGCTATCACGTCTTTGTCCCTACTCCACCCAGCCCAACTAAACCCCGTTCCGCCCCGCAACCCCATCGACATCTCCACGCCTTGTCGCGCACACGTAACTGCTTGATTCCGCCCTCTGTTCCGACAACGCCCTCCAGCCCGGATTACACGTAACAGCTCCCCACGGCCCCAAGACGTGCCCTTCTCCTTGATCGGGCCTCTTGAACATGCGCGGCTGCCCAACCGACAAAGTGCGAATATGAGTGCGGCGGCTCCTCAGCCGCCCTCAGGACATCTGCCCGGCAACACGATGAACGGCTTCCCCAATGGCGCACAGAGTGCTGGATCAGAAGGTAGCTCCAGGGGCGGTGGAGGTCCATATCCGCCCATCGCAGAGATCTCCGGCTCTGCCTTGGATACGGCAGACTCTCTCAGGAACAATTCGGTATATGCGGAAGGCACCCTCTGAATGCGGCAGTCGCTGACCACGTGTAGATCCGCCACCTCCTCGCACACGCAAAAGGACACTTGAATTCGGCAAAGACGATGCTCGACGGCCGTGTACCCGCCGGCGCATATTGGGAATACCTGGTTGCATATCAGATCGTCGTCGACGTTATACCTGCCCATCGTGACTACTATGACAAGATCAACAACAGTCGGGGTTCGGCACACCGCGACTTCAACGAGCTTATGCGGGACATCAAAGCAAATGAAGAGAGGTTCATGCGCGTCAAGGAAATAATCAAAAACGACAACAAAAGAAATGGGGCCTCGCATCACAGAAGTATATCGGTACCTTCGACACAACACAGCACACCCACGTCCTCGAGACCAACCTCGCCTCATGGTTCCAACATGCCCAGGAGGGACGACGAATTGATGCTGCCTGACGTCCCAACTACCATGCCCAACGGTCGCGCTTCACCTGCTGCTTCTCCAGATTCTTCACGGAGGAAACCCCCGGTACAACCGAAACCGCAATCGTTGCATGGTCGCGCTGTCCGCCAGAGCCTGTCGTCAATACCCGGCGTAAACGATCTCGCTCAGCGCTTTGCCAATCTGAGGTCCACCCCTCCAGTCAATACAGCTTCGGCACCACCAAGTCAAGATCTCTCGGTCAAAATGCCCTCGCCAGCAGACTACCACACCACAAACCGACTCATGGGTCCGCGTGGCATGGCTTTGCAGCCTTCGTCCATGCTTCCGCCTTCTCTGCCTTCTTTGCCGCTGGATACCGCCTTCGCCGCTTCTCTGCCCAAGGAGCCGAGTCCCACATATAGTCCGGCACGAAACATACCAGGCCCTTCCAGCATTAATCCGCCTCGGAGTACGCCCCGGAGTATGAACGGTACTGGAGGTCGTAATAATTCAATGGCCGCATCTAGTCTATCCAACCAAGCGCCAAACGTGAACGGCGCACCAGACTCGTATTTCCCAGCCCAGCAACAAGTACGCGACGCGACAGGAAGGACAAGAGCTGTGAATAAGCCAGTCGAATTGCAAATCGACGCCAGCATGCTCTACGACTACTATCGCATGTACAATGTACTCACCATTGACGTGCGCGACAGAGCCCAGTTTGACGCCGGACATGTATATGTGCGCAACATCATGTGCATAGAGCCATTATCGATGCGCGAGGGCGATTCCGCCGAGCAGCTGCTGGATCGCTTAGTGATATCACCAGATGAAGAGCAGGCCATGTTTGACAGACGGAATGAATTTGACGTTGTGGTATATTACGACGACTCTACCAAAAACATCGACTTCATGCACAGGCATGACCGAAATGAAAGCGAGCGTGCTTTGAAGCAACTTTTCGACACATTAGTCCGGTTCAATGCCGACAAACCGTTGCGACGCGCCCCTGTCCTCCTCAAAGGTGGTCTTGATGCCTGGATTGACTTGGTGGGCCCACAGGCACTGAAAATGTCTACTACTGCTGCCTTGGTAGCGGCTGGCGCTACCAGAAATCAAGCGACCCGACGATCATCTGTGGCCACTATACAACTTGCCAAGAACAACCAAAGAAGGTCAAGGCGCGAGTACGTTCACATGGACCACGAGGAAGAGGAACTTTGGTTGGAAGAAGCCCGAAAAGGCCGTGCTGCAGTCGAAGTACCGCCAAGTGAGGAAGTACAGGAAGAAGAGCAAAATGCCCCCTTCTATCGATCTACCGAAGACTTCCTACGTCGCTATCCCGACCTCGAGGCCGAGCAATCGATGATGTTCCCATCCAGGCCACCGCCTAATAATCAGTACATCCAACCCGCCATACCCATGGCACCTTCTCGCCCCGCGCCTTCTGTACCCCGAGTCAGCTATAGTGGTGTTCATGATCGCGAACAGCAGGCCCGCAATGTTGTCTACAACTCGCACCCCCAGTTCAGTAATCTCAGACTGCACCGGACTGGATTGCTCAACTTTGGAGTGACATGCTACATGAACTCGGTCGTACAGTGCTTGAGCGGGCACCTTTTACTCTCTGACTTGTTTATTTCTCAACGATACCAGCGGGAACTCCAACGGGAAAACTGGAAAGGAACAAAGGGCATCTTACCAGAGGCTTACGCGACGCTCCTTTCCAACTTGTACAAAGGCGACGTCACATCTGTCCGTCCGAGCACTTTCAGAGTACGTTTCGTTAGATAATTCAAAGACCAATAGCTAATCTTGCGCAGCGTATTTGCGGCCACTTCAACAGGCAGTGGGGTATCGATGAGCAGCAAGATGCAAAGGAGTTTCTTGAGTTTGTTCTGGATTACATGCATGAGGACATGAATTTGACATGGAACAAAACCCCGCTCAAGCCTCTTACAGACCAGGAAGAATTGACACGCGAGAGGTATCCACGCCAATACTCAGCTATGATTGAATGGCGGCGCTACCAGCATCGTGACATGTCTGTCATTGGCGGCATGTTTGCCGGTCAACACGCTTCGCAGCTCACATGTCAAACTTGTGGAGTCACCAGCACGACGTACGAGGCATTTTGGAGCATAAGTGTCGAAATTCCTCGCCAAGGCCAGTGCTCACTGCGTGAATGTCTACAGTCGTACTGTGCGCCGGAACGTCTAGCAGGAGATGAGCTTTGGCGTTGCCCTCGTTGCAAGAAAGACCGCGAGGCCGTGAAGAAGATTACCATTACTCGCGCACCTGACACGCTCGTTATACACTTTAAGCGATTCAGTGCCTCCCGAACTGAGAGCGCTCGAAAGGTGCGAAGACCTGTAGACTTCCCGTTACAGCGGTTGGACATGTCACCTTTCATCGAACCACCCATGACGCCAGAGCAAGAGGCGTACGTTGCGCAGACAGCCCGTGATGGGCCGGCGCAACTGGCTGGAGTCAAGTCGGACCCTACGATGAATGGTCCCTTTCTTTACAACGCATACGCTGTGATTTGGCATCACGGTGCCACCCTCGGCAGCGGTCACTATGTCGCTTTTGTCAAAGACAAATCGCGAGGATGCTGGAGATCATTTAATGATGACAAGATCTACGAATTCGACCCCGGGAACCTCCCAGAGCATGAACGATTGCAAAACGAAAAGGCGTACATTGTGTTTTATGAGAGGGAAAGGGTCGCGGGTGGGGCTTTCTAATTCGGCTGGTAAGCTCGGGGCTTACGGTCGTTCATTTAGGCGCTTTGGTCATGCTGGACTTGTTGGGACGCGAACGTGGTGATGGAGCTCTCTCTTGGGGCGTATTTCTATCTCTCTGTTGATAATGTCTGGGCTTCTTGTGAGAGTGGTTGTCGCAGAAGCGTTGCATGTAAGGCGTTTGGACAACATGAGTTTGCGACATGACATATACCACATAGAATCATTGCATCACCGTTTCCATATCGTATTTACCTGGTTTGACACTGTGAATCAGTCATTCGTCAAGTTTCTTTAGTGACATGCCCGCCGTCGTCATGAGGCTGACAGCGATGAGACCGATGATCGGCCCGCAAGAGTGCGGAGCACCGAACTTTTTTTGTGGCCGATAAGATAACAGCGTGACTCCGCACATCCCCAGACGCTCACGACTGTTTGCAATTGACTCTTCTCACTCATCACATAACACTCAAACTGCAAATATGTCAAAGGGACGCGTTTGCCTAGCTTACTCTGGTATGCTATAACCCACAGATTCCGATCTACAATCAAGTCGATTGGACTGCCCGCTTTGTTTGAGTACTGGCTAACCCGAGTCATTAGGCGGTCTTGATACTTCCACGATCCTGAAATGGCTCATCGGTAGGCCACAATCACAATTGAAGGCGTGATTTGAACTGACACATGGAAAAGAGGAAGGCTATGAGGTTGTTTGTTTCCTCGCCAACGTTGGCCAGGAAGAGCCCTGGGACGAGGTGGAGAAGAAGGCACTCAAGATTGGTGCGCTGAAGATGGTCATTCTTGACCTACAAAAGGAGTTTGTCGAGGAACTCTGCTTCCGTGCAGTCCAGTGTAATGCTTCCTACGAGGGTCGTTACCTTCTCGGAACCTCGCTGGCTCGTCCAGTCATCGCCCGCGCCCAGATCCGCGTCGCGCAACAAGAAGGCTGCGGCTTCGTCTCGCACGGCTGCACCGGCAAGGGCAACGACCAAGTCCGCTTCGAGCTGGCTTTCTACACACTTCAGCCTACTATCAAGGTCATTGCGCCTTGGAGGCTACCTGAGTTCTGCGAGCGTTTCAAGGGCAGGCAGGATCTGTTGGACTATGCCGAGAAGCATGGCATTCCCGTCACCTCGACCAAGGCTAAGCCATGGAGCATGGACGCCAACTTGGCTCACTGCAGCTACGAAGCCGGTATGTCAGAAACATGTAGGATCTTTTGTATGCAGCTAATCGACCAGGTATCCTCGAGGATCCCGATGTGTCTCCCCCAGATGACATGTGGACCATGACCGACTCGCCGCTCAACGCTCCCAACGAGCCCACCGACATCACCGTCTACTTCGAGAAGGGTATCCCCGTCAAGGTCGCGACACCCGACAAGACCTACACCGACTCTGTCGAGCTCTTCACTGCGCTCAACAAGCTCGGTTTCACACACGGTATCGGCCGCATCGACATTGTCGAGAACCGCTTCATCGGTCTCAAGTCCCGCGGTTGCTACGACTCCCCAGCCATGACCATCCTTCGTCTCGCTCATCTTGATCTCGAGGGTCTCGTCATGGACGCACAGGTGCGCAATCTCCGTGATCAGTTCGTCAGCCACAACTGGAGCTACCAACTGTACAACGGCATGTACTTCTCGCCTGAGCGTGAGTTCATCGAGAACAGCTTGCTCTTCTCCCAGCGCAGGGTCAACGGTGAGGTGAGGATGAAGCTTTACAAGGGTAACGCCTATGTGCTCGGCCGCTCGAGCAAGACGGAGAAGCTATACTCTGAGGAGGAGGCCTCCATGGACACCCTGGACAACTTCAGCCCCATGGACACTACCGGTTTCATTGCCATCCAGAGCATTCGGTGAGTTTGACAATCTGAGAGAATAGACTTGTTACTGACATTATGACAGCTTGAAGAAGTACGGTCTCCAGAAGGCTGAAGAGGGTGAGAACATGTCTCGCGCTTAGAAGCTTGGTTGTAGTACGCGATAAGCGTCGCGACCAGTCATCACATGAAGAAACGTAGAAAAACGAATCAATGACAGACGTATCTTGAACAAGCACAAGATGCAAAGACATTGCGCATGCGAAAAAATGGTCTAACCCCGCAATTGGCCAAGCTCATGGCTTTAGCGTCCGCACTCCTCCCGCACACTAACGGGTCATGCTTGCCGAGAGTGACTAACCTCTTAAGCTCGACTTCATAACTTTGAACACTCCATGTATGGCTACCTAGGTAATATGTGTGATGTAAGTGAGGAGGCTGTGTCGTGTTGACAACGGGTGTGCACATATGTGTGGCTGGGTATTTGCCTAAGTATTGCCCCGGCGTGCCGTCCTTGCCGATGATCCTCGATGGTGCTGCGATGAACATGTTCCGATATCCGAGTTCATGCTCCACAAAAGTCCCAGTCGAGTGGACTAGACAAAAGCTTCTTTCCTTCTGACAGGCATCCTATGTGTGACGAAAAGTGGACGTCATATCTGCCAGGGACGCCAAAATGAGATGATGTACTTGTAACTTTGTTTAAAACGTGCCTGCCCTCTCTGTGAATGATAAAAGTGTCAAGGACATACCCATCGCTCAAATCACGATGTCAACAACCATACATCTGACCGACCAATCCTCATCCTACAAAGCCCTCTTCGCCCTCGACACCATCCACGCCACCCTTTCCCTTTCCCTTCTCGTCCTTGCCCTAAAACCAACCCTCACCCATCTCCGCAACCGCCGCTTCACCACTACACCCGCCAACCACAACTACACACGTGCAAACTCGTACTCCCACGATGGGCCCCTGAAAACACCCCTAGGCACCTACCTCTTCCTCACTTCAGCCCTCCTCTTTCTCTTCCTTGCCTCCCTAACCCGCCTCATAACCGACATCTTGCAAACCAGCTCCGGCATCTCCTACACCAACGACCTCTCATGGCATGGCCGACCTTCCTGGAACGCGGCAGGTAACGGCTATGCAAAAGACATCGCTAGACTATCGTTCACAACAGCTCTCACCACTATTTTCTTCACAGTCCTATTGAATGGCGGCGTTTGGATACATTCCGCGCACGTGCGAGAAAATGGTACGGGCATCAGTACGCCCGGGACGAAAAGCAGAATTTGGAATACCTTCATCATGGCGGTTATGCTGGGGACGGGTGTGGCAGCTTGGGGACTAGGTATCGAAGCAAAGCGCAATGGCGGGACGGCCTGGAGTGATGTGTTGACTGGCGATAAGGCGACGAGGATCGTGTGGATTGTCCATGAGGCCATTGTTGTGGCAGCCAGTTTGAGTGTTAGTGCGGAGGTGATATGGGAGTTTTTGAGCATGAATAGGGGGGGTAGGGATGTAAGTTTTCTTTCCTCTCTTTCCCCCCCTCGTATCTGTAGGAAGGGGTGCTAACGAGACAGTCACCGACGCCCTCCTTCCGCTTCGCTTTCTTCGTTGTCCCCTTGATTTGGATCCGCGACGCGATTATCATTTACGATATCGTGCTGCTTCATGTTAACACAGCTGCTTGGTCGCGCACGGCGATGGAGGCGACGAACTTTCTGCTGTTGCTGGGGAGGCAGTATGCTAATTTGGGGATTCTGAGTATGGTACTTTGGGGTGCGTGGAGGATGGGGAGGAGTGTGGGGTATGATGGCGGCAGGGGGAAGGGTGGGGGAAGTTATGCGTGAGAAAAGAAGGATGGAGGGTGAAAAGGTGGGAAGGGATGTCATGGGTACATTGATATTCCGAGTAGTTGGTTTTCCCTTAATTTCTAGGAACTGGAAAAACGTGTAAGATAGTTCGGAGGAGATATACATACTTTGTAATACATCAACATTTGTTTGGAACAGTTCGTGTAAATATTACAAGCTACACTATATATCACGTGCTTTTCTCACTTAAATTATGTGTCGGATTTGATCTCAGCTCTGATATCAACTAGAGACACTAGCCGTATTGTTTTACTGGCGAGCTGTTAAGCTTGTAGTTGCGACATGGAGTTGTACACTGATTGCCAAATCTGTTCCTAAAAGGGTGTCTAGTGACTTTGATCAAATGCGATATCACAACCTCATTTTCCAAACCACCCATTCAGCATACGTGTTCATACCGACCCAAAAATTTCAACCTCGCTCAAACGCGACTGAAAATATTTTTCGTCCCGACCATAACACAGACCCCTGCCTGAAGTTTTCATGGCTCACAGAGCGGGACTAGTGAGGTCTACGTAAGGGCATTTGACCCATGTCACTGCGTATGTTAAACATCCAGCTTGAACCATGGTACGCGGCTGCCTTCAGCCACACGCGCTAGACTAGAAATGAGTGGAGCTGTGTGAAGTGATTGTTTTAGTCTTGTTTTAGTTGTAGGCGAAGGGAAGGTGTCGAGACGCGGTGAGAGCCTTCACTAGTATTCACGGTGAATCAGGCTTCCCGTGCTCTGATTGGCCAGGCACTGATTAGTCAGCTGCTCCGTGCGCGCACCATAGATATTCTCACTCCTCCCGTAGCTCCAATACAACAAGTTCACGCACGTTTTCTCCACCTTCATCAATAGCGTAGTGGGCGTAGACCTGCGTTCTGACAATCCCTAGATTTAGACCCTTGTAATTTCTGATTTTGTTAGGGATTTTAGGTGCGCAGCTCGCTTGCCCGCGCAGCTCGCTTGCCGCTCACGTTAGCTCACAACAATAATTAAGTTCGCATCTCATGAACACATTCCATCAAATACTAGTGAAGGCTCTTACCGCGCTTCGACACATACCTCTTCGCTCTTCAGCGTAGCATCGCTGTAGCCATTGCTGTTGTCTATCTTGTTAATAGTGGCGAGGGCAGGGAGGGCAGTAGTGTCTTCTAGCCGGCGCGCTGGGGGATGGCAAGCAACGAGGCGACAGTTCAGCTACAGGCGCGGTGATAGAGAGGGAGAGGGACATGGTCTGCCAGCCGGGCTCCTCCGGAGGCTGGGCCAAGGGCTTTTTTTTTGCCGGCTGCGCCGAGCTATTCAGGTGTTGAGCCTCAAAGGAATAATAATATGCAGCTAAAGCTGCAACGAGGACAATTAGCTTGCGAGCAGGGATAAAAGGGGTCGGGGCGGAATAACCAGTGTTCGAACCGCGGTGGTTACAATAGCCGAACTGGGCATAACTTCGGAAGTCATTGCCCCTTTATTTATGTAGTTCGACTTATCGCCATTGCACCCGGTTACTCCCACTTCTCCACCGTCATACTTTCACCATCGACAATGACAACAACCACATCCGAAGAGTGCTCCCTCCTACGCCTGAGTACGGTTCTCGTGACTGGCGGTAGCGGCGGCCTCGCCAGCCAGATCCTCCAGCTCTTCTCGCAACGTGGCTGTGAACACCTACACTCTATCGATCTCCGCCATCCTTTGCGTCGCCTCGATGGTATTACGTATCATGTAGGGGATCTCATCGACTCCGATGCAATGCACCGAATCTTCCAAAACATCAAACCAAACGTGGTCATCCATACGGCCAGTCCCAAGTTCGATGCCCCAAATCACATCATGTACAAGGTCAACGTGGACGGCACCAAGACTTTGATCCAGATCGCGAAAGAGTCTGGAACTAAGTGTTTTATCTACACAAGCTCCGCAAGCGTTGTCAGCGACGCCATGACTGATCTAAGGAATGCCGACGAGTCCTTCCCTGTAATCCTCAATGACCAGCAGCCAGAGTTCTACGTACATACCAAAGCCCTTGCGGAGACTTATGTCTTATCGCAGAACCGTCGAATGCAAGGCATGATCCCGCACTTCCTGACCTGCGCAATCCGTCCCTCTGGTATCTTTGGTGTTGGCGACCTGGTCGTACTCCCCGGGATCTTGGACGCTTATTTCCGTGGCCAGACGAAAGTGCAGATAGGCGATAACCGAAACCTTTTTGACTTTACCGAGAATACGAATGTAGCGCACGCGCACTATCTTGCCGCAGTCGCGCTGGCCAGATGCCATAGACACTTGCCTAGAGACGACGTCAGGGTGGACGGGGAAGCGTTTTTCGTCACGAATGACGAGTCTCGATATTTCTGGGACTTTACGCGCTTAGTTTGGGGGTATGCTGGGGACACAACGCGGCCGGATCAGGTGTGGGTGATCACCAAAACGTGGGCATTACTGCTGGCAGGGCTGCTGGAGTGGACATTCTGGGCACTTGGACTAGGCGAACCCCCTCTAACAAGAACAAAGGTTAGGCTCAGCTGTATGACAAGACATTTTTGTATCGACAAAGCGAAGAAGAGACTGGGGTATACACCGTTGGTAGGGCTCGAGGAAGGACTTAGGCAAGCGGTAGAAGATTGCGTCAGACGGCGGAAAATAGAGCAGAGCACGACTACTATGAAGCAGAAGGATCTTTAACATTCATCAGTGTACATAACGTCCCTCTGGTAACAGAAAGCCCTATGTGCTGCAACGGATCCCCTGTCTCCGCATCTTAAATCTTGTACTGTAATTCCATAGAGCCACGATTAATATGTTCTGGTTCCCGTAATATTTCTTCCTTCAAAGCTAGTGTATAGCTCTGTCTCTCGCATCTTCTTACTACCACTGCGCCATCCCCCTCTTACGGATAGTTACCTTAGTATTGTCGTTTTTTCTTTCCACCCATGTCGAATAGAGCCTGTAGTAAGATTTATCAAGTCGCTATGCACTTTGCATCCTCGTAGTATTTTTATTTATCAGGCTTCCCACATGCGGTGCTGTGGAGGCAAAAAGAGAGCTTAGCAATAGGTAGATAGGTGATCCATTAGAGGGACCACTA